GCATTATCTGGTATTGAATTAGAAACTTGGCAATCATATTTTCTCAAGTGATTGACAATAGTTCCCAGTCTGTTTTATGTAACCTCCCATCTAATTGTTTGACTTAAAATCATACTGGGGTACTATCTGGACATCAAATAAAGCAACTCTTCTTAAGATCAGTAAAGCTTCATTGATCAGTAGAAGTAATTATTATAGCATTTATAATTGTCCTGAAAGTTGTTTTGTATTTTGTCCAAGATTGCATTTTATGAGTTTTATTTCAGGTTCTGTCCTAAGAAATACTTGATGAGCACTGGTTGATTGTAATTTATTATGAATCTGACAGACCCTGGTTGCCAGATATGTGGGGACCTGAACAGACTGTCACTCACCTGTGAGAATTCAAACACAGTCCCATTGCCCAGGTGCAAATACAACAGTTTCAAAATAACCATCACCATTACCCCGAGTGATTTTACTACTACTTCATCAAGTAACAAAGGCACCCTTATTTCATGCCATGACGAGTTATTCATGTCTGTGGTCTTACATGATTTTAATGTCTGCACAATTCCTTCACTAGCAAAGCAGTACAACAATTTAACACATAGCTGAAAGAAGACTGGTTTCTGGAAAGATGCATTAGCTTAATGTTACCTTGTAGAGCTGACATGCCCAATCTGATGAGGGAACCATTGTATCATTGTCAGGAACTTCATTCGTTTTAAATAAAAAGTATTTTCGCATAACAATTTACGTTTGTTTGTCAAAACATTGTCAAGCACTTTTTTAATTTTGTTGAAAAGGAGTGACCAAATTATTTAGATGTTAATTGATACTTATACGTAGACATGTTTGTGTGCTTCAGAAATGGGAGATATGTTTGTGTGCTTCTGAAATGGGAAACGGTGTATGTCCCGTGCACATAGTTCAAAGGTCAAGAAAGTCTGTTAAAATGGCGACGCCCTTATTCAAGCACCAAATAGTTCTGCAAACTCATATATTACGATGTATTTGCGATTATTTTTACAAGACCGTGGTATACCCGACAGTCCCTCTCGTGTGCATAAATAAAATTTCTTCACTTACCTTTTTGTGCAAATAAGAAGGTCCAAGATGAATGCAAGGTTCTCCTCGCTGTCAACATACACGCTCGGTAGGATTCTTTGGGACGTGACGTTGCTTTCAAACTTTCTCACTTTGGTTCGATATAAAGCGCGACTAAATGAAATATTCTCATTAAATTTGTACAAAATCATTTCACACACACTGCCATTAACCAGGGATAATCTACAAAACATAGTCTCCCTGCATTAACTAATCAACCTAAAAACATACCTTCACAAAACAGGGAAACGACACTATTTGCACGTCTGCTTCGATCTCACGCGCTCTTTAGACAGGTAATACTTACCACCAGAAGATTTTTTTTCTCAACCCGACATTGGCAGAATGTAAGTATTTGTCAATCTTTAATGTCATGTAGAATGTATTAATGAATGCATTAAGTTTCATAATCTTGTTGAACTACAAGACAATAATTACAATGTTAATGAGTTTAGCGACATACCACAAAGTTTTGATTTAGAATTTGTCCGCGCTGAGCGACTAATTTTTTCAAACAATGCGTTGAAGAGTAGCTCAGTGTTTAGTTATCACATCATGTCGGCTGGATGTGAGAGAAAATTGACGGGCACATAAATATTCACCATGTTTGGTGATGGCTAAAATTAACAAACAAGGAATGGTTATTCGCCGGGGGTGCTTTGGATACGGGTATATTACTTTCGTTCTGGACCTAGGTTTGTCATGCTTAAATATTCTCTTGAAGTTCACAAAATCAATTTTTAAACTCACTTTTGCCATACGCAGAGTTACCATTTTGTCCTTCTTGTTCAGTTTCAAGTAATGAGCATATCAACATGCCTAAGAGGACCATCGCCATCGTTTGGATATAATATAATTTGGTTGCCATTTATCAACCAAATATTCTCAACCAACGTCTATGAATACAATAAGGGGCGAAGGTCTTTGGTATCCTGCTTAATAAATTTTGTATTTTCAAGTTTTCAAAAATTAATTTGGTTATATATAGACAGAGATTTTGACGATTAGCAGAGATCCAAGCTATATTGACCTCAGACATATGTGATATGACAAATTAAACATGGCGAAAATTTCAGTACTAAAGAAAAATGGCGTTTTGTCAAGAAGAAAGAATGCACTTGAAAATTGATTCCATCACAATTACAAATAATATGAAAACGTTATTAGGTGGAAAACAGACGGCAAAAACACTGCATGAGTGTGTCTGAGAGATTAAACTTTTATCATATCATGGTACTGATTATAATCTGCTGTATCATCTCATTAAAACCATCGGCAAAAGACTCCTTCAAGTTCAAGAACTCTTCACAAAAACCTGCTGCATGAGTCCTGTTTATACAGTTTCGACTGTACAATCACCTTTCGTCTCAGAAACAAAGGACATCTTTTCTCTTGGCTAGAACTGGAACATACGTTATATTTCATGGTCAAAGATTAACAACACTGCGAGACATCAAATTTATTAAATTTATTTCCACCAACTTGCTGAAGAATTAACCATGTACATACGTGTAAGCGACTGTGTGGAGCTAGCGTTCCCAAAATATAATCCCTGTTTACTTTTCACATTATGTTTAATTAATAATAATCATTTTCAAACTTCGTATTTCGGGACGTGAAACACGATAGGAAGAAACTGCGTCCCGTCTGGACATATATAGAACGTCATACTTGTGCTACCCGAGAAGATCCGGGTTAGAATTTGGTCATCAGCAACCCATGCTTGTCGTAAGAGGTGCACTCTAAACCACAAGTGTTCAAGCAGAACAGTGGACGCGTCCGTGCATGTTCTGAATCGGAACACATAGGCCATATTTAGAACAGGCGTGTTCTATTTTAGAACACATGTGTTCAAAGTCTGTGAGGTAGGTGTTCTAATTTCAGAACACAATGTGTTATTACAAGATTGGGATTTCGTAAATGAATGTGGTTACAACAAATGAAATGACTAAAATACTTTTAACATAATCATTAACCTGTTAAGATATTCTAAGACAATGTTGAACATTATACAAGCGGACATTTAAAAAAGATGTTAAAGAAATTGGTAATAATTTCTGTATTTTAACTTTAACCTTTCCTTCCCAGGAGGAGACTCAGGGTGACCCCAAGACAAAAACAAGACTCCATCAGGGTGGCAAATCCAACAAGACCGCAAAGAGGTCAATAATAGAAGTTAAAAAGGGTGAGTGGTATATTGAAATTCATGTATTACATACTTTTATATCCTGTTATGTAAGGAAAGTTATCATTAAGTAGGTGGTTACACAGATTCTCCCACAATGTACAAACGTGAATTGCATATTCTTACAAAATGGAACCTGTGTTGTGTTGACTAAAACCGTTGGATGAGCGTTTTTCGTATTTGTTTGTGGGTGAAATAAAACAGTATGTTCATTCAAAATTGTGTGTCGTGAATTAGAGTTCAGTTGAAATTTGAAATTACGTGTATGCCACATCATAGCTTTCAAATTTATTATTTAGTGTAAAATTGTATTATTTATTGTAGGATGTGACCGTTGATGAGATTGACGGGGCTCTGAAGACAAAAGCCTCAGAGGGTCCAAACATCGTCGCTTTCGTCAGATGGGATGCTCTGGCCGGTCTCTACATCGCTGCCGACACCGTGTAATGCGAGGTGAATGTCGAGGGTGCATGGCATCATGGTCGCGGTATTGAAACTGATGCATGGCGATGTACTACATTTTCATTTTAAGCTATCCCATAGCATACACGGTGGTTTTGTAGGTTCAGAGAAATGGGGGAAGTTATCTCATCCTTGCCCGACCCTGAGATATAGGAGCTCTTTTTTCAGCGTTTTCTTCAATGCTGTGCAACTTCAACTGCATATGTTATAAGATGTGCACCAATGAGTTGTTGCAGTTAAAGTAAGCTCTTTCTCCTACGCTCCATTTAGCCGTCCGCGGTATAACAAAACGATAATAACAATAACAGGTAAGTGTAAATAAGTTTTGAATCAGTTCATATTGTTGTTGTTTTTATTCGTTCATGTTTGGCTGGTAGAAGTTTGAGAACACTAGTGTTCTGAAATAAGGCTCAGAACACTCAAAGGGCGCTCTAAATCGGTTACAGCGTCCGAGGCGTCCGGGGGTGTTCTGAATTGAACACATACAGAACACACAAAGAGTGTTCTGAAATCTAGAACACGAGCGTTCTGTACGTGGAACGCTGTGTTCTGACGGCAGAACACATAGTGTCTCAGTCAGAACACTCCGACTGCGTTCTAAATCTGTTACAGGAAGGGTGTTCTCATAGTGTTCAGAACTAGAACACTTAGGTTTAGAGTGTGACTAACTGGATTGGGTGGTCAGGCTCGCTGACTTGGTTGACACATGTCATCGTGTCCCAGTGGCGTGGATTTATGCTCATGCTGTAGATCACTGGATTGTCTGGTCGTCCAGACTCGATTATGTACAGACCGCCCCCATAAAGCTGGAATATTGCTGAGTGCGGCGTTAAACAACAAACAAACAACCTGACATCGTATTTCGGAACAAGTAAAACGGTAGGAAGAAACTGAGATCCGTCTGTACATAAACAGAACGCCATACTAGTGCATTTGGACCTTATGTACTGAAAGAGAAAATGTCATGTTATTTGGAGCTGAGAAGAACTATAATGTTTCAAAGATTTCATTTGAGACACTCTTCAGAGATCTTTTTGAAGCTCAGAAACCGTACAATACCGAAGAGTGCAATAAGGAATTCGCCTAAGCGAATGTATTGCTAATGAAAGATTACATGCGTATGTAATAAAAATCACAATATAAATTGCGCAATAAGCAGGGAACGCCATGAACGGCTTCAAGGACAGGCGATGCCGGTTTTCCGTTTCGTGCGCGCATTTCTCTGCACAATGAAAACAGCAGCAGTAAGAGGTGACGTCTCAACGCTTCAGCGTCGGATGAAAGACTCATTGTTATCATAATGGGTTATTACATCACAATATAGTGACGTCACAGGTCGAATCTGTCTTCAGCCATGAGAGAGAAGTCCACAATATTGATGGTAAGTGACTGATGTGAATTATTTTACGTGTACATATGTACGTACTTCAGCCCACCTATTTTACTTAGCCATGATGGCGAAGACCACTACTGATGCAAGTGACTGAATTATTTTGCGCATACGACCTTCATTCCGCCTATTTTACTGCCATGAAATCGGCTGTTGTGTGTAAATAGTCTCTCTTTTTTTTAGTTTAGATGGGCACGAAATTGCTGAATACAGAAATGGGCCTTGACTCAGTCATCAAAACATGCAAGGTGGGTCATTGTTTTAATTAATTTCAGAATGAAGAGTGTGTCAGTGTTTTGCCGTCGTAAATATATAGATTTTATCACTATGACTATAAGCCCTACATCGAATAACGATGTTTTAGGAGAATGGAGTTCAACTTCCCTATCGGTACAACTTCTAAATATGGGACCCGTGAAGGCCCGAATTAGAATATTGGCCTTCAGTAACCCAGGCTTGTCGTAACAGGCGACCTACGGGATCGGGTGGTCAGGCTGGCTGACTTGGTTGACACATGTCATCGGTTCCCAATTGCGCAGATTGATGCTCATGTTATTGATCACTGGATTGTCTGGTCCATACTCGATTATTTACAGACCGCCGCCATATAGCTGGAATATTGCTGAGTACGGCGTAAAAGTAAACTCACTCACTCACTCACTCACTCTAAATATGAACTCCACTCATTAAAACAACTAATAAAGCCAACCAGGCTGTCAGTGAGGAAAGAGTTTTGGTCCTATTAAACACTGTACAATTTTGTAAATCATCTATGATTGAGTGTCTTATGTCGCTATTATTGAATGAGTGCGTGACTTTAGTTTTACGCCACTTTTAGCAATATTCCAGCAAATATCACGGCGGAGACACCAGAATGGGTTTCACACATTGTAACCATGTAGGGAACCCGCTTCTTCAGCGTGACGAGTGAACGCCTTAACCACAAGCTACCCCACCGCCCCCGCTATGATTGAAGTAATATCACGTTGGGACCATGTATTTTAGGTGTCAAAATTTACGTTGTCTAAACAGCTTGTATTATAATCATGTCAGAAGGGTCGCTTGCCTATACGAACGAAAATAAACAGTGCATAACTATGTTGATCTTAAATAATTGCCAACCGACGGTTGATAGCATGAGCTCATTATCAGCCAGACCCTGCTCCACAAAACACCAAATGCTGAGGTGAAGGTATCGCCCGTATTAGTCTGTCTCAGTCCCTGAGCCGCATTACTTCCGTTTCTGTCTAGCCATTTCTGCAATACTAAAGCCCTTTCATGAAGCAAGTCTAGATTTCCTCAGGTTCAAGATCTCCCTTCTCACTGGGGCTCCTGTTCAATTTAAAAGTAATTGTTTGGTTCTATAAGAAAAAGATATATTTTCAGAGACTAAGCGTTTGTCAACTGACGTGACTTACGACATCGGAAAAGGTCAAGGGGCCTGTTTCACAAAGCGACCGTAGCGCTACGACTGTCGTAAGTCTATGACAAAGTATGGGAGTTGCGATCACCTTAGCGCTACGATCTCTTTGTGAAACGGGGCCCAGCAGCTTACCCGATTAACATCCGAGACTTTACTACGAACACATGTCTTAGCTAATAGCGCTTTGTGGAACGGGAGCCACTTGCACAAAGCGATCTCAGCTACGACCATCTAAGTCTGTGTTAGAGTATGTGAGTTACGATCATTGTACTGCTAAGAGCGTTTTGTGCAATTTGGCCCTTGGCCCGAGTCAGATATTGTGACCTCATGGTTTTCATCAGAGAATCAGTCGTCCTACAAGGTGGGTATCCGCTTAGGGGACTGCGGATAAGCATTGCTCCTCATTTTGACTGATAATCATTTATGCTCTTTCCTTTATTTATTGCTGTGAACGTGACCTTCGTGGGTACACTAAACCATCTTCTCTGTAACAGGGCTACCAGCCTATCTCGCCTTCACAACACACAGCCACCCCTGACTCCACTGGTCAGACAGTGACCAGCAGCGATCGCAACAAGTCCAGTACCAGGGGATGCTGCCAGCGCGACCCTCAGGCAAGACCATCGTTGTCGGCAGCAGACGTCCGACATCAACAACGTCCTGATTCGTCGAAAACTGCAATTCCTTCGACTCGCGTGAGACCTCCTACCCCCATCTGGGTGGAGGGGAGATACACCCCAGTTTTCGACACCTCCCCCATAGTAACCCACAAAGAGGAAACTTTAACACGGGTGGTCAAGCTCGCCGACCCTCAGCCAAAGAAGACATCGAAAATGAAACGGTTTTTCAACGGGGTAAGTCGCTTCTTGCGCGAGACCCGCCACCAGAGGAAGGGATGGACCCGATTTTAGTCTCCCTGGAACTTTTTACTTATGTGTCAAACTGTAGGATATGAAGTATATTTAAATATTGTTCACGTACAATAATTGTTGTGATATATAGTTTCAGCAACATGTTGCAACTTTGAAATCATAAACTTTTTATGAAATTTAAATCAATTATTCGTTTGAATTATTTGTTTATTCATAGAAGAGATCTGAAAAGGAACAATTTTTTATGGATATACAACTTCTTTATAGCAGTGGATGAGACGTTTCAGTGTAGATGCTATAACACCGTTATCGAGCAGGTGATACGGGTGTTAGCATCTATACACTGTTGCATCCATTGCAGTAAAGAAGTTATCCGACCATGAAAATTTGTTCCTGTTCATCATACAAGCTTCTAAATGGGACTCAAAGAAGTAAGAAGAGACACCTTAACGAGCCATCGTTGACCCAAAACAGTTTTGATATTTATAAAATGTATACTTTGAATACATTCATTGTGTCAAAGGTTATGGTCATCGTGATCAGCATGGGAAGTGACTTAGGTAGATGGGTATCCCAGAGGAAACATGGGTAAATAAGATTGTTTTAATTGTCCAACAAACATGGTTTATACCTCATATGTCTGATTGTGTTACAGTCATTAGATTCCCTCACAATCGTAAAGTAATCGTGAAGATTTCACTACAAATGTGGGGGTTCCACGTCAATTATTGAGGGAATTCCTGCTTCAGGGGGATTCCTTTTCAGCAGTAGTTACTACGCTACAGTTGTCCAGATTCCAGTACAAAAGATGAGATTCAACAATAATTGTGGGAATTTCTGCAACAGAAACATGGTGATTCTGCTTCAACTGGAGGGAAGGGGGTTGTTACAGTTATGGACAAACATGGGGATTTGACTACAATTGAGGGGATTCCTGCTACAGGCATTGTGATTCTGCTACAACTGGGAGGTTTGTTTCATCTATGAACTTTTGGAGTTGGCTACAGCTGTAGGAATTCCTGTTTCAATGTTGGCTACAAATGGGATCCTGCTTCTATGAACAGGAAGATTTAGCTTAACTTTGCAAACAATTGCTCAACAGTTTGGTGCTCATCTCTGATCAATGTCAGGGCGGTAATTCTAACCCTGTGTGAAATGTGTATTATGTGAATTGTTCCCTGGTTAATGCCGAAGCAGACTTGTGACGACTTTCCAATTGTCACTTGGTATAGTCCCCAACAACTGACACACAACAGCTTCACATCCAACAAAACACACTGTGTTCATACAGGATTTTATTTGTGATGAACAATGAGCCCTCACTCACTGATTGTAGGGTAGAAATGCATGTTTTATTCATGATGAGAATTAGGACTACAGATGGATTAAATATCTGTAATAGCGTACACAACTTGGCAGCATCATGCATTTCAACCACATCAACTTAAAAAACCATATAACCAAAATATTTTGCCGATTCAGCAAATTCGTTATCTTGTGGTTTAGAGTACAGTTTCTTTTACAAAAATAAATGAATAACATGGCACAGGCACATCTTTTGCACCAAGTTCCAAATGCATCTTAACTTCTATAAATTGTAGCTTTCTGGAATTCTTTCGAGTTATTTACAACACTTCATCAAATAAGGTAAATTTTTAAACACTGAGTTCCAAATGTTTTATAACTTGTTGAAATTACATTTTTCTGGAAACAATTTTTCAATTTATTGGTAACACTTTATTAAATTACAGACCACACCAACGTAATACTCCGCAGCATGAAGCACTGACAAGTATTTATCAATTCTTCCAGTTAAATGGGTCTATGTGTACGAATATTTGAATCTGACATTTGACTTCGAATTTGTGAAGTACAATCTGGATATCATATTTTGTGAAATCAGATGTTCATACACTTTATATACAAAGACAATGCATACATACTCTAAATCCAGTACAGTACAGTTAAACACTGTTGTGTTGAGGTTGAAGGGACTTACGTAAATCTTTCGTTTTATAATAATAATAGTCCATTTATATAGCGCATTTATCCATGCACATTGCCTGCTCAAAGCGCTGACATATTACCCCTGGTCAACGAGTACAGAACACTCCCTGTGGAGAATACAACCGGTAGTCTGTCAGGCGCTCAAGGTTCAAATTCAAACTACCATTAATCATACCAGGTACCCAATTTACTGCTGGGTGGACAGAGGCCATTTTTATCCAAGGTTCGACACAACTACAAGCTGATGATAAGGAATACTCAGTCTGCAAGTCTTCACTTCCAGACAGCAATCAGCTCAACACAATGGTGTTTGACTGTACCTATAATGTAAATATGAAAATATCATGGAAAGTATTACTCAATGAATTATATAAAAGGACACATATAAATTATTATTAAAATAACAACAATGACATAAAATATTTTCAAAATATTTGAGAATATATCACAGAAACAGGTTTATGACACTTTCTATCATACAATAGATACAGTTTTCAACGCAATATACCATTATAATAAACTTGGTATCACCAACTGATGATGATGCAGACAAGTTCACTTTCTCCACACATCAGTTCAATGCCTCCCTGTTCAGTAGCAGTTGACTAACCTCAGACAGGGAAAACAGGTGATATTGTAGACAGGTATGGCTGCAAATCACTTTGCACTTTAGAATGAATTGGCCAGGTCACTCAAACAGTGTATTCATACACAGTTTCCAAAGTTTTCAGATGTTATTAGCAAATCATCAATTATCATAAGATTGAAACATAACAATAAAGGTATTATCACCGTAACATTTTTTCATCACATATAGAAATTCTAAGGAATATAAAATATGGATTAAGTACTCCAAAAGCTTGTACGATACAATTTCACCAGTCCATACCTGATTATTAGAGACTGAGCTGGAATATTGTGACAGCTTATAACATTCATTCATTCACGCACTCACTAACTCACTCACTCACTCAGAGGAACAATACCAGGAGTAGTTTTCACAAATGAGATCCTTGTATGGTTGTGTAAGTACAGAATCTTTGATCATGAAAGACTGAAAGTGCTTCATCAATCACATGGACAGCATTAAAGGAAAATATTCTTGAACATTCTCCCAAACATAACATCAAATTAATACAATTTTAAACATAATCTTCAACAAATACTTCAACAATAAACATACTCTCGAATATATTCTTGGTTAACACATACTAATGTCAGAGAACTGTCAAGTTTCCCCTGCTTGTCTTGTTTGGTTGACTACAGTCTGTTTGGTCAAAATGATACTGATTAATCAAAATAACTTCCCGCCCTTGAGGCTGTTCCTACATCAGTACTACTGTTACTATACACTTGTAAAATTCACACGGAAAATCAAAACAAAATGATGATAGTTTGTTTAATTAACTTTTTATTTTGGAGACAAACGTTATGAAACCTTTTTCCAGAGTTGGTCTGATGTTTTCATTCCATTCTGCGTTGAAATGAATGTTTGATCATGAACCGATTTGGAGTAAGGTTGTGATTCATCGGTATCGCTTTGACTACAACTGTTTTACAAAGACTATTCAGACAGATCCTGGGAGTGTCTACATCATTTTGGCCCATCACAGCAAACCTCTAAGAGCTGCATCATTCTGGGCTCATCACAGCAGACCTGTTGCTATAAATACTAAATAAATGCAATAAAAGCATTTGTGCATATTAGTATAAGATATATAAACATGGCATATTCTTCCTACAGCTCATATGTTGTCAGTAAATATTATCTACATTGGAGAGTAGTAGTTAGGGAAATATTACATAATTTAGCATGCAGTAGTTGTAGAAATATGTGGGAAAAGTCATCTACCGGTATACTTTTCAGTAGTAGTCAGGAAAATGTCATCAGTAAAAATCAGTACAAAGCTGGGGATATGTAATCTATACTACTCAACAGTTGTCAGGGAAACCTAATCTATACTACTCTTTAGCTGTCAAGGAAATGTCATCTATACAAGTTTTATGTACGAATTGTGAAAGTTTGTCATGGTTTGATCAAAGACAATAGCATATCACCAATAGTGCCATTCAGATAACTCATTAATTCAAATTTGAGTTTAATGTACACAAGTGTTCTTTGGTTCCCTTTAAAACCAAGTAGTATACACAATAGTGGAACAGGACCAGGTCCTTCCCAAGGCTTAATTACGTACTTGTTACAAAGTAGCAAGGCAAGAGCTGCCTGAAGCTAAATCATACCGCAGCTCTCGGCAGTCCCCCCGGATCGTCTCGGTGTTCGGCAAGACGATAGAGAATTTGAGAAAACGTGTTAACATGAAATTAGTCAGATCCAGCGAGGAAGAAAAACTCAGGAAACTTATAGCCAGCCCGGCGTTCAACCGAAGCAAGCTATTCGACGACGACTTGGCAGCGCTGCACATGAACAAAAGTCACATCAAATTCAATCGGTCCGTTTATGTTGGGATGTGCATCCTCGACTTATCCAAACACTTGATGTACGATTTCTACTACAACGAGCTGAAAAAGAAGTACGGCGACAGGTGCGATTACTGTACATGGACACAGATTCCCTGCTGATGGAAATTCACACCGAGGACGTGTACAAGGACATGAAGAAAAACATGCACCTGTACGACACCAGCAACTACCTGAAAGACCACCCTATGCACGACACCGCCAACAAAAAAGTGCTCGGCAAGATGAAGGACGAATGCGCTGGCATGCCGATCGCCGAGAATGTCTCCTTGAGAACCAAGATGTATTCCATCAAGAAAGCAGACGACGACGAAATCAGAAAGGCGAAAGGCGTGAAAACACACGTGGTGAAAAAGCACATCAAGCACGCCAGATTCAAGGAAGCCCTACTCAAGATTAAAACATTCGAACACCAGATGAACATGCTGAGAAGCGACGGACACAGGATATATGGACTGACAATCAACAAGACGTCGCTGTCTCCCATGGACACGAAACGAAGGATCGCCATCAATGGAGTCACCACTTACGCGTACAGGCACGCGAGTGTATTAAATAATTAAAACGCACGCAATACATACATCATGGAGAAAATATATTACAGCCCAAGCGGGTACTGGAAAGGCGCGGACACCATCCCGAAACTCGCCAAAGCTGCTCGAGTCTCGGAAGAGAAAGCCAAAGCTTGGCTCAAAAAACAAGACATCTGGCAGGTCTACCTGCCGGCGCCAAGGTACATCCCGAGAAGAAAATTCGACATTTCAACGCTGAATCGCGTTCATCAAGCCGACTTCCTGTTTCTACCTCACGACAGGGTGAGGCGTAAAACCTACAAGTACGCCCTGACAATCGTCGACGTCGCCAGTCGCTACAAGGAAGCCGAACCGTTGATGACTAAAGATTCGAACGAAGTCGCCAAAGCCTTAGAACGCATATACAAACGCAGTCGCTTGACCTGGCCTGCCGTATTGCAAATCTATCCAGGACGCGAGTTCATGGGAGCCGTGTCACAACTGCTGGCCATGCACAAATCCAGGTGAGATGAGGGGTGGCCGATGCTCACCGGAGCCAAGCCATAGTTGAGAGATTCAATCGCACCTTAGCCGAACACCTGTTCTCACATCAGTACTCGCGGGATTTAATGGATCCCAAAATCAGAAACACGGAATGGGTCGTACGCTTGCCGCAAGTGGTGGATACCATCAACAATGAAGTCACCAGACTCGTGGGCAAGAGACCCGTCAAAGCCATCAAAATGAAATCTGTCGAATCGTCGTCGGCAGCGGTACATTGCGATAAAACAGAGAAAACATTACCGGACCGGGTCAGCGTTAGGAGAATACGAGGGAGACAGCAGAAAACGCGCCACAGATCCGATATGGTCCATGAAAACATACAACGTAGACCTGGTTGACATCAAAGACAGCGAACTGAACTTGTACTGCTTGAAAGACTGACCGCCGAGAGGTTTTGTCCGAGAGGAGTTGATGATCGTACCTCACAACACAGTCCCTTACAGATCCCCCAGTGTTGAATAATTCTCTTGATTTGTCAGTTGTATGTGTGTGTTATTAGTTGTAGTATGATATATTACTGTCACTGTAAACGCTAAGTTAGTGCATCCATATATCAGAGTTGTTTTTCTCATGATATCAGCCATCATTTTCACAGCCTAAATTGGTTCTCTCACGAACATCAGAACCGTGGTGTCTATATATATAGTCTGAAATAGGGCATCTAAGTGTGTCAATCGTTCTTGTATGAACGTCTGGCCTATATATTCTCCTGTCACTATCACATCCAAGTCGCAAAAGTTTCCACTGACACTGCGCTTCGAACTCGGGACCTCAGTATTGTTACCCCAGCTCTGTTACCATCACACCACGGAGACCTCTGATAGTGTTCAGCGAGTGAGAGCTACTTATCTATACGACCTATACACATAACGATAGCGAGACAGTCATTCTAACCATATTTGTTACTCCCACAATAGCAATAGATTGTAAAAAGTTTGGTCCAAAACTATCATTACATAACGTAGCCAGCCAGCCAGCCAACCAGCCAACCAGCTAACTGTACATTATTATAGGAGCCTTCAAATCTGTAGGGCACATGAAATTTTGCATGTACCTCCACCAGTAGTATATACAATTGTGGAACGGGGTTAGGGACTTAACCAATGCTTGACTGGTGATGATATTGTCCTGATTCCAAGGTCAATAATACAAAATGAATGAGTATGTTGAGTACGCACACGACTCCAAGGTGTAAATTAACAGTCTCTTGAATAATATCTTTCCCCACTGAATCTAGAGAATTTTACTTGTCACTGTTTGTAAGACACAACAGATATGTATTCTGACTCCCTTGAAAATGTTGGACATTAATATTAAACAACCAAACCAGAGCAATAACAACAACATTGTACAACTGATTCCAACACCGCACATGGAATGTAAACATTTGGTACAAAAGTACTGAACATCATTGTTCATCTGGCCTGTTGTGAGTTTGATATAAAAGTACAAACATAAAGAATACTGTAACAGATATTTGTGTGGGGAACTATTCTGGTGGAACTATTCTGGCGGAACTATTCTGGGGAACTATTCTGGCGGAACTATTCTGGCGGAACTATAAGCCAGTTCAGTGGCATTCCAGGTTAGCTTCATATTCCATTACCATTCCATATAACCTTGTGGGTAATGGTAATGTTTGCCCCAAGTCATTTCTCAATTGGTTATTGATAGCTGTTAATCATACTCCTAATGGTTATGGCAAATTGATATCTGGTAATCATATGCCTATTGATTATAGCAAACGGATATCTGGTAATCATATGCCTGTTGGTTAATGCAAAAAGATATCTGTTAATCATATGCCTATTGATTACAGTAAATGGATATCTGTTAATCATATGCCTATTGGTTATAGCAAACGGATATGTTAATCATATGCCTATTGATTACAGTAAATGGATATCTGTTAATCATATGCCTATTGATTATAGCAAACGGATATCTGTTAATCATATGCCTATTGATTACAGTAAATGGATATCTGTTAATCATATGCCTATTGATTATAGCAAACGGATATCTGGTAATCATATGCCTATTGATTATAGCAAACGGATATCTGTTAATCATATGCCTATTGGTTAATGCAAATCGATAGCTATCCTTGCTAAATGGGGAAACCATGCCAAGAAATGAAATACATTAAAGTACAGTTTCTAGTACTTTTTTTGGGGGGGGGGTTGAATGCCATCCACTCTGAGGGTGTGGGTTCAATTCCCGGATTGGACTCAACCCCCCCAAAAAGTACTAGAATCTGTACTTTACTGAGAAAGCGTAATCCATAATATAACATATGTTACATGCCAAGAAAGAAATGTATCTAAATGCTTGGATATGTATAATGATTTTAAAGTGGTTTAGTGGAGACTCAATCAGGCAGAGGGTATATGTCATGGATTTAATACAGGCTAATAAATGGCTGCCTCTCAGGTCAGGTCACTGGCTTGTGAGACTTTACCTCTGACAACAAGTAATATGTAAGTTCACCCAATAAGTGAGTCTGTGATAGGGTTGTGACACAGTAGCATGACTTGTGAGACCTGATCTCTGACAAGGAGTCATGATTGTATGTCTTGGTGTGGCTCATGCTACCAGCGGCTGCCTCTCCGCGGCGTCAGCTTCATGGTTTGTTGTTGGGGAGGAGGGCGGTGACTGGGGCGGCTTCAACCACTTGAAGGACAACCACAACATGATCTGTGAAGCATATGCTACAAGTTAATAACATCGTCTACACAATGGGAGTTGTACTGAAAACGAATTTGTTTTAAACATTCTTTCCGTCTATAATATAACATAACATTATCGTGAGCATATAATCAAACATAGAATGTGAAACGTGGCACATTTTTTTCTTGGAGTTTATTGTCAAAGGTAAGATGGCTAATTTTCAATTTATGACACATTTCAGGAAAGAGGTGGCCACTTGATAAGTTTTTTTGGACCAGAGACCATTAAATATTTCTATGGTCTAAGTTTGCATAATTTTCAAACTATGTGCTTATAACATTATCGATACCCCATGATCAGTTGTAACACCTAACTGAACAAAATAACCAAATTTACTGCCAAATATATTCTGAAATTAATAATAATAATAATGCTATTTTTTACGCCTAGAATCCAACACGATGCCGTTCTCTGGCATTACATTATTACCCTGAAGGAATTGTACTTTCAAAGCCGCTACTAAACGCTTCGCGCGACCGTATAGATCCGTACATAGGTCCAAGGGATCCATTTTGAACAGCTGGGTGGACTGAGTGCAACGTGGACGAAGTCCCTTGCCCAGGGACACAAAACAGTATGAGACACAGGTCACAAATTTTGGTGTCTCCACCGGGATTCGAACCCGGGCCTTTGGCGTGAGAGGCCAGCATGCTAACCACTACGCCACTGTGCTCCAAATTGGTCCCATTACCATCACTTTCAACAGTGTTTGCCCTTGGCATGATAATTTAGGAGTCATCATGACTCCTGGTGTCATGAGAGGGAGTCATGGACATGTTTTGGGCAGTAAACATCAGTTTGGAACTTTCATCAAGACATCAACTGTGATTGTTTGATAACGACAAAAAACTAGATAAGGCAGGTCAGGTATTTAATCAGCACTGAGCAGTTAACTGGCTAACATTTGTTTCAGAAGTTTAGATTATCTGAACTAAGCCAAGCAGCATTGTGTCAACAATGACGCAAGCTTTTAAATTCACTGCGTAGTTGAGATAATTTGTGCGTCAAATATGCAGCTTTTCTGCGTCATGGCAAACACTGTATCAATATGATATTGTTCAGATTCAGCACATTTGGCTACCAAGGGAGATAACTCTTGCTCAAATCTGACTCAACCAACAGTGCTCTCAGTCCTAAATAATTTGATTAAAGACTACAGCCAAATCAAGCCGTCCTCAGTCAATATCTGGTCATTAACACAGATCAACAAACACATAAATGGAGGCACATAAAAGTATTCACAAATATTTGATCCAATTCACAGCCAAGTTAGGTGCTTCAGAAACCAGTTTGTCAGATAGTATTTTTCTTAGATATTTTTTGTTGGATTAATGGACGACTGTCTTCAGAAAAAGACAAATCAATTGTTGAAACTGATTAAATCTTCTTAATGTTTTTTATCAACAATGCATCAATATAATCATATTCAGCGCAAATCTGACATTCAAACAAGGACCACAGGATAGGTACAGATAAGGAGCGTTTGATCCTAGATTATAAACCTCCAGTGACATCACTCTATTGTCTCACCAGGTTCTCCTTTTTACTGAGTAAACCTCTGCAAGTAGTTTCGTGGGCATTCTCCAAGATATCCCGTGGATTTTCTGCAGAATTTCCCACATCCCGGGGATTTTCTGAGGAATAGCCCTTGACACTGAATTATTACTTGCTTTGAAGATTGATCGAACTTTGTCTTGCTATTTCTTGATCTGAACTATTTCAGAAAATACCACATTATTGAAAACTTCCTACATGTAGTGCAGGTGCCTGGTTTCGAACCTGCAACCCTTCGCTTACTAGCTTGGCGGTTTTATCCACTAGGCTACGAAGGATCGCTGTGAAGAATGCAATTGTTTGTCAGTATGAACCATTTGTTCCTCACAAGACAGGTAGTGTGGGCAGAGCACGTGCAGGACAAGGGTAGCGCATGCAAGGCAAGGTGTCGGCTGTGAGTCACATCCCAGTTGATTTCAACAGTAAATACCAAATATCAAAATTATATCTAAAATATATCTTAGGTTGGTTCATAAGATGGATCAAAATCATCTCCTCAGTTTTGTTTGAAAAAGTAAGCCCGCAGCAGAGGGAAACTGGGAAGGGCTGGCAGGAGTTGGTTTTGATCCTTTACCTGTCAAATGTTTTGATGAGGTTCATATCTCTGTATGAGATTGTCGTTTAACTATTGTTTCTTCACAAGCTGAAGTCAAAAGTAAAAGTCAAACTGCTCCTGTCTTCAACTACTATGACTACACATGTCATTCTTACTACCACATCTGCAACTACTTCTACTAGTACTACTCCTACTACCACATCTGCAACTACTTCTACTACTCCTACTACTACATCTGCAACAACTGATACTACATTTGCAACTCCTACTACCACATTTGCGACTCCAACTACTACATCTGCAATGACTACTACTACATCTGTAACTAACATCAAACACATCTTCATTTAAATAAAGAATCATGTCTGAGAGTCTCATGTCTCTTGAAGCAAAGAAAGAAGCAAATTCTGACCTGTGATATAAGCAGCAGAGCCACTAGCACCCCTATACCGACATACAGCATGGAGACGGTCGACCCAGCCCACAGCGGCGCCATGATGGTGCCAAGACCTGTCACACTCCTTCGAACGCCCTGGCTCAAACCTGAACAAACATAACAAACAAACATTCATTGCCACTCTAAAATAAATGACAATTCATGGATAAATTAAAGCAAAATTTTTTCCCCAAGCATTTACTGGATTCAATGACCTCAATACTATGTAATCCCGAGAACAGAGAGACAGTGTACTAGATAATAGTTCCAGGACTATACTTCAGTACGATTTGTCACTGAGTCTTCTCTTTACTGTCAAACAAACAAATATCATATTACAGTATTTACAGGTGTGTCAGGTGTTCATTTACTGCAGCCTGTAGTCAATGAACTACCACTTTTCCAGGTTTTAATTGTAAAAAATCAACGTTATATCTTATTTGTTCTTATATTCCCAAGAAGAGATTTCAGCATTTCAGAATGACAGCAAGCACATATTATTTCTTCATTTAATTATTTTATCTCCACAATATTAGTGACTATTGTACAGTGAACAGTGCATGCTTCAGCTAGTCTTGATTTAAACCGAAGTTACATGATACAAGTGACTAAGTACCAGAAATTAAAGTCATGTGATGTTTGCTGCTCATTATTTAAGTCACATGATTTTAACTCCAGTTTCTTTGCTCAGGCCTTACAAAGCAATGATGGCATTGATAGTCTCCTTTGCCTTACACAACTTGCAGAAAAGTTCACAAATGTGCTGTCCCTACATTCATCATAATGTTACAAAAGTGTACATAGCCGCTGACTGTGATGCAAGGGGAGGTACTGCCCACAATGTTACATAAGTGTACATAGCCGCTGACTGTGATGCAAGGGGAGGTACTGCCCACAATGTTACATAAGTGTACATAGCCGCTGACTGTGATGCAAGGGGAGGTACTGCCCACAATGTTACATGCCCACAATGTTACATAACTGCCCACAATGTTACATAAGTGTACATAGCCGCTGACTGTGATGCAAGGGGAGGTACTGCCCACAATGTTACATAAGTGTACATAGCCGCTGACTGTGATGCAAGGGGGTACTGCCCACAATGTTACATAAGTGTACTGTGATGCAAGGGGAGGTACTGCCCACAATGTTACATAAGTGTACATAGCTGCTGTGATGCAAGGGGAGGTACTGCCCACAATGTTACATAAGTGTACATAGCCGCTGACTGTGATGCAAGGGGAGGTACTGCCCACAATGTTACATAAGTGTACATAGCCGCTGACTGTGATGCAAGGGGAGGTACTGCCCACAATGTTACATAAGTGTACATAGCAGCAGCTGTGATGCAAGGGCCCACAATGTTACATAAGTGTACATAGTCACGGTGATGTTACATAGGCCGCTGAGCAAGTACTGCCCACAATGTTACATAAGTTTACATAGCCGCTGACTGTGATGCAAGGGGAGGTACTGCCCACAATGTTACATAAGTGTACATAGCCGTTGACTGTGATGCAAGGGAGGTACTGTGATGCAAGGGCAAGGTACTGCCCACAATGTTACATAAGTGTACATAGCATAGCGCTGACTGTGATGCAAGGGGAGGTACTGCCCACAATGTTACATAAGTGTACATAGCCGCTGACTGTGATGCAAGGGGAGGTACTGCCCACAATGTTACATAAGTGTACATAGCCGCTGACTGTGATGCAAGGGGAGGTACTGCCCACAATGTTACATAAGTGTACATAGCCGCTGACTGTGATGCAAGGGGAGGTACTGCCCACAATGTTACATAAGTGTACATAGCAGCTGACTGTGATGCAAGGGTTACATAAGAGGTACTGCCCACAATGTTACATAAGTGTACATAGCCGCTGACTGTGATGCAAGGGGAGGTACTGCCCACAATGTTACATAAGTGTACATAGCCGCTGACTGTGATGCAAGGGGAGGTACTGCCCACAATGTTACATAAGTGTACATAGCCGCTGACTGTGATGCAAGGGGAGGTTACTGCCCACATCTGAAATACTCACGTACATGATACCATATCTATGTTTAACTGAACAGTGTTGGTAACAGTGAGACAATGTCCAGTTGACCGTTTCACCAACTGAAGATGACGTACCCTGTGTTTCCCTGCGTGTGAGTTTCGAATACAGTGATACCCCACACACCAGCAGGAATGGCAGACCGGCCACATCAAAGATGGTGCCAACAATAAAACCGGGTAACGTCCAGCCCGGGTTGTCTGAAACGTTTAGAACACCAACATCAACACAGTGATCAAAGATAAAGTCAGCTGTCAATCAAGGCAAAATACTTCACAACATTATAGTAATGAGGTTATTGGTTGACACATTTGCTGTTATTACATATGGGGTCAGGATATGGACTAAGGCAGAGTTGTGTCCCTTAGCTGCCAGGATCTGCTGAATATCTGTTCAAATCCAACAGCCAACTGTCTTCAACATTCTAGGCAAGATACCTTATAGCATTAATGTAACAAGGTTATTGGTTGGACACATTTGTTCTTAGTACATAAGGGGACGGGACATGGAGTAAGACAGAGTTGTTTCTCTTTGATGCCATTCTTCTGACCAATGATCTGTGGCCACCACTCAAACTGGTGTATGTACAGCTGTGTAATACTTTATACCTCACACATATAGCAGAGCTGCCACAATATCACTAAAATATTGTTCAAAACATCATCTAACTGCCCTGACTCTCTACTGCCGGGAGATCTAGTGTGTGCCGCCACTACTTACCCGGGGTACAGGTGGGTAGGAAGTACAGGTACCACACGTTGGAAACTGTCAGAATAAACCCGCCGATCGCAATCAAATAACGATCTTCGATCTTCCGACTCAACCAGCTCGTCAATATAAAGATTAAGATGATCTGAAAGGTAACATGCTATGAATTCAGTAAACTGATGCATCACATAAATAACTGTAAGCGGAATTCCATTATAGAATTCAAAAGCAAACTAACCAAAACATACTGTTAGATAGTTCCATGAAACTGACGCAGCACAACATGACCATAATATGACTGACATGTCTTAAATGTCAAAAATCCAGTTTCAAACACACAAGAAATCCTTCCAGAAACATAATATACTAATAACAAACAACACTCCATTGTGATTCTGTTCCAGTTGGGAAATATGTCCCCAGTACTGGACTGACTGTTCTATTGTTATGCTATTGTTTTCTTGTTTGCTCCTTGTTGTACAATGCAAAACTCAAAATTTGATAAATATTATAGATTTTCCGTTAATTTTACTGTATTAATTCTGATAAGAGATAAACCTAAACCATATGTGACAACTAACTTGAAGGATGGTAAGGATTGCAAAGACTGGTTAGGGGTGGCAACCTCAAGGACAAACACAAGTTGTTAAACACTCACCTCCACCCCAGTTGTTAAACACTCACCTCCACCCCAGTTGTTAAACACTCACCTCCACCCCAGCCCCACAGTACAGAAAACTGTTCTGAAGCTCGTTCCAGTGAAGCAGCCTGTCTGTCAGTGGAGTTAACATTGTCTGCAAGACACAACAGACTTACATCCCAGTATAGACTTACAACCTGTGTAACATGCTACATCATGTACATGAGATCAGTGCATGTCAGGTATGTGGTTTCTACACACAGCTATACCTGCACAGAGGCTGATAATGGCCCAACGTGTTAAACAATAATCTATCAAATTTTCCAAATTGGCATCTCAAAATTCTTAATTAATGTTAAATAATTCTATGGAGTGAGTGAGTGAGTGAGTGAGTGAGTGAGTGAGTGAGTGAGTGAGTGAGTGAGTGAGTGAGTGAGTGAGTGAGAGAGAGAGAGAGAGAGAGAGAGAGAGAGAGAGAGAAAGAGAGAGAGACACCAGAAATGGGCTTCACACATTGTACCCATGTGGGGAATCGAACCCGGGTCTTCCGCTTGACGTGCCAACACTTTAACCACTAGGCTACCCCACCGCCCCAAGAGCATGAAGAGAAAGTGGCCTAAATGCTTAGTTTTACAACACTGCACCGAAATGTTAAAATATTTCTGAATTAAGAAAATATATCTGAAAACAATATATTGATTTTTTTCCCCAAGTAGCCTGTGAAAGGCAGCCAGTTTGGAAAACCAGTTATGCCTGTATTGTCAGAATCACAGAATGAGCTCAATGATTCGGGAAGCACAACATGCAGTAGTGTTAAGAAGGTGCTTACCTCTAGTGTGACCTGAGCAAATATAGTGATAAACTGTAATCCGAGCAGCACAACTATTTCTTCTCGGATATATTCTGTAACAAAACAGAATCAAACATCCGTCAACAAAACTCTTTGCTACACAATCAACACAAAATACTGAGTTACTATTTATACTATATAACATGGTACCAGTGGCTCTGTCATCTAAGGCATTTGTGTTATACAGAGTTGCATCCCTTGGCCAAGTCAGGGAGTCTGACCTGCCGATCATGTTAACTGACCCCTTACAACAAGCATGGGCAGCTGAAGACAAATTCTAAGCTACAGTTTTCCCAGGAATAAAACAGCAATTACAATGTATCATAATTGTGCCAGCACAGGTCAATGCTCCTACAAGCAATAATTTCTTCAAATAAAACCCATTGACGTTCATGAGCTGCTGAGGACCAGTTGTAATCCTGGGATTAAGACTGGATGATTATGGTGTATGATTATCTTGCCCCAAAAGCATTGTTCATGCAAGCAGCCATTTGTTTAGAGTTAAACAACATTCACATTCAGTCTCACCTCACCTCACTTGCAGAAATATTTCCATTTTGATTTTCAGTGATCTGGTTTCCTTACCATCATATAAGAACTTAAGCCTTCCTTCACTGAAAGGGTCCTTCACATCTGTAACACTTTCTTCTCTCGGCAACACTGGATGTTCCTTGGAGTCTAAGAATCCTTTTAATTTTCTACTGCGGCTATTCTTTCGTTTTGTCACTTTGTCCTTGTCACCCATCCCCGAGGAGTCACTTTGCATAAGTCTTTCTGCAGACTCAATAAGTTCGGAAGAATTTCCAATAGAAACACTGCCTAGCGATTCATTACCTAGAGACCCGTAGCTTGCCACTGATATATTGGAAAATGATGCATTGCCTATGGAACCATACATGTTTGGCGTGGCAGTGGCAGTGTGGCGTCACTCCATTAGGAACATGCTCGGTGCTCTGAATGTCTGTGGGATTGGTACTGGGGCTTCTGGTGGTGCTGCTGCAGGTCAAGTCCGGGTACACATCGTCGTACGTGATAGTTTGGGGTGGAATCTCGGTGTACTGTTCCTCGTCCTCGTCTTGCAACGGCGTGTACGCAGTCTCCACCTGCCGCATCACCTGCACCTGCCGGAACACTTCTCCCCCGGTTCGGTGAAGAGAAGCAACAGAAGCAGTTCCATTATCAGCCAGATCAAGGCCATCAGAAGCTGTAAAGGTCAAGGCTATTATTAGTAGTGATGGTGAAAGTCAGGGCTGTAATAGGCCAAGAAGGTGAAGGTCAGGGTACCAACATGGTATGAAGGAGACTGCCAGAGCCATGATAGTGTATGAAAGTGAAATATAGGCCATAAATATGTATGAAAATGAACTTCAGGGTTATTAAAGAGTATGAAGTTTATGCAAGGTGAAGGTCAGTGCTATGATTGATTGAATTTGGTTTTACGCCACTTTTAGCAATATTCCAGCAACATCACGGCAGGGGACACCAGAAATGGGCTTCACACATTGTACCAATGTGGGGATTCGAACCCGGGTCTTCGGCGTGACAAGCCAACACTTTAACCATTAGGCTACCCCACCACCCGTCAGTGCTATGAAGGGGATGAAGTTTACAATAACAACAGTGTATGAGTGAGAAAGTTTGGTTTTACGCCGCTTTTAGTAATATTCCAGCAACATCATGGAAGGGGACACCAGAAATGGGCTTCACACTTTGTACCCATGTGGAGAATCAAAACCAGGGCCTCCTTTCATAAAGCACTCAGGTGACCGTAAGTCCCTTAGGTAACCTTAGTGCAAATGTTAAAGGATGGGAGTTAAGGTTCACCTTTGTAAAGGTTGCTTCGTGAAAGGAGCCCCAAGTCTTCAGCATGAACAGACTATAAGCTAGGTGTCCGTGCTGTAGCACAGTAATGGGTGATGTTCAAAAGACCCATGATTCTCTAATTTCTTACATTTCAAGATTTGAATGAAGCAATAATCACACAAGGAATGTGAACCCTAAATGTTGTGATTTCCAGGACACCAACACCTCTCTGATGGTGCTGTCTTAATGCTTTAAGGTAGTAATGCTTTAAGGTAGTAATGCTTTAAGGTAGTAATGCTTTAAGGTAGTAATGCTTTAAGGTCGTAATGCTTTAAGGTAGTAACAGTGTGAATATTTTACATCTGCTTCAACAACTTTTGTCATTTCCTTTACTTTAACATCTCTTTTAACTGATTCCCTTTAATTGTATGTAGCATTTGAAATTTAATGTTTTTGGATTTGATTGTGCATCAATGTGTATCGTTCATGACCTGTCTGACACACCTTGAGGTGTATTGTACATGGACTGTCTGACACACCTTGAGGTGTATTGTACATGGACTGTCTGACACACCTTGAGGTGTATTGTACATGGACTGTCTGACACACCTTGAGGTGTATTGTACATGACCTGTCTGACACACCTTGAGGTGTATTGTACATGGACTGTCTGACACACCTTGAGGTGTATTGTATATGGACTATCTGACACACCTTGAGGTGTATTGTACATGGACTGTCTGACACACCTTGAGGTGTTTTGTACATGGACTGTCTGACACACCTTGAGGTGTTTTGTACATGGACTGTCTGACACACCTTGACACAAAAAGAGGGGTATTGTATGTGTAATGGCTGATGTCCTTTCAACTAAACTGTACAGCAAGTGGCCGATTCGCTTCTTTAGATCCATCAGTTGCTAGTAGTGAAATTTACACCTGCTTTCAGTTCAAGACTGACCTACCCCGGGTGATGAAAACCTGTCCACTTTGAAAGGACCGATGTTAAAATCGACCAGCGTCAGGAAGAAGTTGAAACCCGGACCTGTAAAACAATGCAAGCAAAACCCTATCAGCGGGAGCTTCTTATAAGGTAATAAAGTATATATATATAGCTATAAGTATTGAGATGACCCCCATCCTACCTAGCAACAGCCCACACTGACAGACAGCTATAAGTTTTGAGATGACCCCCATCCTACCTAGCAACAGCCCACACTGACAGACAGCTATAAGTTTTGAGATGACCCCCATCCTACCTAGCAACAGCCCACACTGACAGACAGCTGTAAGTATTGAGATGACCCCCATCCTACCTAGCAACAGTCCACACTGACAGACAGCTATAAGTTTTGAGATGACCCCCATCCTACCTACCAACAGCCCACACTGACAGACAGCTAAGAGTTTTGAAATGACCCCCATCCTACCTAGCAACAGCCCACACTGACAGACAGCTGTAAGTATTGAGATGACCCCCACCCTTCCATGGCAACAGCCCACACTGACATACAGCTGTAAGTTTTGAGATGACCCCAATCCTACCAGCAACAGCCCACACTGACAGACAGCTATAAGTTTTGAGATGACCCCCATCCTACCTAGCAACAGCCCACACTTACAGACAGCTATAAGTTTTGAGATGACCCCATCCTACCAGCTACAGCCCACACTGACAGACAGCTGTCAGTATTGAGATGACCCCCATCCAACCTAGCAACAGCCCAAAATGACAGACAGCTGTAAGTATTGAGATGACCCCCGCCCTTCCATAGCAACAGCCCACACTGACAGACAGCTGTAAGTTTTGAGATGACCCCTGCCCTACCTAGCAACAGCCCACACTGTCACACAGCTATGTTTTGAGATGACCCCCATTCTACCTAGCAACAGCCCACACTGTCACACAGCTATGTTTTGAGATGATCCCCATCCTACCTAGCAACAGCCCACACTGTCACACAGCTATGTTTTGAGATGATCCCCATCCTACCTAGCAACAGCCCACACTGTCGGACAGCTATAAGTTTTGAGATCACCGATGTCCTCTCTTGTTCTGTAGTGAAGCGGGCAATCTCTGCCAATATCACAGCCTCACCACCAACACCGACACCTAAACAAACAACCACAGAATTTCTTTCAAAACTAAAACAGAACATTAACAGGTTCTCTGAAACTTTAAACGCTTGTAAACATTGCAAAATACCATGTTCTTTTCATTCCTTAATATCAGAACCATCTCTGTGGTGAAGTTGTTACAGTATCCAGAGAGCGGAAGGTCGCAAGTTCCATCCATGGCCGCGTCGTACCAAAAGACATTAAACTTGTTGGTTCTGCCAGGCGCTTGGCATTAATGGGTACAAGAAGGACTGGTTGGCTTGGAGTCAGTATAATGTGTCTGAGAGAGGTATTCATGCTTCACTGCGGCATGGTATCTCAGTGGGTTAGCATTATAAAACCAGCTTAAGTCTGGGCTAGTACAAGCAGCCACACATACACACACATACACGTCGTCATATTCGTGAAATATTCTTTAGTACGACGTTAAACCCCATTTCACCTACCTCACCTTGATATCAGATAGAAAACAGGCGGTCTTCCTCCCTGAGAACCAAACAATGGAACTCTTTCACAAGAGACGTCAGCTCAAACATATACTTTATGAATACATTATATATCCCCCATTGTGTAACGTGATCAGTGTGGAGTTTCAGCCACTGGTCAGGCTGTAGGATGACCCTGTAAGGAAGTTGACCAGCAAGTGTTGAGTCTACCAAACTAACCTGCGACCAGTCGACTGACAATCAGGAAGTACTTGGATATTCCTATGAAGTACATGAAGCTGCCACCGATCTCAAACAATACAGCAAACAGTAGTATCAACCTCACTCGGCGTGACTTGTCTGCCCACCTACAAACACAAATAGTACTATCAACCTCACTCGGCGTGACTTGTCTGCCCACCTACAAACACAAATAGTAGTATCAACCTCACTTAGCGTGACTTGTCTGCCCACCCACAAACACAAATAGTAGTATCAATCTCACTCGGCGTGACTTGTCTGCCCACCTACAAACACAAATAGTAGTATCAACTTCACTCGGCTTGACTTGTCTGCCCCCCTACAAACACAAATAGTAGTATCAATCTCACTCGGCGTGACTTGTCTGCCCACCTACAAACACAAATAGTAGTATCAACCTCACTCGGGCACTGACTTGTCTGCCAACCTACAAACACAAATAGTAGTATCAACTTCACTCGGCGTGACTTGTCTGTCCACCTACAAACACAAATAGTAGTATCAATCTCACTCTGCGTGACTTGTCTGCCCACCTACAAACACAAATAGTAGTATCAACCTCACTCGGCGTGACTTGTCTGCCCACCTACAAACACAAATAGTAGTATCAACCTCACTCGGCTTGACTTGTCTGCCCACCTACAAACACAAATAGTAGTATCAATCTCACTTTCGGCGTGACTTGTCTGCCCACCTACAAACACAAATAGTAGTATCAACCTCACTTTCGTGACTTGTCTGCCCACCTACAAACACAAATAGTAGTATCAACCTCACTCGGCTTGACTTGTCTGCCCACCTACAAACACAAATAGTAGTATCAACCTCACTCGGCGTGACTTGTCTGCCCACCTACAAACACAAATAGTAGTATCAACCTCACTCGGCGTGACTTGTCTGCCCACCTACAAACACAAATAGTAGTATCAACCTCACTCGGCGTGACTTGTCTGCCCACCTACAAACACAAATAGTAGTATCAACCTCACTCGGCGTGACTTGTCTGCCCACCTACAAACACAAATATCAACTACTTGTCTCAACAAAGACAAATAGTAATTATCAACCTCACTCACTCGGGCGTGACTTGTCTGCCCCCTAAACAAACACAAATAGTAGTATCAACCTCACTCGGGCGTGACTTGTCTGCCCACCTACAAACACAAATAGTAGTATCAACCTCACTTGTCGGCTTGACTTGTCTGCCCACCTACAAAGACAAATAGTAGTATCAACCTCACTCGGTGACTTGTCTGCCCACCTACAAACACAAATAGTAGTATCAATCTCACTTTCGGCGACTTGTCTGCCCACCTACAAACACAAATAGTAGTATTATCAACTTCACTCATGTGACTTGTCTGCCCACCTACAAACACAAATAGTAGTATCAATCTCACTCGGCGTGACTTGTCTGCCCACCTACAAACACAAATAGTAGTATCAACCTCACTCGGCGTGACTTGTCTGCCCACCTACAAACACAAATAGTAGTATCAACCTCACTCGGCGTGACTTGTCTGCCCACCTACAAACACAAATAGTGCCACTGATAAACAGTTTGATGGGGTACAATATTAGGTTTTGAATGATTTGAGTTGGTCAAATTATATCACATTTTCAATTAAATGAATCATGGCAAGTATTATTTTTATAATTTCAATCATGCCGCCAGGGCATGCTAAAAATATTTCATCTGTGCCATTTCAATATGTAATGTGCCGTTGTATGCAAATTAAGCACAATTTCAATCCCATTTTTCTGACTTGAGCTAAAAAACAGTAACAGCAATAACTTAAGAAAGGTAAGGTACTTTTTGGATGACAACTTCTTTATTATATCATGATGAGACGTTTTGGTATAGATTCTTATCCTGTTGTCAAGCAGGACTTTGAAACGTCGCAACATAATCAAATACAGAAGTTGTCATCCATAAAGTAGCATACCATTCCTATTATTCATAATCTTTCTAAAATGCCAATCAAACAGATCAATAACTTCTCATTTTGTACCCCATAACCCCTTCCCACATGTATATGTGTAACGTAGGTCTCAAGAGTGAGTGAGTTGCTGCAGTCACCATGAGCTATGTCGCACAAAGTCATTAATAGCAAGAGCAATAATTCCCTACCTGCCCATCAGTGGCCCAGCAAACATCCCTGAGAAGCTGAAGGCAGACAGCATGAAACCCAGGTAGTACTCCTCTGCATTGAACCGGGTGTGGATGTACAACCATGCACTGGGCAGGATCACAGCTGGAATGTGCAGGATGACGATTAATGATGAACATTACAATAATGATTATGATGACAACAATGGAGAGAGAAATTATGATACAATGCATTTAGAAATGATATGAGGGGCAGTAGGGTAGCTCAGTGGTTAAAGCGTTTGCTCGTCACGCAGAAGACCTGGGTTCGATTCCCTACATGGGTACAATGTGTGAAGCCCATTTCTGGTGTCCCCCGCCGTGATGTTGCTGGACTATTGCTAAAAGTGGCGTAAAACTAAACTCACTCACTCACTGATTCATTTTTGTAAAAAGTAATTTGTAAACCAGGGATAGAAATGCAATTTTTTAAGGGTGCCATTCGGCACAAGATAGATCATTTAGATGTGTCAAAATAACTGTGCCCATACACTTTGATGATCCAATTGAACTCAAAACATAACAACAATTATATCATTTCAATTTACTGTTCAAGAAATGAGTAAAGCTGTTAACTTGACAGCTGGATTTCCTCCTCATGACTCATGACTGCAAGAACAATGCAGCTTCATTTGTCCAATAAATTAACCCACAAACTATGTCATCATCAAAAAAACAGGATTTCCTGTTATGCATGCACATTGCCATTCAAAATGGCCACATCCATCATAAGGTGTGAGATTGAGAATTCCACTGATAAACAATTTGATGGGGTGAAAAAATATTTTGAATCATTTGACTAGGTCAAATTTATTGAATTTTCTATTAAAGGAATCATGGTCCATTTCAATATTTGCCGACCCCTGAAGGTCAGGGTTAGAATTGATCTTCAGTAACCCATGCTTGTTGTAAGAGGTGACTGATGAGATCGGGTGGTCAGGCTCGCTGACTGGGTTGACACATGTCATCGTATCCCAATTGCTTAGATCGATGTTCATGCTGTTGATCACTGGATTGTCTGGCCCAGACTCGATTATTTACAGACCTCTGCCATACAGCTGGAATATTGCTGAGTGCGGCAAAAAATTAAACTCACTCACTCACTCAATATTTTTCATGCCATGGCAAGCAAATGCAAAAATATTTCAATTTGTGTAAACTATGAATCCTTACAGTTCACTTTTTAACACGTTTAAGTGAACAAATGTTATTGTGACACTGACACCCTTTACATACACACATGAATGACACTGACACCCTGTACATACACACATGAATGCCTCCACACTTTACATACACAGAATGACAAAACATACACACATGTTCCTCCACATTTCAAGTGAAAAAATGTTCAAGATTTCCTGATTCTTCATTCTTAAATACATCAAAAACTGATCAACTTGTTGTAGCAATAACCTTCAACAGGTTTTAAATTATTTTATGAATTGCAACAAAAATGTCTGACCCTTTCAGTAATGTGACACATATAAGGTCATGACCTATGACCTACTTAAGGTCAGTCCTGACTGGACTGTGATGTTGATCGCTGTCATGACAACACCACAGGGTTACATATGATACACAATGACTTCTGAAGCAAAAAAAATAATAAGGGCATTTTTCCTGACAAAGAATTACGTGATAAACCTAGAATACTGTTCAAAAACTCATTCACTACTAATGAAAACAGACCTCTGATTCTGGCTGATTCTCGTTGTGAAACAAAAAACTTATAAAAGTTCATGTTTGTTAATAAAAATAAAACCATGATTCTGACTGAGTTTCATTGCAAATCCTTATAAAAGTTCATGTTTGGCAATAAAACCATGCCAGGATTTCATTGCATCCTAGTAGCTGGCTTTTCTAGCACGTTAGACCACTTTTACGACAAGCATGGGTTACTGAAGATCAGTTCTAACGCGGATCTTCATGAATCAGCATTACGTTGAAAGGGAAGTGAACAGTGATGTTTGTGTGAACTGTTCACAAAATACACAAGTCGTTGTTTCTCCCATGACATCTTCTAGTTCAATACAAAACATCCAAATGCACTAGTAAGATGTTCTATATATAGTATGACCAGAAATTATTGAGAATTTTAGGAATATGTTTAACTGGATTTCTAGTATAAACAACCTTGACCAGCTATCAAGTGCTTGGTTTCATTCAAGAGAGACAACTCCGTTAATCCTTTTTCATTAGTTGGTGAAGAGTTATCCCCTTTTGTTTACTTGCTAGCAGAAGACATTTTCAGTGATCCTCAGTATGGATGATTAAGAGAAGAGGAAGTTGATTTTAGAGTATTATAACAAGGACATCAGATCAGCTAAAGTGATTTCAAGTAGAACAGGCATCCCTTTGTCCACTGTTTACCGAGTTTTGAAAAATATTGCAAATGGATATGGCATTGAGCACCAGGGAGGCGCAGGTAGGCCCAGAAAATTGACTGTCAGTGACAGGAGGCGGCTTGGTATTCTTGTTTCTAAAAACAAGCAAAGGAGTTTAGAAGAGTTAAGGCTGGATTTGATTGATAGAGGAACTGTGGCTGTCTGTAAGGAGACAATTAGAACTGAGCTGCATGCAATGGGTTGGCAGAAAAGTCGAGGAATTCCATCACCGATCATGAAACCTGAACAAAAGGAGCGAAGGTTGAACTGGTGCTTACAGTATAGAAATTTGAACTGGGACAATGTGATTTTCTCAGAGGAAAGTTCTGTGTGGCTGTTTCCTAATACACTGAAATTCTGGACCAAACAAACTGAAAAACCTTTGTATCAGCGCCCAAAGTACAGTCCGAAATTTAACGTGTGGGGTGGCATATCTGTGTTAGGGGCAGCCGCCTCTGTGTATTTGAAGGGAATATGAACAGTGAGCGGTACACAGATATTCTCGAGAGACATTTACTTCCATCTGCTCACGTGTTCTATGGAAATGTTTGGATTTTCCAGCAGGACGACCCAAAACATTGTTCAAAGCATTCACAGGCCTGGTTTTCGACCCAAAATATGACATTATGAGATTGGCCAAGCTATAGCCCTGACCTAAATCCAATAGAAAATGTTTGGGGACTTATGAAGCAAAGTGTCAATAAGAAAAATCTGACAAATATTGCTGAAATGAAAGAAGAGGTGGTCCGATATTGGGACAGCATGGACCACGACTTTCTAACTTCTTTGATCAGTAGTAAGCCCCGCCGCATTGAAGCCTGCATTGCTGCCCATGGTGACTTGACAAAATACTAACTGTTCACCTGTCTTTGAATCTGGAGTTATGTTCTGCTAATATTTACATTTAATACGTGAGTAATGAGTGAAAAAATTAAAAAAATAAAAAATTTTAAATGCTCAATAATTTCTGGTTGTGCTATTTCATACCGCTATTGAATTTGTCACTCAATAATGTACTGCCTTGGTAAGTACTTTGCAGTAATTTTGTTTGATTGATATACCCAGTTAAAATGTTTTCCTGTTTCAATAATTCTCCAAAACAAAAGTACAGACTTGTGCCAGTTATATTCGGACATAATTTCCATAGACTTACATATTATTTCAATATAGCATAAACAATTTTCATGAAGTGACTTTAGGATGGATCTTAGTTGTAAAATTTTACAGGCAAATGTGAAATCATCTCTTTTCTGCACACATATAATTTCTGTTCAATTCTCCGACCACTATTTAACTAATGGCATCACATCTTTCAACTTATGTACATGGTTCCACAATGCACAATCCCATAGGCTGCCATATGAATTCACAGCACTGCACATATGTTGATTAAATTGTTGCCATTCGATAAATAAGCAATGGATTATACAGAAATTATGTGATTGTAGGTTAGATGATACCTCACAAATGTGCAAATTTGACTTGGATCATACGAAAATTAATTCATGAAAATAAATTAAAATAAACTAGATTAAACTTGACATGTAAGCCTATGGAAATTACGTCAAGTGTCCGAATATAAATGTCACTGGTCTGTAGTTACAAAGGAACAATTTCCTACAGAAAATGATCACGTTTGACACACCACTAGAAGAGAACAGTCAGCTACTGAAGTTATGTGATCATGCAATGCTCCCAATGATATTTAAACCATATAATATTTAAAATTTGTTTAAACCATTGTGTGTTAGTTTGTTACACTTTGTGACAGGAAAGTAATATTTTGTTTCCGCGAAAGTGATTTATGATCAGCCACCTAGCTGGTCTTCTGTTCAGATATCGTCTGTATCCAAGTCAGCCTCAGGAGAGAGTTTTCACTCGGCTGAACTGTCAATGAACTTACCATACTCGACTCCTCCCATGAAAAAGTATGCACCCATTGTAAAATAAGTCAACCTTTTCTTAGCTTTGAGCGACACCATATTTCTTGGGTCTTTATATCACATCACGAGAACCTGTCATCTTTCATGGGCCATTCCTAGTGAATTTAGAGTTACCTGCCCCTGATTATCTCGATTTGTGCATTGTTTCGTAGCCCACTGAGCATTTTAATTTGCCTTTGGCCATTTTCCCCTGGTTACTAGTTACTGATATGTGTATTGCTTACGATCTTTATCAATGCTCACAACATTAAGCTGACATATGTACCATGTATATGTACTGACGAATTACACATCGTTAGTAACAATGGCTTAGAGAAAAACCAATGTACAATGTACCGTTCCCCCAACCCTCACCCTAAAATTAATGTTGCAGGGGTGAGTCAATAATGACAAGCTGCGGGTGTGTTTGTGAGGTGACGTTTATTTCATCATCATCATATATGTATCAACTATTCAATTGATCAGTCAATCAATTGATCAGTCATTCAATTGATCAGTCATTCACCCCTGTGGGTGACACCGGGGTGTGCCTATATACCCACACAAGTATTCTGTGTTAATGCATTCCTGAGCTGTGCTAAGTGGCTTGTTCTGTGCAGAGTTGTTAGCAGTGTGACTAAAAAGTGTGCAAGTGCTATGGAGGAAAGCTGTAGTTACATAATGTTAATCAAATAGAAAGTTGAGGGCTATTGTATTGAAAGCTAGACTGTTGAGGCCCTAAGCAGACCAACTGCTTGGATAAGTAACCCAAGCACATAAACTAATGAACACAAAAACAACTTGAAGTGATAAATATAAAACTTTATTGCTAAAACTATAAACACAATGTCCTGTTACATTAACCCTAATCCTAACTTAAATTTTGGACTTTTAGTCATCTTTGTTAGTTCTCTAGTAATTGTTGTGTTAAGTTTTGTTTATAATTTTAGTATATATTAATTTATAACTATTATTTGGGATGGGGGAACGGGAGGAACTCTTACCATGATTTTACATATTTCTCATGATGATGATGATTTCTGTGGAGTTTTCAAAGTCAAAGATGTTTTATTGTATTTCAGGCCTCCGGTCCATATACATTGGAGATGCATGCATTATACAGTTTGAATACAGATATAATTTTAACAATCACGCTTAGACATTGCATTGTAAATGTATTGTGATAGTTTCAAGTTGATACAGTTGTCATTAGTAGACAGGAATTGTTTAAATGCTACAGCAGGTGACTTGGAGAGGTAACATTCAGGAATATATTGTTTACGTAAATCTATGTAAGCTAGACAGACAAAAAAGAAATTAATTTCGTTTTCAAAAGATAATTTACACAATGGGCAAATTCTTTTATATCTGTCGATGGACATACTTCCTTCATTAATCATTAAGTTTGATAGTCCTAATCTAAGTCGTATTAATGAATTTCTCAATTTTGCATGTATAATGTGAATGACGCCCCATAAGATTTTGTACAAAGTGACACCACCCACACCCCCATACATGTCATGTACAAAATCAGTGACCCCACTTACCATGATTCTTAAATATTTTTATGTACAAAATTATGAAAGGTCCCTTATGCAATAAAAAGATACCAACTATGTTATTTTTTATCTTTAATGAGAAACGTAGTTTAACTGGATGCGATTTGCATTAGGCGTTGAACGTCAGATGACCAGATTTTGTTAGATGATCCGCCAAAGCGCCCTCGTGTACGTCACGTCTTTAATCATGATAAGTCACTCATGAATTCCACGTGATGCCTCTGTTCTCAAGACAATTCTGGATTCGACTTCGCATTTTCCTAAACCAAGGTTCAATTTCAACTTGGTTCATTTTATCCCATTCTTCCTGCAGGGCAGCGCTTGGTTTGTTGAGAGTGGTTGGTGTTAGTTGACGGTGACAAATCTGGACTGAGAGCTGGCTGTTTTAAAAGTTACGTTCTCCTGTTGGAACTACTCTGTAACAATAGCAGCTGTGTGTGCTCCTGTGTTGTCATCCTAAAACACAAAACGTCCATGTCGGTGCGCAAATGGCACCGCGAGTGTCTCCAGGATGTCACAGCAATACTTCCCAGTGACCATGGTGACATGTCTGTGAATAACATGTAGTGGTGTTTCGGGGTGGGCTGGTAATGTGCGAGTGTTATTAGGTTTATTTCAGAAATGGTTTCTCTTTTTTTATTCACATGAACCCCGACTGTTATGATAGTGTCCGGTTGCCATAATGTCAATCATAATGGTGATCATGTGCTAATATTGGGTCTGCATAAAAAAGTGTAAGTATCAGTTCAATAAACATTTTGAATTTAAGGAGAATAAAGAGTTTGGCAACTCCCGGAAGGGTGATTTTTGTTTAAGTGAATGGTTTCAAGGGTGATCACATTCGCTGGTTGAACGGATTAGAACGTAAAATTGTCAACTCATAGAACTGTTTCAAATGATAAACTGTTCTCATGGTGAAGAACTGTTTTTGACTTTCTACTTAAAGAGCAATTTATTCAATGTAAGACATGCCAGGTGTGTGACAGCTCAGTAGTAGTGAGGGTGGAGCCGTCCGGAGTGTGGTTGGTTCCATGCAGCCTAGTCACTGTTGCCCATCACAACTGATGACATATTCAGACTGGGGAATCCCCACAGGTAACCAGATCACCAACCCTATGGCTGTACAGGCCACAAAGGAGGAGATAATCTGACTGGGGAATCCCCACAAGTAACCAGATCACCAACCCCATGGCTGTATTGGCCACAAAGGAGATAATGTGACTGGGGAATCCCCACAGGTAACCAGATCACAAACCCCATGGCTGTGTTGGGCACGGAGGAGATAATCTGACTGCAGAATCTCCACAGAGCACTTTTATCACAACCTCAAATGATTGAATCGGGCTCTGACACCCAAGTAGCTGTATGGAGTACTGGGGTCATGCTGCAAACGTAGCTGTCATTACGCCATGCAAGAATAGACTACAAGCCATTGATGTAAGTGTTAATGTTTTTTAATAGACAAAGAGACTGATATTTTATCTTTCACATTTTGGCCATAGAACACTTGATTCTACAACCTGCATAAACAGGTCAAAACATACTTCCATATTTACAATCTGAACAATTCTAAACCATCAAAATGGAGATGATAAACTTTCTATGTATTTGAAGATGAAAATTCACACATACTGATGTCATTTGTCGATTCATGCTTTCCACAATTCCCCACGAAGCTGATCTTCAGCAGCCTTGTGGAAACTATGAAGTTCCTTTTTCTCAATGGAATGCCTACATCTGATGAATGCCTCATTCATCAGATCCATAAATAATACAAATGCTACAGGTACAAATTAAAGCTATGACATATTGTACACGTTGATTCTGAATAATCACACTCACTTCAAATATACTGCAGGTCTTTTACATGAATCTGAATCTATTTATCTGACAAAAAAATAATACAGATTGACAAATAATTCAATGATCCAGAATGTGACTGAGATCTGCAACTTGGTAAAAATGATGACCAACATATTGATGCATTCCAATCACTTGCTTCGCTTTTGAAAATTCATTTGATTCAGAAACACTTCATTCACTCTAGATGACAAAAGGTATACCACATTGAAAATGGACTCTTGCTTCCATGAGGGAAGAAGCACTCAATTGCCTTCTTCACACAGTACAGCAAGGAACCGACTGCCTGCAACACCAACTCCCAACAAGACTTACAGACCCTGCTCAACAACTGGATATGAAAACAGTCAAACAGACAATTTTCAACATGGCTGCCTTAGCCACTGTAGATTAGGAGTAAAAAAGGGGATATGACATTAGGGTAACATGATGTGTAAAATAACAACAAAAAGGATAAACATGGGCCTGATAGACCTTCCTCCATGATGACATATTTTCAATATAGCCATCTATGATGTAATTTCCTGTGAGCACTTTTATAAACACTATATTTGTGGGCTACGTTTCAGCTTAATACCCAGTGATACAGATATCCTAGAGATAAATAATTCAAGATAGATAATGTCTTTATTATCCAAAGGGATTATCAATTCAATATCAATTCAAGAGAATATCTGATGTCAAAGAAGCACAAAGGAAAAATTACAAAGATCTATAAAAAAAAATACACATTGCATATAAACTTTCACAATAACTGGAGAATTGGACTTTTTCTACATGACAATCATATCCACTGCAAGATTGGAATTCTTGAATTCACAACTATTAAACAGTGGGATCTTTCAAAGTCTCAGCCTTATAGGCTTTGTTTCAAAGGGCATTTAAGCGGAGATATTTTTCATGTCACTTACACTATTAACTAATGGGAGAAGTTGCCATTTACACTTGAACAATATTTGCTGCTTTGAAAAGGTAAAAATAATGACTCCCAGCCTGTCCAACTGTCCAATCCAGATGGGTCACTTTTGACTTATCTTTGAGATGAAAATAATGTCTGATGTTTTCTAACATTTCTTATAAATTGGCAGAAAAATAACCAGTGCAAAAAAAAAAATATCTATGTATGGTGATAACATTTCAGATATTTACATAAAAATATCAAACAAGACTGTGTATAATTCTAAGAATACTACCTCTGTATCTGCAACTCATAGATATTGAACATATCCTCTTGACATCAAACCTTTCCTTCATGTGATGATGGGGTAGGGTATTCAAAGGAATTATAAACATAACTGGTAAAAATAATTGCTCAAAAAGACATTTATACTGACTATTTATTGCACAGAAAAACAAACAGTTGTGCAAGCTTCATCATACTCAGGATGCACTGATGTTTATTTTAGCAGTTTCACATGCTACAATTTGTGAGGACGTTTACTCAGGTAAACATTGCTTTACAAACATTCTCCCAATTCTTAAAGCTGAACAGAAGAAGAATGATCCTATTTATAACCAAGCTAAACATGAGATAAGCTTTTTCACAGTAAAGCATTTTTTAAAGGCAAAAATATTTGAACTTTTGCACATGCTCAGAATAACAATGTGTATTCACAAGATGAGATGATATATATGCAGTGTAAAGTTTGACTTTCAGAGTTGACCAGAAAAACAACAACAGCTGTACATGATGGCATATGATGACGAGGTTGGGCCATGACCTTGACCTTTAATCATCATCAATACATATAACATCCTTCTTCCCATTGACCTTGGCAGCGTCCAGTTTACTGTCCATCTTGCTGGGGCCACTTTCTTTCTTGGTCAGGTCCTCAGCTTGTCCAGTTGAACCTGCCAACAAACAACACCAGTCAACGTCACAGTTTCACCAACTACACAAATTATCTCTCAAACCTAAACCATCTGATGCATTAGTGTTTTCGAGTTCTCCTTTTTAAACTGTACTTACATGATATCACTTAGTCAAAGCCCTTCTTTGATAACCACATTTTTTATCAAATCAATTTTATCTTAGAAATAATGATCATTATCTCTTCACACAAACATTTGCTCCCAATAGATGCAAATCAAGCCAATAATTTCAAACTTTCTACTGCCCCTGCTTTGAACACATCAAGTTCAGAATTCGCCCTTATGTACAAAGACAGATGTTTAATGACACAAAACAACATCCTACTATGCTTCCACATAGGCCATTTTCAAGTGGAACCGGGTGTCAGCACGTACCTAGCCACAGAAGTGCACTGTATTCGACCTTATTGACACACAGACAAAATTAAAAATGGCTTTCTCAAAGCCAACTTTCAAAAGAGACAAAATTCAGGGTAATTTGAAATTCAGTCCACTCATGATGTGAAGGAAATGATTATCAAATATGTTCAGACTGTGATGCTCTGTGTATTAATAGGGTCGAATACAGAAAGATATATCAACCAACCTAGCTCACTTTGAGGACTTTGATGGGGCATCTGTGGGGAAGAAAAATATATGTGATGAACATATGTGAAGTTCTTGTGAAAGAGTTGTAATTTTGAGAGTTTACTTTTCCCATAGTATCATGATCACAAAATGTATTGGAAAATGTGATTTTTGTCTGGATGCCTCTCTGCCATATTGAGCTATGTACATTTGAGACAAAGGCAGCACGAAATATTCCAGTTCACATTAACATAACACAGGCTCCAGATGTACCGGTCTAGATTAGTGTATGAAATATACTACTGGGGTGTGCAATCACTATCACTTAAGCAGGGACTGAGAGATCAGCAAAGGAAACTTCATTTTGGTTTGAAAGCGTTCAGAAAATGCTAATGTGGGGAGATATAGTATATATTTAATCTAATCACTGGCTCCACATGAAAATGGCCCAAGCTGGTTTGATGGTAACTCTGAATAATGCAACATGACATATGAAGTAAACTTGTGACGACACACCATAACTATACTTTCAGCCTTCGACAAACACGAAGCCACGTCTAAACAAAACACCAATCAGGAGAAACATGCAAGTTGGGTGTCAAAGAATTTGTCCTCATGAAGCTGATCAAACTGTATGTAGAAGTTTGATGTCCGCCAAACATTTAACTGATCCCATAAACATAAGGACAACTTCATCGGTTGTAACTGGGAACTTTTGATCTAAGCAAATGCTGCAATTAATAATCTATCACAATAATTGAAAAACACCGTCTGACAAGAAACAGGTTCAATCATATTGACTTGACAAACAAAACAAGTGGGAAGACATTCACCATTTTGTTAATCACGTCAACTAAATGGACGGTCAAGTGCAAGCAGGAGCATGAAGAAAATATACTTTAAAACATCAGACGTAAGTTCTGAAAAAAAAGACTAACATCCATGGCAGATATGAACTGATCACACAACACTGCATGATGCTCTGTGTTCAGGCCAGGCACTCAGAATTTAAACTCAAGGCCAGCAAATTTCAGAAGGTGATTAATATTTTCTGGCCTCAACACTGACACTAGATGGCTGACATGGCTCTGCAACAGGGTGGAACTAAGAGCTATAGCCCATGCAGAAATGAGTGTTACACAACATACGTAGTGGTAGAAACTGGTCCAAACCAGCTGGTGGCAGATTGTCCGGTTTCATCTGCCAAGAAAAGGGCTCAGCAGGCCCAAGAAAAGGATTGGGTGGATCAATAGGAACTGTTTGTGAGAGAGAATGAGATAAGGTGTTATAGGGGGCAAGGACATGGGTTGAAGATTGAGATAAGGTGTTACTGGAGGCCGTCATGGGTTGAAGATTGAGATAAGGTGTTACTGGAGGCCGTCATGGGTTGAAGATTGAGATAAGGTGTTACTGGAGGCCATCATGGGTTGAAGATTGAGATAAGGTGTTACTAGAGGCCGTCATGGGTTGAAGATTGAGATAAGGTGTTACTGGAGGCCGTCATGGGTTGAAGATTGAGATAAGGTGTTACTAGAGGCCGTCATGGGTTGAAGATTGAGATAAGGTGTTACTGGAGGCCATCATGGGTTGAAGATTGAGATAAGGGTGTTACTGGAGGCCATGTTACTGGAGGCATGGGTTGAAGATTGAGATAAGGTGTCATAGGGGCATCATGGGTTGAAGATTGAGATAAGGTGTTACTAGAGGCCATCATGGGTTGAAGATTGAGATAAGGTGTTACTGGAGGCCGTCATGGGTTGAAGATTGAGATAAGGTGTTACTAGAGGCCGTCATGGGTTGAAGATTGAGATAAGGTGTTACTGGAGGCCATCATGGGTTGAAGATTGAGATAAGGTGTCATAGGGGGCAAGGACATGGGTTGGAGATTGATAAGGTGTTACTGGAGGCCGTCATGGGTTGGAGATTGAGATAAGGTGTTACTGGAGGCCGTCATGGGTTGGAGATTGAGATTAGGTGTTACTGGAGGCTGTCATGGGTTGAAGATTGAGATAAGGTTTCATAGGGGGCAAGGACATGGGTCCCAGATTGATAAGGTGTTACTGGAGGCCGTCATGGGTTGAAGATTGAGATAAGGTGTTACTAGAGGATGTCATGGGTTGAAGATTGAGATAAGGTGTTACTGGAGGCCGTCATGGGTTGAAGATTGAGATAAGGTGTTACTGGAGGCCAAGTCATGGGTTGAAGATTGAGATAAGGTGTTACTGGAGGCCAAGTCATGGGTTGAAGATTGAGATAAGGTGTTACTAGAGGCCATCATGGGTTGAAGATTGAGATAAGGTGTTACATAGGGGTCAGAGGACACAGGCCAAGTCATGAGTTGAGATAAGGCTGACATAAGAGTGCCAGAGGCCACATGGGTTTGAGATTGAGATATGGCGTTACATGGGGCCAGGACATGGGTCAGAGATTGAGATACGGCGTTACATGAGGCCAGGACATGGGTCAGAATTTGAGATAAGGTGAGTGAGTGAGTAGGCAAGACAGATCAGAGACTCAGCAAAGGCATTAAATGGGGCCAAGACAGGGCTGAGAAATTGAGATAAGTATTACAGGACTAAGGGTAAAGTAGGACTTGAAACAGTTCAGAGTTTTTGTCATCTATCAATTAAGGAATGATCTGTAAGTTATTGACAAAACTACCAACTTTATTGATCCGTACCTTTGTATAATTATTATCATACTGAAGCACAAATTTAAACATTGCTCAAAATAAAAAAAAGGAAGTTTGCTTAAAAACAGCAAATATGTTATGGACTTCAACAACACCATGTGATCCACTGTTACATGGAAGCCTGTCTGCATCTCTGGAGAGAGTTAGACATTACAGCATATTATTGGGCACCGGTTGAGTTTCTAAAATCATAATCCAAGGTATAAAAGAAAGAGGTAGGCCAATACCCATATCATTATAAACCTTTAATTAAACTCCTAATCCCATGCTTTTCAATTTGTTTTGCAAAAAACAGATGTATGAATTTTTAAAATATGCTGAAAGATAAACACCACCAGTGATGATGCTCAGCCATGCTTGTGGGGAGCATTCATTATGTATTCTAAAATATCAGATTAACATTAATATTTGAAAAAAAAAAAAAAATTGGTAAAAATATCAAACATGATGGCATAAAAGGAAATAATAATAGTAAGATTAATTCTGAAAAACGCAAAAAAATAATTTAAAAATACTTCCCTCTCTTGCCATGTGACCTCTCATTTCCATGAATGGAAGAACAGGAAATACCAAATAAGGTATATTTAAAAGAGACAGGTCAGGTGAGAGGGCGATGACTGGAAGGTGTTGTTTCACCAGTTAGTTTTACAATTTGAGCATAAATATACACTCATATCTGTTGTGATTGTGTTAAGCTTGGATCAGCAGTTATCAATGCTGACGTAACTATTGCCAATAGGAGTTAATAAAAATTGCTGACATGCAATGTGCTTGTAAATCAGCTGTACCCGGATGATATTCATATTTCATGTTTTAGTGTCAATCTCCCTCCTAGGCATTGTCATAACAGTGGTTTCAGCCAGTTGGCACTTCAATACAGGAAGTACCTGATGTGTAATTCTGCAGGTCTCCATGACAGCGACCCTGTCATTGTATCCCAATTGCGTAGATCAATGTTCATGCTGTTGATCACTGGATTGTGTGGTCCAGTCTTGATTATTTACAGACCGCCACCACATAGCTGGAATATTGGTGAGTGCAGCGTAAAACTAAACTCACTCACTCACCCTAATCACAGTTGCCTGGGTAAACACTTACACTGCTGCATCATCTTTGAGTGAATGTTTCTCTTGGTAGAATCGGGGTGTAGAAACACACCTGTCTGACCAACAATGTCAAGTCTAACAGGGCACCAGAGCTCAACCTACCATTAAACCTACTCTGGAAATCAAGGCACAACAGGAGCCTTCTATCTCCACTGGCAACATAACCTGTAGTGTGCACACTGTACACATCTAAGAACTACAGAAGCAGCAGACCTTCTACATGCATTTACTCACCAGATGATGGGGCTGGAGACCGATGGGAAGGGCTGGGTGTTGCCGACGGCAACCGTACACTCTGGCCACCGGGGACCGCACCTGTAAAGAATGGCACCACCATGAAGAAGTTCAGGCACATCTGTGTCACAAGCTCAACAACTGGGTACCTCCATGCATTGTGGGCTGGCTCCATAGTTGTCACAAGTGAAATCTGGCGGAGTCAGCAGCAGAGACATCCCCAAGATCTTGACAAGAGGTTTAGAGTGGACTTTACTACCTGCGATCTCTCAATTTTCCTCACAATTATTCTGTCCTGATCATTCCATGTAAGGGCTTAAATTATCAAAAGTCCATATATGTGGCTGTATATATTTATTTTTTTTGTTGAAAATTTTAACCAAACTGAATTAAAATTCCATCTATGTGTATGCTGAAGTTGGGAGATGACGATCTATTGAGTGTTGCTATCAACAATGATCCATGTCATCAGGGTCGTAAATCAACTCTGTCACAAGCCTGATCACCCAGTCTGAAGCCCCACATATCACAAACTGATGAAACCTTGGTTCAATACAGACAAATCATGACCAGGACCTCTATGGGAAATGTCTCAAACGAAAATTGAAACACTGAGATGAAATGTGTTGACTGCCATCTTCAGCTTGACACCACAATAACAGCTTATCTGATTCAAGAGTAAGTTCATCCACACTTGCTAGCATCCATAAGACATCAATCTTAGCTATTGGTCGGTTCATACTGACAAATCACTTTCTAAATAGTTTTCAATATTGTGTATTCAATATGAAATATAAAATCAAACAATAATTTCACAAAATAATGTATAAAAATGTAAAGCAAAAAATGCAAGGATGGCACTGCCATACATGTACTAAATTCATTAAATTATTGACATAAATGACATTCTGCACATTAGGAAATCACAGCACAAAAAGCTGAAACAAAATCGCTGATGAAGTGGGATGAGCTCTTTGACCAAATGCTTTTAAAACAAAATCAAGGTTGAATTTCATGTTTGCAAATGTAAAATCATTCCCAAAAGAAATGTCTTGAAAATCAATTTTCTTCATTTTGAGGTTAAAACTTGTATGTTTACCAAACAAACAAAACAGCGTATTTACCTATGCAAAAAAAATATATTTTTTTAAATAAATAAATAAAAAAATTTAAAAAGCAAAAAAAAAAAAGCATTGAGATTAACAAGAACATCAAAGTGATCATCACTTGAGGAAACAGTACCGGGAATGTCATTAATCTGCCAAGGGAGGTAGACTCGGATCTACCAACATTGTTTCATAAACCAACGAAGGTAACTTCTCTTTCTAACTTTTAAACAGTTATGCTCAAATGTATATGTTGATGAAAATGTGACAAGTTTTCACGATAGTGTTTCCTCTCTAGGATATGGCCCATCAAATGACAATGCTGACCTGGTAAAAGCGGCATCATGGGAAATCCCATGGGTCCTGAAAGTGAAAGTAGCCAAGGGTTTAATTCAGTTGTAACACATAGGAATAACTCGTTTCTCTTGGATTTGTAACTGTATCAACGTGGACAAATATTTGTATCAAACTGTCTTGTCACACGAATGGAATTGCAAATTGAGCAGCTAGTTTTGAAGAATTAGACTTGTATTTTCAATCTTACTTCTAAAATGCACAGAGAATGTTTAAGCTTGCAAGCTATTTCATGAAAATCAAACTTCAATAACAACTTAAATACTAGTTTCAAACTCTTTATACTTAGTTGTCTGTATTTTTTTTATATCGTAAGTTTCACATTTAAGTTTATACTTTCAATTACACATGCAGGAGTACAGAACGATATCGTCGAGCAGCGGTGACCAAATCTCCATGCTGCTCGCTACAAACAACCTTGTATGCATACACAGACCGACAGGCTGGCCCGTAGTGTTTTCCCCAATAGATACTGAACCCAAATCTGCATCGCACTGCCACAAGGTACGTACATCATCATGTAAGGACCACATGATTCATGCCTCTAAATGTGGGTATTTGTATTTTAGATCAGGCAACAATATAGTTTATCAGGTTGAAAACAGGACAGATAATGTTTTGCCACTGCATCTAGTGATTGCAGCCAAAAATCTGTACCCATATTCCAACCCAATAAATATTCAAAAAGTTGCAAAAGGCCAGACCAATTTTATTTCTTGTTTTACGGATCCGCCGGTAATGTTTTCAAGAAGAAAAAAAATAAAAAAAATAATTTTCCCCGCTCATGAAATAAAATCCTTATGTTTTATAAGACAAAAAAAATATGTAAACTTACAAAAAAACATTGATTGTTTTTTTGCCCCTTTATACACTTCATAAATTGCCAGAAGTTAAATAATTTTAATATTTAGAAGAAATATTACTTTGGTAATTTTATTTTATTTTATTTTTCCCTCCTGCTTTTAGGTTTTCGGGAGGACAAAAATCCGTAAAACAAGAAAAGGAATTGGTCTGGCCCAATCTAAAATATAAGTACACATTTTTGAAGGCAAGTGCCTTGTTAAACGAACTGTTTCAGTTTTCATCGGACAACAATTCACATACATTATGGCAGCGCTGTTAGTGTGGTATGTACAGAGTACCGAGTCTATTACTACGGGACAGCCAGCAGCTGTTAAGTGAACGTGAAACCATTTATAGGAAGCAGCAGAGAGAAACGGTTACCGCAGCTAGATACCGTCATTCCTACAGACACGGGTACAGATTCAACTAGGCCGTTTTGTAGTTACCAGCGTAGTGCAGCATAAGTAAACAGTTGGTTTTGTACTACCCATCTTCAAGCCACACACGGTCAACCAGCAAATTTACAAAGCAGTCCATACAAAATGAAATAAGCGAAACGAACCAAGTATATTAAGCACTAGAACATCTAATATGCGGTGGTAGTAGCTCGATATCAGAAACTTTTGTGAACACTGAAGCTTGGTTTCAGGGTACTAGGAAAACAGGGACACCTCCCATGTGTTTGGGGGGAAACCTGGACCAGTTTCATGTTTTTATTGTTTTGTTTCACAAAAAGGGTTTCTTTTATTCTCATGCATTCTGAAAGCACCAAGAAAAGGTAATAATAAAACAAATGTATAGCTGCTTACTGCATAAACACAGCATGAGACTGTACATATATAGCAACCAAATTCAGTGACAAGCCAATCTTCAAAGTAAGCCAGTGATACGAACAAATACTATTGTGAAGTAGGCTGAAAATAAGACAGAAGCTTAGTGACCCAGCTGTCATGCAAAGCAACTTATAACCACATGATTAATTACTGGTCTCTCAATTCTGGAATAGTGGAAAAGAATTCCAGACTGCTTACATTAACAAACAGAATTTAATGACATGTCTCGTTTATAACTGTCCTACTTTTTTCCATTTCTGTTCCTCTGACATCAAACACTTCAGAACAGTTCTACAATTATGATTTTAGGGGCAAATTTTGTTTCACAAATCATTCAGTGCTGACAGGCTTCTAAGAAGTAAAATGTTGTTTTTTTTATTGCACCAGCAGAGAATAGTTTCAACTACATGGTTAGAGTTTTGCCAGCTAATATGGACAGGTAATTGTTAGCAAGGTTGGAGAGGGGTTGGAGAGACATTAATTAATGCATAGTGGTCTAATGCACATGAATCTACTGAGGCAGCAAAGCACTAAGGATGAGAAACTGACTGGAGACGAAACACTTCACATATCAGCAACCCCTACTCAACCTGGAAGCAAGGTCTTCGATTAATTGGGACAACAGCCAAATCAAGAGCTACAAGTATTAACACTGACTTTGTCAAAAGAGACACAAAATAAACAGTAGATTCAAAAGGTTTCCAAACATACCACTTCACATCAAATAATGTTTAAATCTGTGAAAATCATGACATTAACTCTCTAAGGAACAAAGCATTGTGAAAACTTGCAGCCCATAATATTTGTCGGTGCACATAACATAGTTCCTGGACACAGTACAAAGCATGTGAAGCTTGCCGATTCTTACAACATGCCATGACAAGAAGGCTCCCCGCTACCAACCTTGATTAAATGATGTAGGGGGGACCCCAAACTGCGGTCGAAACCCTGCAAAACTGGAGTTAGAGTATGGTCCAAAGTTGCCTGCAGCTGCCGCTGCCATGAACTGGGAGGACACAGCTGCAGAAGATGTGGCTGCAGAGCCTGAAGCAGAACTTGACCCACCAGAGAGTGTTGGAGTTGGAGGGCCGGTCGTCGAGGAAGGCGTGGCCTGGTTCGGGTTGACCAATCGGTTGAGGATATTCCTCTCGGACATCTGTAGTCGCTGGGTGACAGGGGGCACGCGGGCTAGGGTGGCCGGGAGACGAGCCACGTCCTGTTTCATATCACTCAGCAGCTCCTCCAGCTGGTTTAGCACTGGATAACGTACAGATTACTCATGTTAACACACAGCAACAGTAAGTACACACACAAACAATATGTAAACAACTGCAGACCTTCATGGCGTAGATCTCATAAGGCAATAACATCAGTAAATCAGTAACCATTCATATCAAAATAAAACCCTGGATCAATATTTTTCCTTTCAAAATTGAGGAGTTTTGCAATAAATGCTTTTCAATTTTTTTTAAAAACCCCAGAACTGATGATTGGATATATTTTCAATACATTCACAGATGGACTGTCTTCAACTAACACATCAACTACATGTTAACTTCACCAAGACACACTACTAGTGTTTCAGTAAAAGTGAGCTGGTTGGGTTTCAACTCTCTTTTGAAAAATCCTTTTACATCACGGCATGTCAACTTTATCTGGGATGAAAATTTGAAATGATGAAGGTGTTGAGTTACCATTCCTGTGAAACCCAAAAGCAAGTGTATTAACGACAAACCTAGAAAGATAATCAGTGCGAAACAGGATGCCACTCATCATCACAGGCTTCACAGGCTTCAGGCATGTACAAGGGATGCAACTCTGTACAGCCACCTGTGCCCCTAAGAAATATGAGGTACAATGAAGGGCGTGTCTGAACAATGCAATAATAGTCATGAATGTGAGAGGATATAACATACCTTTATGTAGCACAGCATTAGCAGGCTTGTTCCCGCCCAGGGATTCTTTAGACAGATGCTGATGACTCTCAGCTAGACACTCAAGTTCAGCAAACCTGGAGTACAATACATGAGAAATCAAGTACCATTGGTGGTTGGAGCAATATTCGGCACTATAACGTTAAGGATCAGGAATACGTTTGGAGAGACTCTTGCAGTGAAAACTGAGTTCACAATTTCATAAAAATATCACTAACAATCATAACGCCTCCCTTTTTTTTTGTTCAGCATACATGTAAAATTGTTAGTTCCCTTTACAAACCCAGAATAATATCTAAATCTGTGTTTGGTAGTAAAATATCCCAGAACAGTTTTGCTGTTATTTCAAATGACCACATGAAGTTATCTACCTTGCATTGAGCGCCATGGCAGGATGAGTGGGGTCCTGAGTAAGGTTGAGGTAAGCGGCACGTCTCAGTTGCTCTTCAATGACTAGCGCCTGTTCCAGGAGCTGCAGGAGAAACTCACACTAACTATGGCCATATATTGTATGTCTATAGCATGAACAGCTGTGTAGAGAGAACATGATTACTGATGAACTACAGCCATATGTTGTATGTCTATAGCATGAACAGCTGTGTAGAGAGAACACGATTACTGATGAACTACAGCCATATATTGTATGTCTATAGCATGAACAGCTGTGTAGAAAGACCATGATTACTGATGAACTACAGCCATATGTTGTATGTATAGCATGAACAGCTGTGTAGAGAGACCATGATTACTGATGAACTACAGCCATATATTGTATGTCTATAGCATGAACAGCTGTGTAGAGAGACCATGATTACTGATGAACTACAGCCATATGTTGTATGTCTATAGCATGAACAGCTGTGTAGAGACCATGATTACTGATGAACTACAGCCATATGTTGTATGTCTATAGCATGAACAGCTGTGTAGAGACCATGATTACTGATGAACTACAGCCATATGTTGTATGTCTATAGCATGAACAGCTGTGTAGAGACCATGATTACTGATGAACTACAGCCATATGTTGTATGTCTATAGCATGAACAGCTGTGTAGAGAGACCATGATTACTGATGAACTACAGCCATATGTTGTATGTCTATAGCATGAACAGCTGTGTAGAGAGACCATGATTACTGATGAACTACAGCCATATATTGTATGTCTATAGCATGAACAGCTGTGTAGACAGACCATGATTACTGATGAACTACAGCCATATGTTGTATGTCTATAGCATGAACAGCTGTGTAGAGACCACGATTACTGATGAACTACAGCCATATGTTGTATGTCTATAGCATGAACAGCTGTGTAGAGAGACCATGATTACTGATGAACTACAGCCATATGTTGTATGTCTATAGCATGAACAGCTGTGTAGAGAGACCACGATTACTGATGAACTACAGCCATATGTTGTATGTCTATAGCATGAACAGCTGTGTAGAGAGACCACGATTACTGATGAACTACAGCCATATGTTGTATGTCTATAGCATGAACAGCTGTGTAGAGAGACCATGATTACTGATGAACTACAGCCATATGTTGTATGTCTATAGCATGAACAGCTGTGTAGAAAGACCATGATTACTGATGAACTACAGCCATATATTGTATGTCTATAGCATGAACAGCTGTGTAGACAGACCATGATTACTGATGAACTACAGCCATATATTGTATGTCTGTAGCATGAACAGCTGTGTAGACAGACCATGATTACTGATGAACTACAGCCATATGTTGTATGTCTGTAGCATGAACAGCTGTGTAGAGAGACCATGATTACTGATGAACTACAGCCATATGTTGTATGTCTATAGCATGAACAGCTGTGTAGAGAGACCATGATTACTGATGAACTACAGCCATATATTGTATGTCTGTAGCATGAACAGCTGTGTAGAGAGACCATGATTACTGATGAACTACAGCCATATGTTGTATGTCTATAGCATGAACAGCTGTGTAGAGAGACCATGATTACTGATGAACTACAGCCATATGTTGTATGTCTATAGCATGAACAGCTGTGTAGAGAGACCATGATTACTGATGAACTACAGCCATATATTGTATGTCTATAGCATGAACAGCTGTGTAGAGAGACCATGATTACTGATGAACTACAGCCATATGTTGTATGTCTATAGCATGAACAGCTGTGTAGAGACCATGATTACTGATGAACTACAGCCATATGTTGTATGTCTATAGCATGAACAGCTGTGTAGAAAGACCATGATTACTGATGAACTACAGCCATATGTTGTATGTCTATAGCATGAACAGCTGTGTAGAGAGACCATGATTACTGATGAACTACAGCCATATGTTGTATGTCTATAGCATGAACAGCTGTGTAGAGAGACCATGATTACTGATGAACTACAGCCATATATTGTATGTCTATAGCATGAACAGCTGTGTAGAGACCATGATTACTGATGAACTACAGCCATATGTTGTATGTCTATAGCATGAACAGCTGTGTAGAGAGACCATGATTACTGATGAACTACAGCCATATGTTGTATGTCTATAGCATGAACAGCTGTGTAGAGACCATGATTACTGATGAACTACAGCCATATGTTGTATGTCTATAGCATGAACAGCTGTGTAGACAGACCATGATTACTGATGAACTACAGCCATATGTTGTATGTCTATAGCATGAACAGCTGTGTAGAGAGACCATGATTACTGATGAACTACAGCCATATGTTGTATGTCTATAGCATGAACAGCTGTGTAGAAAGACCATGATTACTGATGAACTACAGCCATATGTTGTATGTCTATAGCATGAACAGCTGTGTAGAAAGACCATAATTACTGATGAACTACAGCCATATATTGTATGTCTATAGCATGAACAGCTGTGTAGAGAGACCATGATTACTGATGAACTACAGCCATATATTGTATGTCTGTAGCATGAACAGCTGTGTAGAGAGACCATGATTACTGATGAACTACAGCCATATGTTGTATGTCTATAGCATGAACAGCTGTGTAGAGAGACCATGATTACTGATGAACTACAGCCATATGTTGTATGTCTATAGCATGAACAGCTGTGTAGAGAGAACATGATTACTGATGAACTACAGCCATATATTGTATGTCTATAGCATGAACAGCTGTGTAGAAAGACCATGATTACTGATGAACTACAGCCATATGTTGTATGTCTATAGCATGAACAGCTGTGTAGAAAGACCATGATTACTGATGAACTACAGCCATATGTTGTATGTCTATAGCATGAACAGCTGTGTAGAGAGACCATGATTACTGATGAACTACAGCCATATGTTGTATGTCTATAGCATGAACAGCTGTGTAGAGAGACCATGATTACTGATGAACTACAGCCATATGTTGTATGTCTATAGCATGAACAGCTGTGTAGAGAGACCATGATTACTGATGAACTACAGCCATATGTTGTATGTCTATAGCATGAACAGCTGTGTAGAGACCATGATTACTGATGAACTACAGCCATATGTTGTATGTCTATAGCATGAACAGCTGTGTAGAGAGACCATGATTACTGATGAACTACAGCCATATGTTGTATGTCTGTAGCATGAACAGCTGTGTAGACAGACCATGATTACTGATGAACTACAGCCATATGTTGTATGTCTATAGCATGAACAGCTGTGTAGAGAGACCATGATTACTGATGAACTACAGCCATATGTTGTATGTCTATAGCATGAACAGCTGTGTAGAGAGACCATGATTACTGATGAACTACAGCCATATGTTGTATGTCTATAGCATGAACAGCTGTGTAGAGAGACCATGATTACTGATGAACTACAGCCATATGTTGTATGTCTATAGCATGAACAGCTGTGTAGAGAGACCATGATTACTGATGAACTACAGCCATATATTGTATGTCTATAGCATGAACAGCTGTGTAGAGAGACCATGATTACTGATGAACTACAGCCATATATTGTATGTCTATAGCATGAACAGCTGTGTAGAGAGACCATGATTACTGATGAACTACAGCCATATATTGTATGTATAGCATGAACAGCTGTGTAGAGAGAACATGATTACTGATGAACTACAGCCATATATTGTATGTCTATAGCATGAACAGCTGTGTAGAGAGACCATGATTACTGATGAACTACAGCCATATATTGTATGTATAGCATGAACAGCTGTGTAGAGAGACCATGATTACTGATGAACTACAGCCATATGTTGTATGTATAGCATGAACAGCAAGTCAGTAACAGAAAATACACGATGACTCATCAACTACAACCACTATGCACAGCATGAATGGCACAGTAATGGAACACGTCACTCTCTGACCTGCATGTGTGTGCAAATATGATGAGTGATAGAGTAAGCATGGTTTTAGGCCACTTTGGCAATATTCCATCAATATCATGGCGGGGGACACCAGAAATGGGCGTCACATACTGTACCCATTTAGGGAATCGAACCTGATTCTTCAGTGTGCCAAGCGAACGCTTTAACCAGTAGGCTACCCCACCGCCCCTCAACTGTGAGGAAGACGAACCAGTGTCAGACAATGGGTAACAACAAACATCATAGCGGCAAGACAAGTGCAGAACATGAGAGGCTGAACAGTCAGAACTGATTGTCCGTCCATTGAAGTGACAGCTGTACACTACATCACACACAATTTTTAATTAGCCAGCCAATCATACCTTAAACCGCCTTGCCAGGAACTTGTTCTTGATCTCCAGGAAGTTTCCTTTGCCCTGTTCACTGATGAAGGGTTCATTAATGATCTGGAAGCGGGGATCATTCTGGATGTCCTGCCACCGACCATACCCAAATCTAAAGGTAGTTAAGGAAACCTTCGGGGAAATCTAGACTTTGATTGTAATTTGTGCATGAGGGCAAAACAGAAGAATAAAACTGTGGCTTCAAGTGAAAGATCAGTGTCTCTAAATAATATGCTCAAGACGACCATGAGACAAAATCCTGTGACATGACTCAGTAATTGCCCCATATGACTGTACGTAAGGCAGATGCTGTTAATAATGATATTAGAATGGTCACTTACTTCAGTGTAACGTCATATATAGACTTTTTTTTAAAAGAAAATACATCATTTGCTGAAATGCAAACAATTATTATCTCTTTTGTGCTGCCTTATTGCAAAAACTTGAAAAGTTCATAAATCATGATCCCAGCAAGAAATTGCTTCAGTAAAGACCACCTTCCCCTCTGACAAATTTTTCAAAAAGTACCCAACATATTATTCAACAGAAGATTTATCGCTTAGATCATGTTCCGAGAGAAGTTAAAATACCAACAAGGCCCTACATGCTAACATGGCGAGTACCGGGAAGGATACGTGACAATGCCGGCCAGCAGCCAGTAGTCATGACGACGATGCCAGACCTCATGTTCCCGCCCTGCCTGCAGGGCTCGTTGTTCATTGGCCCAGAGTGTGTGGAGCTCCGTGAAGCCACCATCAGCAATATTAAACATAAACTTCTGGAACTGCTCATCCCTCTTCTTCTCCTCCTCCGAGCGAGGTACAGATTCCTTCTTGGGTTCAACCTTCTCCTTCTCTTTCTCGTCCTTTTCTCCCTTCTCCTTGTCTTCTTCAACTACACAAAGACACAACCTTGATTGATTAATCATTACTCCACGGAAGAATGTTCAGATCTGACTGTTTCAGGTGTCTCGATAAAATACAATACATTATGATAATGTCTGGATATACATCTGGAGGTGAGATGAAACGGTTTATCAAGATATGTATCTGTGCGAGTGTCCGTGTGAGTTTTGTGTGCGTGCCTGCATATGTTCACCTATTATTAGGAGCTTGAGTATCGTGAAATAAAATCTAACTTAGGAAACATCAAACAACAGATCCCGAAAGTGATACTTCCACAACTGTGACAGACTTGCTGAGGAATACAGACAAAGTCCATGAAAATGACAGAAGAATCATCTCAGTGTTTCAAAGCATTACTAACCCTCTTTCTTCTCTTCCTTTTTCTCCTCGTTGTCTTCTTCCTTCTTTACATCTGCTTCCGCATCTTTCTTCTCCCCATCTTCCTTCTTCTCCTCCGACTTCTCTGCTTTCTCACCTTCCTTGGAGTCATCTTTCACCTTCTCACCATCAGCCCCTACAATGACATCACATGCCTCACTCATCCAGTTATTCTGAGAAATGTTTAAACTGAGCAATATTATACTAAGTTGGCCTGCCAAGTATGGGTTGAGCATGGACGTAGCGGTCGACATTGTTAACATCTTTCACCAGAACAGGTGTCTCCCTTTCTGAAGGTGCTCTTCCAGTGAACCATTCAACCACCTAATCATATGCAGTACTAAAAGATATACGAGGTACTGGTGACACATGCCCGAATCATGTGATTTAGACCAATATCTGCTAGAAACATCAGCAAAATGTCAAAAAGAACTAGCGCCTCTAAGAAGCCAAATGCTACAAGAGTGTTCAGTTCAGCATGGTTCCCTACCTTCGGCCTTCTCCTCTTTCTTCTCGCTGGTGTCCATGGGGACATCCTCCTCCTTCGGCTTCTCCTCCTCCACTGCTGCGGCTTCCTCCTTGGGTTTCTCCTTCACCTCCTCCTCCTCCTCTTTCTTCTCCTCGGCCTCCATGGGCTCTTCCTTCTTCACCTCCTCCTCCTTCTCACCCTCCTTCTGCACAACACAATCATATGAATACATCTCAGTCATGTTCTGAGGGAAACTCGTGGTTAGAACATTACCGTGTTATGCTGAAGGCCACAAAGTTTGCTTTAACTATCATGAAATGCATGCTTAGAGCTATGAAAAAACAGTTTCTCTCTATTTCAAATATTAAAGAATTTCTGTTCACTAAGCTGGCTTTAGCTGTGGACTCCAGGTGCCGGTACCAACAACACACCTGTTCAGCCTCTTCCTTCTTGTCCTGAGTATCCTTCTCTTTCTCCTCATCTTCTCCTTCCTTCACCTTGTCAGTTTTGTCTTCCTCCATCTTCTCCTCCTTGTCTTCAGTTTTCTCGTCCTTCTCTCCTTCTTTGGATTCCTTCTGTACTTCTTCTTTACCATCCTCTTTCTCTTCCTTCACCTCCTTGTCATCTTTTTCCGGGGCTGGTGATGCAGCTGCTGCTGCCGCTGCGGCCGCCGCAGCTGCTGCTGCTGCAAGTGCAGCCTCCTTCTTCATCCTTTCAACAGCATCCTCAGCCTTCACATACGGCATGCTGTGTGTGCCATTGATCGCCTCAAATTCCTGAATCTGTACACGAGGATAAATTTAACATGACATTTACCAGTGACAAAAATATATGCTGTTTGGCATAAATGATACTTTAAACCAAAAGAAATGTAATATGAAGCAACCCCTTATACACTAATGCATTAATACCAGAACCAGAAGACCGTAGATTCTTGAGACTAACAGCATAAAATTGATTCAGTATTGCTTACTTCAGCAGGGAGATGTCACAACTGATTTCGAAGAACTGAAATAGTGTGTGCTTACCTTCTTCCTAACAAGAGACATGATTCCAATTCGTATGAGTACATGTTGTCGAGACAGTCCTTCCCTTGGCACACCATCAGCGAAGGTTTCGGAGTTATCTGCTCCTGGTTCACAGAGATGCCGCATGAAGAGGGAGACATAGGCCTTGAATACTTTCTCGGATTTCCCACGGAGATCTCGGACCAACCTGAAAACATCGGAATGGCTAAAAGAACTTCTGAATGAATCACTTGGATAAGCAACATAGAAAAAACAACAGAATTGCATGCAAACAAAATACAAAAAGCATAAATAGCTGCTGTGGTGCATATATTATTCATTTACAATGCAAGCACAATAAATATATCACTGTAGCTTAAACAAGCATTTATATATGACTTAATTATGATGAACAATTTGAAATTTCAATTAAAATTACAAAGTGATATAAAAAATGAAACAACCTCTTAAGCATAAAATATCTTTTAACAATTTGGTATTACACTTTCTCAGTGAAGTACAGAATTTAGTACTGTTTGGGGATGAATTTCATCTGAGATTTGAACCCGAACTCTTGAGACACATAATGGCCAGCATACAAAGTCAGCCACCATGGCCTCCACAAAAATGGAAGTCTGAAAGCAAGTAGTCCAGATCAAACACATTGTGCACCTCTCTGACAGGTGCCCAAGAGAAGTTTAGAGGGATGAGCGAGTTAGGTTAGATTTTTGCCCCTTTTAGCAATATTCCAGCCATATCACAGCGGGGGACACCAGACATGGGTTATGAAATACAGTGAGTGCTGGTCAATGTCCAGGCTACAACTTACCACTGAGAATTGAATGCATCTTGAGGAGGCATACCCCATCTCATCACAGCGTTGAGGAAAGCCTTCCTCTGTCGAGCATTGAAACCAAGCACCTGAAAATAACAAGAACTTCTGTCTGAAATATGTTGCACACAAGCATTCGTATTGGCATATCTAACCATACTGTCCCTGATACAGCATACATTCTAGGTGAGGTAAGGTGAAATGGAGTTTAATGTCGTGCTTGAGAATATTTCGCTCATATGACGACGCGCATGCGTGTGTATGTGTATCTGCTTGTACTAGCCCAGACTGAAGCTGGTTTTATAGTGCTAGCCCACTGAGATACCATGCCGCAGTGAAGCATGAATACCCCACCCAGACACATTATACTGACTCCAAGCCGACCAGTCCTTGTTGTACCCATTAATGCCGAACGCCAGGCAGGGACCAACAAGTACAATAGTTTAACGTCTTTTGGTATGACGCGGTTGGGGATCGAACTCGCAACCTTCCGCTCTCCGGGCGGACGCTCTAACCACTACACCACGGAGGCGGTCGCATACATTCTAGGAGTGCATCAAGTACTGAACTAGGTCATCATTGCTAAAACACACAATTTCATCGTGTTTTCCAGCATTAAGGTTGAAAAGTGATAAATAACAACTTTTGCAAACTGATATCAATCCTAAACGCAGTACCTTGAATGACCAAGTCATGCAATTTGAATGTCTTTCGGTATGGCTTGATGATCCTAGCATGGAAACCTAGATCATGGAATGGACAAGTCCATTTTTTTTCATCTTACATTATCTGAAATTTGGACCTGAATTTGAATTTGAACTATGTGCTCGAACCCTAAAGATAAGATGTCCTGCAATGCCTTATAGACAGAAGTAAACTCAATTGCTTCCATCCCTAATGATTGCAGTTTTGTTCTTGACTTCCACTGAGAAGAAAAAGATATTCAATCAATTTCTTGTAAGGGGGAAGACACCTTTCTTACCTGACAGTCACGACATATTATCATTAGAACACCTGCCCACTATTCTATGGCGGCCAGTAATTACAGTGAAACCTGTCTAAACCGGCACCCCATGGGACCGAAATAAAATGCTGGTTTAGACAGGGTGCCGGATTAGACAGTGACAATCATTTTCGAACATGGCTGCCATTTACACTCGCTAATCTCCTTATTCCCGATTATATAGCGTGCCCGAGAGGAGTGTATTGGATTAAGGGACCTTGATTGGACTGCTCATACCCATGCTGGCTTAGAGAGTTTGATTCACCGCGCAATCACAACTTCCTGATCATCTTGCGTGACAAGAGGATTAATTAGTGTATTGGATTATGGGTACTTGACTGGACTGCTCATACCCATGCTGGTTTAGACAACGTTAATTACAGTTAAAATTGCTTGTTGGGACTGGAAAGTCGTGCCGGAATACGGAATAGACAGGTGCTGGATTAGACAATGTTTTAATGATCATAATATCGTTGTAAAATGGCAGGACCAAAATTTTATGCCGGTTTTGACAGTGTGCCCGGATTAGACAGGTGCCGGTGTTGGCAGGTTTCACTGTAAATGATCAGCCTGACCACTGGATCTTCAATCTTAGATAGTTCTTACAAAGTGTGGATATTGTGGCCTTATTCTGCCCCGACTCGGTCCAAGGGGGTTGGTAGCTAACCTCTCACAGCCACTGCTGCACCAAAGTTTTCCTAACTTCAATATCTATCTTACCTCAATCTGTCCATTGACACGAGCCAATAAAGGTGGCAGTGGTCTATCTTTCTCATTGCCTCGCTTGTTACGCCCTCGAACTGCAAATACAAACATTGATGATTTAGCTCCGCATCAACCTGTTTGTTTGTCATAACATTGAAGTGGCAAATGATTATTTAGCTAAAGACAAAATAAAACAACCCTCACCTTCAGGTTTGTCTTCAAAGTCGTCATCATCCTCTTCATTGTCTGAAACATTACAAAGCCGCCTTCATTAAAGCATGTGAAGGGCATCTGACATCCAATCATCTGTTATGCGCACATTCTCACTACTCACAACGATTTGAAATTGTCTTTAACTGAACCAATCTCCAAACAAGAGTAAGTAGAATTTTATTGTGTATCTTTTATTTACAAATGCATTTCATTTAACCATCATCAGTCAATACACATAGAGTGAGCCATACAAGCAGTCACAGCCACACAGTAACAAATGTTGCGGCAACCTACTGAAGTCGGAGTCGAAATCAGACATGCTCTCCTTCCATGCTTCATCTTCCTGGCCATTCATGGCATCGTTGTAGTTGACCTGTTTGCGGACTCTCTTCCCCTTGCCAAGTGTGCGGGCCATGTCCTCCTGCTGCTGCTCGTAGTGGTGCCGTAGCAGCTTCTCCCAGTACGCTGGGTCGGCATGCTCTGCCTCCTGCTTTAACACCTCCATCTCCGTCTCATCCTGCAGTCAAATGTTTGTGGGTTAACACAGTACTCACCAGTACATAATCTGTGTGGGTTAACACAGTACTCACCAGTACATAATCTGTGTGGGTTAACACAGTACTCACCAGTACATAATCTGTGTGGGTTAACACAGCACTCACCAGTACATAATCTGTGTGGGTTAACACAGTACTCACCAGTACATAATCTGTGAAACAACAGACTGAAAATAGTCTGGACCAGACATTCCAAAGACTGATATTTTTAGAAAAAATGCAAGCTGTGGATGTACGATAGCATGGAACCTACATGGAGCTTGTTCTCCAGCTCTATTTAGATGCCTTTAGACAGTATGCTATTGAGTGTGACTCACCTCTTCCTCCCCTTCCTTGACCTGGTAGCTGGCCACCTTGAAGGAGCTTAGGTACTCATTCATGGCCATCTCCTTCTCCTCCTGGCCCTCTTGGGTTCGATCCAGCAGACGAGACAATGCTGCGTCATCGTACACGATTCGATCATCACCTGGGGTGAAAAATGTAGTTTAAACACTGAAGTCAATGCTGCCTTAATAAGAACTATTCTTATCCCAAATGTCTGCACAAGCAAACTGCCCCTTACATAAACAATCATTAGGATACCATCTGTGGACACTGTTCAGTCACACACATTAAGGATCTTTCTGTGGATATGATTAAAAGGTTAAAGCTGTTAACTTTTAACATCTTTTTGTATGATGAAGCTGGGGATCCAACCATCCACTAAACCACAGTGGAGGTTGAATATTGATGGATACCCAAGTTTATTGTTTTGATAGTGTATGGAAGTCTGGTTTCCAAAACAGTTGGGCCAACTGAAGTCACACACTTGAGGGCTTTCCATTCTAAAATTGAAATTCCATTGAATTGTATGAGTTTCTAATCAATAAAGGACCTCCATACCTTTTTCTTCCTCTTTGAAGAGCTCCTCTGTACCGAATTTGAGTATGTCATCAAGCTCTTTCTTGGACATAGTTGTGCTCTTGTTGCCAAGTCCAGGTCTGACGACCAAGTGGGTCAACATCATCTTCTTCTTGGCCACCTGTGTAATCCTCTCCTCGACCGACGCTCGGGTTACAAAACGGTAGATCATCACCTTGTTAGCCTGCCCAATTCTGTGAGCACGACTGAAAGCCTGCAACAAGTCACACATCACAAGTCATTGTACACACTGTCTCCCAAGGTAAGTAAATGTATTCACTTCAACTCCTAGCCATTTAGGAGAGCACTATGGTACCACTGCCGATTTCTAACACTGCTCGAAGTGAACTAACTTTTTAAGCATTGTGTAGGCTGAGTTTCTGAGTTTCGTCACGAAACTTGCTAGTCAAGTGTGTTGTGATAAGCACAACTTACCTGGATATCGTTGTGAGGGTTCCAATCTGAGTCATAGATGATGACGGTGTCGGCGGTGGCAAGATTGATACCAAGACCACCCGCCCTTGTGGACAGCAAGAAGCAGAAGGCAAGGGCTCCAGTGGCTGCAGATAACACAGAAGTTGAAGAGTCACTGGTCACTTGATCCATCATTAATACGAAGGGAATAACAATTTACATTGTGACAGTAAAGGTTTAATCTTCACAATAAGGCTCATTAACTATCTGCTACAATGTTCAGTCCTGCCAACCTGCTGCCGACTCCTATGAAAACTGACTCACATACCGTTAAACCTGTCTATAGCATCCTGCCTGAGAGACCCAGTCACTCCTCCGTCTATCCTCTCATACTTGTAGCCCTCCGCCTCCATAAAGTCCTCCAGAATGTCCAACATCTTGGTCATCTGGAAACAAAACATGACTCCAACTGATTGTCGTCTCAATATCCTCAACCAATCTTTGTCTGATTCAACATCACAGCAATTGTTCAGGTTCATAACAGTATCTGGCAGCATAAAATAACACTGACATTTGTCACTTGCAAACAATCAACGAATGTCGCATGGTCTTCAATCTAATATATTAGAGAGACTGTTCATGGTGAGTTCTCCATTTATTACCTGGGAGAAGATGAGCACTCTATGGCCTTGTTCTTTCAGCTTTCTCATCATCTTACACAGCAGCTCTAGCTTTCCACATGACCTGATCAACGACTGACCCTCAAAGGCACCATTAGGGAACTTAGGAGCTTCCTGAAAGTGGGAATAATGTAATTTTTTGAGTAAAATTGATATTTTATACTTATCCTGACTCATGCTCTTTTGCTTGCTTGTCTCCTTCCTCTTGCGAACATAGTGGAACACTTGTATCTCCCTAATTGAAGTTCCCTTCAATGTAAAATCACTAATTAGTACACCACGAAGTTACCTCCCTTCCACAAGCTGAACCAGGGCTTCACCTCTACCCATGTGCCTCACTCTCCCTCATATACTGAGCCCAACATTTGAATTTACAGGGAAATCCAAAGTGTTATTTGGGAGGATGGGAGGGTTGACTCATGAGTCAGGATAAGTATAAAATATCAATTTTACTCAAAAATTACATATTTTTCCTTATCCTGACTCATGCTCTTTTGCTTGTAGAATCCAACAGAGCCGAGGTGGGAATATATAATACTTTGGATTTTAATAATTAGTGATTTGAACTGTGATGATTGTAATAACCCTATGAGAACTTCATAAAGGCATTGAACTGATGAATTCCTGCTGCCAGCTTATCAGCTGCCATATAGAGGTTATTACAATGTACTTATTATGATAAGTATATATAATATTAATACAATGCTTAAGACTAATAGACTTAAGCTTGTTAATATGCTAGTATAAACTCCTTAGAGTTTGTTAGCTAAAATACTTTAAGATATAAACATAGCACTAAGCTTAAAATATGATTAATTTTAAGCTAATTATATAATAACAAACCTCTTTAGGGTTTGTTAGTTAAAATATTTATATGATATAGACAGTGCTGAGCTTAAGATATGAATAAGCTTAGCTATATATATAACAGCAAACTTTGTAGAGTTTGTTAGCTAATACATTTTACAATATGAGTATAGTATTGTGCTTAAGATATAATTATCTTAAGCTACATATATAATAGCCAAACTTAGTAGAGTTTGTTAGCTAATATATTTTTACAATATGAGTATAATACTGTGCTTAAGATATAATTAACTTAAGCTACATATATAATAGCCAAACTTAGTATAGTTTGTTAGCTAATATATTTTTACAATATGAGTATAGTACTGTGCTTAAGATATAATTAACTTAAGCTACATATATAATAGCCAAACTTAGTAAAGTTTGTTAGCTAATATATTTTTACAATATGAGTATAGTACTGTGCTTAAGATATAATTAACTTAAGCTACATATATAATAGCCAAACTTAGTAAAGTTTGTTAGCTAATATATTTTACAATATGAGTATAGTACTGTGCTTAAGATATAATTAACTTAAGCTACATATACAATAGCCAAAAACTCTGTAGAGCTTATTAGCTAATAGATTTATAATGTAACCATAGTACTAAGCTTAAGATATGATTAGATTCTTAAGCTAAATGTATATAGCAAAAACTCCTTAGAGTTTATTAACTAATATACTTTTATGTTATAAACATAGTACTGAGCTTAAGATATGATTAAACTTAAGCTATATATATATAATAGTAAAACTCCTAGAGTTTGATAGCTAATACATTTTATTATGTTGATTTAGACCTAGTATTGAGCTTAAGATATGAAGTAAACCTTAAAATAAATATATAATAGCAAAAACCTTTTAGAGTTTTAATAGCTAATATACTTATATGGTATCAACATAGTATTGAGCTTAAGATATGAAGAAACCTTGTTACATATGTATAGCAAAACTCCGAGAGTTTGTTAGCTAATACATGATATAATGTAACCATAAAGCTTAAAATATGATGAAAACTTAAGCCCAATATATAATAGCAAAAACTCTTTTAGAGTTTTGATAGCTAATATACCTATATGCTATAAACATAGTACTGCTTTAAGATATGAATAAGCTTAAGTTACATATATAATAGCAAAAACTCCATAGAGTTTGTTAGCTAATACATGTTATAATGTAACCATATTGCTTAAGATATGATGAAACTTAAGCCAAATAGCAAAAGCTCTTTAGAGTTTGTTAGCTAATATAGTTATATGATATAAACATAGTACTGAGCTTAAGATATGAATGAGCTTAAGCTACCTATATAATAGCAAAACTCCGTGAGAGTTTGTTAGCTAATGTATTTTTACAATATGAGTATAGTACTATGCTTAAAATATACTTGACTTAAGCTTAAGCTGATATAATAGCCAAAAACTCTGTAGAGTTTGTTAGCTAATGCATTTATCATGTAACCACTGTGATGATAAAAACGAGCTTAAGCAAATTATATATAGCATGAAGCTATTTAGTACTGTTATAAGATAAGTAAAAATCTGTAAGATTGACTTATCTTCTCCGAGGAACTGTCAACTGTTGTGCAAGGACCATGGGATCGAATTGGTGGATACCTGAGATGTCCTCGGTGGTGATATCTCTCAGATAATGGTTGGCAACCACCATATCGGATCTACAGTAATAAACCCTCCATTATTTCAAATAACATTTGTGTAGATGAAATTGTAGAAGTTAGGGCTCTAATATCAAGAGTATTAAAGCTCATGGAGGGTCGGATTAGGTCCATCTGTCTTGTATGCACGTAGTATGACAGTTCTGATCCAAACGGAGATATAGTAATGCGAGACTACACTCATGCGTAGTTGATGATAGAGGAAAAAAATCTGTTGTATTTTTCTTCCTGTTTGGTTTGGTGGAGATAAATTTACAGTGCTCTTGCTGGCCAGCTGATAGCATCATCGTATCATGGAGTCCAAGCATGTCATCCAGGCATGTTCATAAACCTCACTTGTGAGGTGTTGTAGCACTATATTCATATCCCCAAGTTGGTAATGCGAAACTTCCGCTTATTCTCCAAACAGAAACTTAGTAGGTTTACTAACCATCTAGTTGTGTTAGTAGCTTGATGATGAAATTCAGGTGTAGTCTGAAACGCTGTGGATTTCGATCCACTTGTATCACGCCGCCTAGGTAAATCGCTATGCATGTCCTTTGACGATGTATGTGCACAACCGGAGTTTGTGTCCTCGATGAACTTTATGTAAAATCGCCTGACTGCTGTGCCCTTGTCTAAACTTGACAGGGGAGGTCTCTAACCTGAAGAAAGCAGCCTAATCATGAAGGTTCAGGTTAACTGGGCTGTAAGGAGGCTTGCTCGCTCATTGATATAAAGTTGTCACTTGCAACCTATGTCTTGAACTGTGAACTATGCTCGACCTCTGTGTAGGCGCTGTTCATCGGGTCCAATCAGAATAAGGCATTTTGATTCTGTAGAGTACCCGCCAGATGTCACCGGTGTAGCAGGAAAAGGAACCTTGTATAATATAGTGCCGCCGCTGATATTAGAACAATCATCGGTCTTCATCGTAACTTCCCGGTTACCCGAAAGACCACGGTTTCGAGGATTAATGGTAAACGCTACGAAAGCTTCAAGAAAAATACCTTGCTCTGTAATATTAATGCTGGGTAGGTTATTTTCCTGGCTGTCGAAAGTACTTCAGTTTTGAATATAATTCACTTCTTTATATATAAAGGTACAATAACTTGTAAGTTGTCAGCTTGTAGACTGTATACATGAATGTATCGCCATAATTGTAGAATTAAAGCTGAATTTGTTGTACATATTTCTTCTCAGAAATGTTGACGATTATGAGTTATACTCGCTGTAACAAGGCTGCTGTTCAATTTCGATATTGAATTGTCTGCAGATATGCGTAATGGTCACGCATGTAGATAATCGTATCGTCGTCCGGGATTGCATATACTAGCAATTTATACGAATAGTTGATTTCTGTGAAGATCTATGAAACGCCGCTGACAAATTAATACAGCGACGCTCTGTGTTGTAAATAGCCTGTGCAATTGTCTTCACAGAGGCTTATAGATCGCATCTGGCATACAGTTGATAGACAACTTATGCGATGTCTTGAACGGACTGAGGAGTAGCTATATATGACGAAAGTGGCTAGTATATGGAGACCTTGGAGGAGACTTCCTCGGTGAACGCCGAGACTTCACGGCTCTCGGCATCCCTTCTAGATCTACTGGTGAAGTAGACTTGAGCCACTTAGCCTTCGCGACCTTCGCTGGCTGGTATCGAGTCAAAGTCCGATTAGAATATATATATATATATATATATATATATAAGAGCTTTGCTTCGCTAATGGCCTCTGTGTTTAACAGGATGTGGGTCGGCGGCGCTACTCCTCCGCCGACGCCCCTTGTAGCTGGTGAGGCTCTAGCTCTTCGCTGAGGCGCCTGGGACTTGCTGGTTCTGCATAAGTAGGGCCGAGTGGATCATCTTATCATTTTCAGTAGTCGGTTACGTAAATCTGGTGATAAGTGTCTCAATGATCGCTCTAGATCTATTTAGGCCAACTAACATACGCCTCGGCCATGGATTCAACTGAACCAATTTACGATTGTAGTTCTTATTGTTGATATCGATGATCAACTTGTAGTTTTCATCGATGTCTTAAGCCTTGAAGAAGGGGTCCATGTTGTGCGTGGAAAACTTCTAGGCGGAAAGTTCGCAATTATGGTGTCTGAACTTTTGTGGCTTTATGGGATGCTATGTCTAGATTCTGTGCTACCGCAGCAATCGGGTCGATCGGAGGTAGGGTGATAGCATCTCGCGCCGCCTTCCTTCATCAGGTATGTCTGCGTGCACTGCCACTCTAGGAAGGTGATGTAGACTTGTGTGCAGACTTGTGTGGTAACCTGTGAGGCGATCGATGTGGTGATGTATGAGGAGATCGGAGACTATTGACAGCTTCACAAGCTCTTGAGTAGTCCCTTGACTCTGTTAAATGACGATCTATATTCGGGTGTCCTTCCCGAGTGCCTTCGCGAATGCCTTCGCTAATGCCTTCACGAACGCCATGGAACGCCTTCGCTGGCTTCCTCTGCGCTCGGTGCTGGGGAACGGCGATTTGAGCTTCGCTGGCTTCCGTGAGGTCTGGTGGCTGAGTCTGCATCTAAGGATGAAGCCGAGGAATGTGATGATCTATCCCGCCGCCGAAGGCCTTCGCTGAAGGCTGTACATCTGGGTCCTTCGTCAAGGTGGTCTCACGACTTCCTTCGCTTCGGCTGCATCGCCTTGGCTGCTACGCTGACTGGAGGTGCCTCTAGAGTGTTGTTCTAAGTTGGAGCCTTCGCTGGCGCTCGTGACTCTGGGCTGGCTGCTTCTCCAGTCTGTAGTGACCTCCATCACGCACCATGATTTGCCGTAGTAGCTCGCCTGGGATGGTCTGCACGGCAAAGTCGTCGGTGCCATCTCTGCGCTTGTTAGTGGTGGGGCCCTCAGGTAAGTCGCCTGACATCAGTGTAGAGACATCAGGCTGCATGACGATCTCTGCTGATGTCATTGTAGCTGTCACCGGGTCGCTACTTGTCTCATACGCCGAGGATGATGATCGGCTGATCATCGTAGAGGCCAAGTTCAGCGGCTGGAACAATCTCGGTTGAGAAAGTCCTAGTAGACTTCGCTGAATTCCCCTCAGAGGTCGACGCTGCCCTGGGGGTGCGAAGTCTGCGCTGAGTGTTGGTAGCGACGGGACCCTCAGGAAGATCATCGAATGTTGATCTGCGCTGACATCACTGTTGCCGACATCAGTCATTCTTTGATGTACATCAGGAATGATGATCGGCTGATCATCATACCGCCCAAATTCATGCGATGAGAACAATCTCGCTGAGAAAGTTCTAGTAGACTTCGCTGAATACCCCTCAGTGCGCGACGAAGGGATGTCTGGGGAAGCAGGATGCTTCTTGAGGCGGGCGGACTACGCCCCACGCCTCCACCATTCTAGCGAAACCCAGACGGGAGGGGGTCGACCAACAGCAGTAGACTGGCGAGGGTTCAGGTGTATCAGTCATGCTAGACTCTGCATACGCGACCTATCTGCTGCGCGCGCCTCTCAAACGCAAAGTACTATTTATTAAAGGTAGAATTGGATAAATTAGTATCGCAACTGCAACGCGAATCACATGAAACATGGCGCAGTACAGCTAGGGCATATTAAATGCGGATCAGCAGCAGAATAAAACGTAATGTGCAACAGTACAGAATTTTATCAACGTAATCCACTGCAACAGCACGGGCCCGCGCATAAACAGTAGAAACACCCACTAAATATCAATATATAATTGTTGAAAGATACTAGCTAAACCTCTATAGATCTCTATACGAGGTAACTAACTAAATATAATCAAAGGATATAGTGTGTCGGGAGACACAGGCGCTCTCACGTCCAGCTCACTGGGCGAAGAAGGAGAGAGTGAGGCACATGGGTAGAGGTGGCGCCCTCGTTCCCGCGCTTGTGGAAGGGAGGTAACTCGTGGTGTACTAATTAGTGATTTTACATTGAAGGGAACTTCAATTAGGGAGATACAAGTGTTCCACTATGTTCGCAAGAGGAAGGAGACAAGCAAGCAAAAGAGCATGAGTCAGGATAAGGAAAAATATGGAATTTGTCACACGTGATCGATTTAGTTGCCTTTTACAACAAGCATGGGTTACGAAAGACCAATTCTAACCTGGATCTTCACTGGCTCAATAATATGGAAGATTGTCCACTTGACAACAGAGAGGAAGACTGCCTATGGTGACAGTGTGACACTTACCATAGCAGCAGTAGGGAAGAGATAGGGGTGGTTGCAGCACTTCTTCAAGTCCATCATGATGTTAAGTAGAGACACCTGAGTCCCACCTTTGGTATTCAATGCATCAAAGTTTCTCGTCAAGATGTACTTGTAGTATTTCCTGTAAATACACATACTTTATTACTAAAGCTCATACCTCACAATGTAAAACTTGTCTAGCGAGACATCTAGATTATTTTTAATGACTTTGCAGTTTCATAAATGTACAGGTGTCATGGTTTGTTGATTAGGACTGGAATTGAGTTATGCTTTAAAACTGCTACTTTTTGCATGCAGGTTATGACACTTGAATTTTCTTGCCTCTTACAATCACTGTTTTCCTACGGACTGATGAACCAGTTTGTTTATGAAAACTATCCTCATTTAAGTACACTATTTTGACAAGCATGGGTTCCGGGATCTAGGGGTTGCTTGATCTGGTTCAACAGCAATATTCCAGATATATGTAACAAGATGAGTCCTGACCAGACAATGTGGTGATGGTCATCTTCAGTATTGAGTGTGCAATTACGGCACAAGGACAGTATTATTCATGTCAATGACCCTATCCCGTTAGCATAGCTGCCAATTAAAAAAAAACAGGTAGTTTATAAGACCAATTCTACCCAAATCTTCACAGGTCTGGAGATAATGAATGAAATGTGTCTGACATTCTTACTTCTGCATTGGACTGAGCTCCACCCTGACGATGAATTCACTCTTGGAAGGTATTCCCTTAAGGACATCGGCCTTGAGACGTCGGAGCAGATGTGGACCTAACAGATCATGCAGCTTTTTCACCTGATCCTCCTTCGAGATGTCGGCAAACTCGTCAAGGAAGCCTTGAAGATCACTGCAAAACATTTCTCAGAATAAATTATGCAAGCATAAACATTCAAACAAATGTTCTCTACCTTTAATGTGACATTACAGTAATACCATATACAGTCAAATCCCGATGAGTCGAATCTCTGGGGACCAAGTAATAAATTCGACTTATCGATGTATTCGAGACATAGGTATGTTTATGAGGGTAGAAAAAAAGATGATCCAGTCCTAATTCCTCCGCCTTAGCATGTGTTTATCTAATGATTATATCCCTATCACTAATAGGGGCACCTTATCAGTTCCAGTCTGATAAGAAAAGACAGTGATATCCGTAAAATCACTAATCTGACTTTTGAACTCACCCGTCAGAGGGTGACTAAACTGGTCCTTGTAATCTACTCACTTGAAGTTCTCCGGCGTGAGGAAGTTGAGGAGATGGAACAGTTCCTCCAGGTTATTCTGCAGAGGAGTTCCCGTCAACAGCAACTTGTACCCGATCTTGTACGAACTCAAGATACGGAAAAACTGAAAGATGTTACATACTTTGTTATACATCAACAAAACCCCTCAAAAACATATAAACCCCTGCCATCATTCTCTGAAGGACAAGAAATCAAGATTTCAGAAGATCAAAAACACAATAGAATACTTCTTCCTCACATTTCTTTCGAAGTTTCTTACACAAGTGAGTGATTGAGTGAGAGAGTAAGTTTATGGCTGCTAACCACCAAACCACAATTGTATGGTCAATGCTCCAGGGCTGCAAAGCTACTGTGGCCCATTAGACGAGGAGTCACCTGTGCACTCAATCCCTATTGAACACACCTTGCTTCACAGTTAACTCCTGCTTCCCTCACCTTCGACTGGTTGTTCTTGAGTCTGTGGGCCTCGTCAACCACTAGCACAGCCCAGCCAATGGAGCCCAGAGTAGCACTATCAATTGATATCAGTTCATATGATGTGAGCAGCACGTGGAACTTGATCGCACATCCCTCCCTCACTTTGGAGGCTTTAGCTCCACCACGGATAGCTCCTTCATCAAAGGAAAACTCATGTTCTCTGAAACAACAAGTAACTGATGTTTTATTCTCTGATAAGGATGTCAATGTGTCTTTGAAATGTGTGTAATTCTGCAGTTTCTTACTATGAGTAGGAATCCAAAAATAGTATCAATGTTTAAGTATTCTGTGAGAACACCAGTGATTGAAACTAACACGTTTTAACAAGTCCCTAAAATATGATGGACATAACACATGGCAAAATCCTTAAAAACGGCAAATTTCTTCAGGTTGTTCTGACACTCAAACTACTGGGCAGGTTGATTCCGATTATAGGATTACAGTAAATTTCTATCGCAGGAACTTCAATGTCAGAAACCTAATTATCAACTTTAAACTTTAAAAATCATTTTGTTTTCCTTTACTGTCCATTTTAACAATTGTAAACTATGTACGTATATCCAGCAAACTGGGTGAGGCCCTCTACCTACCTGATGACCATTCGGCTGTCCTTGTCACCAACATAAGTGACAACATACATCTCCGGTGCCCAGAACTCGAACTCTCTCTCCCAGTTAATGATGGTTGACAGAGGAGCACTGACCAAGAACGGCCCTTTAGAATGTCCCTACAAGAACAATACATCAGCCATGTTATCCTTGCACGTTCCACAGTACGTATGTGGAATCTTTTATTTCCACCACCAGACAAATTGTGCAGGTTATTAACATCCAATGCTTCAACACGTCAAATGAACACTGTATGATACTGATGAGGAAATCCAACTACAAAATTATTTCAACCCTGACACTTTACGCCGTTTTCAGCAATGTTCCTGCAATATCACAGTAAAAGCACACCACCAATTGGATTCACACATTGTACCAATGTCAGGAATCCAACTCAATGCTTCGACCACTTTAACCTGCAGGCTACCCCACCACCCTTCTACACTGACCAATGAAATGATTTCAATTTCATACATAATGAATTGTGTGCGCTGGAAAAGAAAATTAGATCAGCCCAAAATACAGTGGCTAACATGAGCACAAACGCATAGCTAGTGACACTTTTGTCATCAGCATCTGAACACAAGTAACAAAACAACAGGAAAATACTGACCTCCTTGAAGAGTGAGTACAGGAAGGAGATGGTCTGGATGGTCTTGCCGAGACCCATCTCATCAGCCAGGATGGTGTCTGTCCCGTTTTGCCAAGAGAAGCGGAGCCAGTTGAGACCCTCCAGCTGGTAAGGGTGGAGTCTGCCACCTGTGGCTTCGATGTATTCAGGTTGTGTATCGAACTTCTTGCGTAACTGAGATCACAACATAGACACTGTTTTATGTCGACACTTCAGAACCAATGTTTGCATTCACTCAAGCTGAAGCAAGCTACACACTCAATGAAATTAACATGAAGAGCAAACTAAATCTCAAAATGTTTGGTCTGAATCATGCATGGGAGCCGGAAAGTGTTTTCACAAATATAGGTGACAGTGGATGATGTTACACAAAAAGCTGTGATGATGTGCGACAGTGATGTCTACTGATGGCGTCTGACAACGATGTTTGATGATGTGCGACAGTGATGTCTACTGATGGCGTCTGACAATGATGTTTGATGATGTGCGACAGTGATGTCTACTGATGGCGTCTGACAACGATGTTTGATGATGTGCGACAGTGATGTCTACTGATGACGTCTGACAACGATGTTTGATGATGTGCGACAGTGATGTATACTGATGGCGTCTGACAACGATGTGTAGTGATGGTGACAGTGATGTGTACTGATGGCGTCTGACAACGATGTGTAGTGATGGTGACAGTGATGTGTACTGATGGCGTCTGACAACGATGTGTGGTGATGGGCGACAGTGATGTCTACTGATGGCGTCTGACAACGATGTGTAGTGATGGTGACAGTGATGTGTACTGATGGCGTCTGACAACGATGTGTAGTGATGGTGACAGTGATGTCTACTGATGACGTCTGACAACGATGTTTGATGATGTGCGACAGTGATGTCTACTGATGGCGTCTGACAACGATGTGTAGTGATGGTGACAGTGATGTGTACTGATGGCGTCTGACAACGATGTGTAGTGATGGTGACAGTGATGTGTACTGATGGCGTCTGACAACGGTGTGTAGTGATGGTGACAGTGATGTCTACTGATGGCGTCTGACAACGATGTGTAATGATGGTGACAGTGATGTGTGCTGATGGCGTCTGACAACGATTTGTGGTGATGGTGACAGTGATGTATACTGATGACGTCTGACAACGATGTGTAATGATGGGCGACAGTGATGTCTACTGATGGCGTCTGACAACGATGTGTAGTGATGGTGACAGTGATGTGTGCTGATGGCGTCTGACAACGATTTGTGGTGATGGTGACAGTGATGTATACTGATGACGTCTGACAACGATGTGTAATGATGGGCGACAGTGATGTCTACTGATGGCGTCTGACAACGATGTGTGGTGATGGGCGACAGCGATGTATACTGATGACGTCTGACAACGATGTGTGGTGATGGGCGACAGTGATGTCTACTGATGGCGTCTGACAACGATGTGTGGTGATGGGCGACAGTGATGTATACTGATGGCGTCTGACAACGATGTGTGGTGATGTGCGACAGTGATGTCTACTGATGGCGTCTGACAACGATGTGTGGTGATGTGCGACAGTGATGTATACTGATGGCGTCTGACAACGATGTGTGGTGATGGTGACAGTGATGTATACTGATGACGTCTGACAACGATGTGTAATGATGGTGACAGTGATGTATACTGATGACGTCTGACAACGATGTGTGGTGATGGGCGACAGTGATGTATACTGATGACGTCTGACAACGATGTGTGGTGATGGTGACAGTGATGTATACTGATGACGTCTGACAACGATGTGTGGTGATGTGCGACAGTGATGTCTACTGATGGCGTCTGACAACGATGTGTAGTGATGGTGACAGTGATGTATACTGATGACGTCTGACAACGATGTGAAATGAAATGGACAATGATATGTGATAACCATGAGTCGTGATGCATGTACAATATGGACAATGATATGTGATAACCATGAGTCGTGATGCATGTATGATATGGACAATGATATGTGATAACCATGAGTCGTGATGCATGTATGCGATATGGACAATGATATGTGATAACCATGAGTCGTGATGCATGTACAATATGGACAATGATATGTGATAACCATGAGTCATGACGCATGTACAATATGGACAATGATATGTGATAACCATGAGTCGTGATGCATGTACAATATGGACAATGATATGTGATAACCATGAGTCGTGATGCATGTACAATATGGACAATGATATGTGATAGCCATGAGTCGTGATGCATGTACAATATGGACAATGATATGTGATAGCCATGAGTCGTGATGCATGTACAATATGGACAATGATATGTGATAACCATGAGTCGTGATGCATGTACAATATGGACAGTGATATGTGATAGCCATGAGTCGTGATGCATGTACAATATGGACAATGATATGTGATAACCATGAGTCGTGATGCATGTACAATATGGACAATGATATGTGATAACCATGAGTCGTGATGCATGTACGATATGGACAATGATATGTGATAGCCATGAGTCGTGATGCATGTACAATATGGACAATGATATGTGATAACCATGAGTCGTGATGCATGTACGATATGGACAATGATATGTGATAGCCATGAGTCGTGATGCATGTACAATATGGACAATGATATGTGATAACCATGAGTCGTGATGCATGTACAATATGGACAATGATATGTGATAACCATGAGTCGTGATGCATGTACGATATGGACAATGATATGTGATAACCATGAGTCGTGATGCATGTACAATATGGACAATGATATGTGATAACCATGAGTCGTGATGCATGTACAATATGGACAATGATATGTGATAACCATGAGTCGTGATGCATGTACGTGACATGATGGATGTGAAGTGATGATATGAGATGTGCATTAATGTGTAGCCATGCAAGTGACTTGTTGTGATGCGTGACCAGGTTGCATAGACGGGTGCATAGATGTACTACTGCTCACATTAAACATGGGATGACATGGGAAATCTATTTCCTAATGATCACAACACATTTTCCCTGTGAATAAATGAAACTGAAGTGGATGAATAGCAGTAAATCCCACTGCAAGGCTTACTTCAATAACAACAATGGACAGTTCTGCTTCAAACAACCACATCAAACATGGTCAAAAGTATTCTTTCAAGGTCAGAATAAACAAATCCCAAGAGCTCTGAAACTGCATTGTTTTTCATCAAATAAGCCTTGCATAAGAAGCAATGAAAAGCCACAAGCCACAAGCCACATGATGTTCTCAATGAGATTGAGACTCACGTCTGTGGTGGGATACACAGGTGGCATTTTTGGCGTCTGCACCTCAATTTCTTTGTCCCGGGTCTTCTTGGCACTTTTACCCTTCTTCCCCTTCTTGTCCGAGACACCATTACCGTTCATCAAGTTTCTGCAAGTTGTAAAATTACATTACATTAACTCGAACACATGCAATATACATTTATTTTTTCAAATATTCCAGCTATATCATGGAAGCCTGCCAATAATGGAGTTTGGATGGACAATCCAGGGATCAATATTATGAGCAATGACCAACAGGGTCGAGATATGATTCCCCGCTGTCAGCCCTCAAGTCACCTTTTACAACCAGTGTTGATTGATGGAGACCAATTCTGACTTGGAAACCTACAGAAGTACAACAATTGTGGTACACTGGGTTCATGTTGTTGAACAATATTCCAGCATGTTACAGTGGCCTGTAAATAATCCAGATTGACTGCGATTAATTAACAATCAGAATCTTAATGGCACAATGACTAACTCGTCCAATTCCCAAGCCCAACAACACACACACTCCTAGTCAGACAAGCATGGGATTCTGGCACATATTCTTCCTGAGGCTTGTTTACAAAAGTTGTCAGACTAATGGCCAATTTCATTAATTCATAAAGGCAACAATACCATCAGCAACCCTTTTCCACAATAACTCCCTTTATCTGAAGCAGTGACTACATTCAAGAAGACACCCTTGGGAACTCTGGCAAGCTGCAGAAATGTGCCACAGATACTCTGTACACTTACCTTAAGCTTTCATACTGATCTACAAATTTCTTGAAGTCCGCTATTCCGGAGTCCTCGGACTCCCAGGTTGCCTGGTCATACGGCAAGTCCCTCCACTTAGTCAGGTACCACGTGGTGCCATCTCGGGTGGTTCTGAAATACATGACATGTCTCTGAATACCCTGTACTGCAAAGATCAGATTATGCTTCAACAAGATACAAACTTCTGAGTCTGTCAGCAAGACAAGTCAATATGACAACTAGGGCTGTGCAATATAACCGGTTTACCGGTTCAGAAAACGATACATATTGCGATACGCGGATCAAAAAACGGTATTTTGACATGCATTCGGAAAACTTCGTAACACTCGGAAATCTTCGGATATTTCCGGGTTTTTTAAATTGTTCTTTTCCCTGTTTCATAAGTGCCAAATGTTACTTACATTTTTATTTTGTCATGATTAAAAGTTTTTATCAAAGGTTTATCAATCATATTGATTTTGTTGTGTTTTTGCTTTAAAATCAAGCATTAACTCGATTATAAGTAGTTTTTGTTACAAAAATAATCCTTGCAATATATTGCAATACATATCGCAATATATGCTTCCGCATCACAATATGAAAATTCTCTGCAATACCCACACCTAATGACAATGTTATCAAGTAACGAAAGTGAGCTGGTCTGAACGTGGTTCTGTAGGTATTGTAGTTCTACCTCACCTCCATGTAGGAGAGTACCAATCTCAGGAAACATGGGATTACAACCCAGCATAAGCCCATGAGTAAAGTAAGAAAGCAATTGACTATGTTGCCCTTCAACAGTCAAATGAATTCAAAAAAAAACAAAATAGGATAGTACTAATGAGCTTCAATTCTGCTGTCTATCTCAGTGTTGTTACCTGTGGTTAATGATCCTGTGTATCTGTAACCACTCTGGCCGCACCCCGTATCGGTAGAACCTATCCTCCAGGTTGTGTGGGTCCTCGCTGTCCATCTTGTCTCGGTACGTGCTGCCGTCCTCCAGTGGCGGGGGCTCATCCATGTCATACTTGCGGATGTAGTTTCTGAACATTGCCGGGTGATACACATCAAGCTGAAAGGACACACGCCACACATGTGTGATCACGTGAATGAACTGATCAGCTTGTTGGGATACAACCAACACAATCAGATGCAGGGCAAATAGTCATATTTTGGTCTTGATGGACAATTCTTAGAATATAAAGAGGCTGAAAAAAAAAATGTAACACAGCAAAGTGCTTGACATGAATTTTTAGTAACATTTAATGAGCATCTGTGTGTCTCACCTGCAGCTCAGTAATCCAGTTACAGTGCCAGTAGGACATGTCGTGCCACTTGACGAAGAACTCGCGCACAAGCTTGGAATCATCTTTCTTCAGATCTTCATGATGTGTGTGATCAAGTTCATCATCTGTCTTTGGGGGTTCCTTCCAGCGCCAGGTTAAGATCTTAGCAACCTTGCCAATCAGGGGCTCACACTGAAAAACACATGTCCATTTTGCTATGTAACAAGTCCCCAATGTGTCAGCAGATCAGTTTATTTGCATTTTTTTATTGCTGCCATACTTATAAAATCTCTGATTTATGCCTTAAGGTTTCAATTTCTATGCGGTTTTATGACGCATACAGCAATACTCCGGATATGATGGGGTTTTGTTTGTAATCAAGTCTGGACCAGACATTCAGTCTTGGACAACCACGACCAACCATCCAAGACATATTGCAGCCTGTAAGATACAGGCAATGGTCACTGGGCATTTTCGCTAGAACATCCCCCCTTTCCCAATAACATGTCAACATGACAGCAACTGCAGAACACGTATTTTGGAACTGTATTAACACGCTCTCTGAAATTCCTAGCCTTTACATGTAGAATTTAGCGACAAAAAGATAGAGCAGAGAGAAGGGGAAGACAAGCACAGATTCAAACCCTGTATCAGATGAGTGAGTGAGTATGGTTTTATGCCGCTTTTAGCAATATTCCAGCAGTATCATGGTGGGGACACCCGAAATGGGCTTCAAACTCTGTATGCATATGGGTAATTGAACCCGGGTCTTCAGCGTGACAAGTGGACGCTTTAACCACTAGGTTACCCCTCTACCCCCCTGTATCAGACGAAAACGTTCATACATGTGTACAGCATTTCAACTTAAGTCACCGACACATTACCTACGAATGACCGACATACCCTAATACACTACAATAACAAAACCTGCAATACTATTGCAGACTAGAAAGTAGTTGATAAAGAATATATGAAAGTCGTGTAGAAAATGTCAGATGTGTTGGAAATAGTGCTATCTTTATTCAACAAATATATAAATATCACGGTTAATACACCATTAAAGGATACAATATCTATCAATATGACCTTATTGTAGTAAAATTTGACCATGAAAGAATTAAACTTGAAAAATATGAAACTCATGAAATTTATGAAGCAACAACAAAAACAATCAATTTGAAATGTTAACATACGAAACACGAACAAAAAACTTGCAAAAAGTGAAGTACTACCTGTTCCTCAGCAACACATCTGCCCACAAGACGATAGGAAGTGCATCATTTATCGTGTTTACGGATTTGATAGTCATATGAACATGCCTGAACAGCATATCAAGTCCATATATGAGATTACACGGTGTATATATGGTGAAACTTCACACTCTAAGCTCTGTGTTGGACTACAGTAACTTGAGTACTGACAAATGTCATTTTACAATGGACATTCGATGATTTTTAATCTGTTGATATTCTGTTCACCTGTTGCTTGTTGTCCAAGTTTGTGAGTATATAAGCAGTGCACCCATTCCCCTATTGATTACAACATATGTAGCACTGCACACATTACTTGCCGTTCGCGGTCAACTACTCACTTCCTGTTTGCGCTTTTCCCTCTCCGAGAGCACCTCACCTTCCACTTCTTCCCCTTCTTGTATCTCAGGCTTAAAGAAAACACAATTAACAAAAATTAACACTAACAAGGCGGGCAAACTCTACAAGGAGACATGCAACTTACAGAACAGCGTGGACAATGCCAGTCACCATCGGGAACATTTTGAATTGGCGGTTTGAGACAGTTGGGGTGATAGGCCGAGGGACAGCTGTCGCAACAGAGAAGCTCGCCCCCGTCTTTACACACGCGGCAAAACTCCATGTGTTCATCTTCTTCCTGTTCCTTGATCCCTTCTCCCTCCTAGAAGAGTAGAGGAGTAGCAGGGTTACTATGGCAGTCACTGAAAGAGGCTGCAGCGGACTGAAGAAGTTATCGTGTAGCTGGTGTTGGGTGGGAAGCAGACATGCTGTGACATGATCCAAACTCATTTCTTAAAAACTAGTTCTACATTTAATTAACTAAATCTTCCTTAAACCATTTAGTTGTAAACTTAATTCCCTAAATCTATATTGCAAAAACCACAACTTATTCTGAACATAACTCCCTAAATCTGTCAAACCACTAACTTTTAAACTAAAATCCTTAAATCTTTGCTGAGGAAGTCCTTTTACCGATACTGCTATCCAGCAACTACTCTAAGATAAGTGGTTTTAAGATGGTGCCTCTACATACAGCTAGCCTGTAACTACTTGTATGTGATCACTTTCTGAAATGAAATATTCACCCAATACCTATATTATACTAACATTATGACACATCGATCCATTTTTCATGACAACTACCAGATTAAGTTTTCTTAATTTCATCATCACAATTGAGCTGTGGCTGTTTTGTAGCCACTTTAATGCCATAATATATAAGAAGATACCAACATTAAAATGACATTACTTCAATTATGACCTGAAATGACTTTTACTTGACCTGAAATTAGTGTTATGTATTCCTAGCAATGAGCAGCACGGGTAGTTTTGAGTATTGTATGTGCACAAACATACCAAGTCGTGGTTTCCACATAGCAGAGGTGTATCTATTAATGTGAAATATACTTTGTAAGTGAGGCATTCTGAGAACATTTTTAATACATCCTAGTTAGAAGGCAGAATCAAATTAATATTCAGAATCAAGAAGTCATGTACTATTGTGACAAAAACTGTTTCCTTAAAAAACAAAACAAAACATTTTCACCAAAATATTAATATTTGTTTAACAGAGTACAGATCTTACATAATGAAGCCAACATGCTTACCAGAAACATGTTGTCAACTATCTGATTTGTGAGATACGCTATGCATTGCAGATGAAGATAATGAAGTCCTGTACTACCACGCACCACTAATTATCTTCCTGGCTGGTTCTTGAAGGTATCAAGTATTTATATTATGTACTAAGTAGAGAGACATATCTCTAATTGTGAGATGTTTGAGTACAAGGTGGGATCATGTCACAATCATGTCGCTTGTCAAAAGAATCGTAAATGATTCATATTTTACTGCCTAAAGCTACAAGCTCTACACAAGTTTTGGTCGTAAATTTTGTAGCGAAAATGAACACATGGGGCCCCAGTCTCCCAACTGTCTTATCTGAGGCTTCTCCACCCGTGATCTGAAGACAAAGCAGACAGTCCATTCAGGCAGCAGCCTGTAGGTGGTCACTTCACAAAGCTCTGTAGCCCATCAAACTCCCCACAGGCTCTGGGGACCACAGCTCCTATGCACGTACTCAAGCACTAGATCTTTAACAGGAGGGAAACACAGATGAAAGCAATGTTCAGTTTAGTGCAAGAGCATTACACATTTAAAAGTTCTCATCTGAACATAATATGAAGGAAATGAGTCATTGTGTTTTGGGTATCCTTCTTGTGGAACGACACTGACATAACCTTCCTCCATACATAAGTTTAGGAGTGATGTAAAATGCCCATTTTCACTGGATGTTGGCTCTGGGCAACTCATCCATTTTAGAAGATGGTGTTAAAGAGCTTTGTGAAACACCCTAGAGAGGACGCCCATTATCAGCTGGTCGTCCAAACACAGTCTACTAAAGGTCATCTCAATACCTTTCAGCACTTTACTGGCTTGACAGTTTAAACTTAATAATACCCAGATAATGTTGGGTATACACACACACACATAAGACCTGGAATGACCACTATCATGGCTACCTGAGCATACCATGCACATATAACAGTATAGGAGACAGTGATATTTCTTCAAAGACTACAAACAATTCATTTTTTACAATGAAAATATCATTAATATATATGTAAGTATGACAATCGCGATGTATTTAAGTCATACGGTTAATAAGAACAAACAACATTTAAATACCCTTTTGACTGAACATCTACATTTAAAAGTGTTGAATTTATTCAACTTAAAGACAAATACCAAATGTAGCATAACCCTCAACACAACACAAACGGGGCAAGGATGATTAGTAAAGGGAGAGATCTGCTGAATGAACATTTGTGATACTTCAAATAACGAAAACATAAATTAGATCCATAACCTATCACTTGTATCCCCAACCTGATCGACAAAGCTTTCAACTTAGAATTAGCCAAAAATGTCCAAAATTCACATGCTCCTGTGGAATTCTACCTCCCCATGTACATCATACAGGTATGGCATTGACTATGTTTGGACCAACAACTTTGTTACAGACAAGCAAATGTTATAAGCAGAACTTGCAACTCAAACATCTATTCTGAAACACTTTGAAAATGAACAATCAACTTCAACACAAAACCGAAAAGATTATGTCCATGTCTAAATGCCTTGAATGAGAATCAAAACAGTGTGACAACACTGTTGTGGTTGACTACTTCATACTACCTAATTCGGCTTTTGTGGCCATTTTGTTTTATATTTTATCCAAAAAACAACAACCTGAACTTTGTATTTTCAAAGTGTTTCAGTAAACTTCTAAATGTTAATCAACCAACACAATAAATGATGTTAGGTGTGTAACATAGTACAGTGAAACACCATCAACTTCAGATCCATTGTTTTAAGAAACTTGGTACTTTTGGATACAATCGGGAAAAAACCCAACTTATTCGCTTCTGTACCATCGCTGTATCACTTGTCTCAAGGTCAAATAACTTTCAGATGATGATGTTTCATTGCATTTCAATTTCATTCCCAGATAACTTATTAGTAACACATGAAACACAGAGGTAGCAAAAATGCAATTCCAGTGAATACTCTCACATACTAAATTACACAAATAATCACTGCTTGTACATGATTCTAAAAGATCTCGTAACTTACACTTCTAACAATTTATTTGCATAAAAAATGTTAGAATGCAAGCCACTCTTTTACTTATAGGTCAATATGCTATCAGATCTCTTTAGATGTTCTCAGTAATGACTCATCACTTATTTCTTAGATTCACCAAACCACCTTTATCATAGAGCCGTGTTCAATCAACTAAAAGGGACAGCTTCAAAATATTTCAGATGTTCCGAATTGAATTTTCTGAGAACAAACATTAAGAAGTCATTACGAGCATTGAAATTGTGTATATACAAGTATTTATTAGAACATCCTCCAGAAGATTCCCCCCAATTCTGATGCTGTCCCTGCAGATCCCCCGTCACTAAGGCTCACTCACACAATGGGGGCAGCTCCATTTTCCCTCAGGGGCCTCCTCCAACTCTGGCTCCAGACACACCAAGTGGTATGCCCGAGGACACGAGTCACACAGGATTATCTCCCCTCCCTGCTGGCACACCTCGCAGTAGTCCTGATGCTCTGTCTGAAACAGGCCACACCATGCACATGTCAGACCATCGTTCCACTCACCTTGCAGCGTGTTTATCATAAACAAATCATGCTAACATCATTGGCCAAGTTTTTACAGAACAATAAACAATATGCTGCACTGGCCATATCCCAGGTAGCAATTAAAGGAACCCGTCTCAACTCTGAAATGTTGACATAAAAATGAAGTTGCACCAAACAAAATCAGGTTTCACCCTGGTCCCAATAATTTATCGATGTTGAACCATAGATGCATAAACTAGTTTGATTTAACAGATCATACCAAATATCAGATCTCTGATGACTGTCATGATATGACATAAAATCATGACATATTTATCTTGTCAACTATATGTAGCACTGGTGCAAGTCATATGCACATGGTATTGTTATATTTGTAAAGTGTGTATAACAAATTATGTATGTTCAACATACTGAGTACTACTTTAAATGGTGCTGTCTCTGAGACATTATGCTCCATAAAACTTTTCATTCTGTCAATAAATATATTTAGTCAAACCCCATACCTCAATTTTATTTTTTAAAATATTAATTTTGACTTAACATCTACTTCTGAAAAGGGTCAATGTTGTTTTACACCAGTCTAAGCTATACTCCTTTTACCAGTAAATTATTGAAAGAGAAATAAGTTTACTCATTAAACCAGGACCCAAAACTGTGACTGCCTGTCGTGATAACATGGGGTATGAGGGAGCTGGTCTAGAATCAAATGGGGGGCCCTGATAATGGCATTAGAAGCTTATCCTTGAGCCCATTAACATCAAGATAACAGTTACAATCTGTACCTCATAACCGTCAGCATCAGGATCATCAGGATATTTGTTTGTTGTCCTCGTCTTCTTTTTCCTGCCCTTTCCTTTCCCTTTCCGTTTCCGTGACGATCCACCTTCTGCCTTTGCTACTTCACTTAACAGACTAGCTTCCTCCAGTTGCCTCTCGAACTCTTCATCACTTGTGTTGAAACCTTCTTCCTCATCCTGCAGCAGTAAAACAAGCAGCTGACAAGACACTTTCAACTACATTCACTTCCAAACTAAAAGTTCATGATCATATTGCTCCATAATGACAGTTTCAACAAGAGCCTTCAATAACAAAAGACGCCGAAGACCCGGGTTCGAATCCCCACATGGGTACAATGTGTGAAGCCCATTTCTGGTGTCCCCCGCCGTGATGTTGCTGGAATATTGCTAAAAGCGGCGTAAAACCAAACTCAGTCAGTCAGTCAATAACAAAAGCTCTTCAATATGTTTTTGAGCCTGGTGAGAACTATGAATAGTGAGTGAGTTTTACTACTCTTTTTGCAATATTCCATCAATATCATGACATAACAGGGATTTATCTGGGGTGCCTAACCAATGTGGGAAAATAGTAAATTGATCAACATCAGAATAGTTTCTTAGTCAGAGCTTCAGATAACTTTTTGAGTCATTGAGTTATGTACTCGCTTGTGTTCATCTCAATTGGGTATCCTAATTTTCCTTTGTGTAACCAAATAAATTGTATTCAGCCTTGCGGGCCATATTGTCAACAAGAAACGTGCATGTATGAATCCACAGAATGTTAACATAATATTTTTGCGGAAAAATGTGGATTACTGGAAGTGAATGAGGTGGTGAATATTGGTTTAGAATGTATTCAACTTTAAAGTTGTTGTTTAATTAGTTGATAATAGTTGATAACTCAAGAAACGTGCACGTATGAATCCACAGAATGTTAACATGATTATATTTTTGTGGAAAAATGTGGATTACTGGACTGACTGACTGAGTTCGGTTTTACGCCGCTTTTAGCAATGTTCCAGCAATCAGCTGTGCACATGTTTCCCGGCGATCAAGTTCAAACATGCACAGATAATATAATGGAACGAATTCTGACGCAGTCATCAGTAAAATATAATACAGAATACTATTATTTAACCCAAAGAAATATATCCTAGCATTGTGTAATTTTAGTTACAGTTTTTTGCTCTATAAATTAATTAAGATTAAGATTACCGTGTGTATTTGAGCCGGAAATAGCAATCAGCTGTGCACACGTTTTCCGGCGATCAAGTTCAAACATGCACAATAATATAACGGGACGAATTCTGATGCAGTCATCAGTAAAATATAATACAGAGTACTATTATTTAACCCAAAGAAATATAACCTAGCATTGTGTAATTTTAATTACAGTTTTTATGTAAAATATAAATAATCAACACTAAGGTTATACGGACCCTCATGAACGTGGTAAGCAGAAGTTGTACGCACATGGAATGGGGTAAAATACGGAAGCCATTTAAATTCACACATGTTTACCCATGTAACTGTAAACTAGCAGTCAATGGAAAACAAGGCGGTAATCAGTTCGTGATTGTTGAATGGGGTAAAATAAGCAAGCAAGTTTGTTGCTACAATAAATATGATACTTAGAGAAGCAAAATATATTATGCATTTTCTGTCAACTACACTTCGTTTCGATCCGTGCGTAGACACAATATATATGATTGTGAATTCTTTGAATAATGTGGTCCAAAGTTATAATTATTGGTAACTGCCAGTTGTCTGTGGTCTGTGTTTGCCGCGATTAGGACCCCATCGCAGGGCATCGACTTAAGCACGAAACATACCATTTTGACACTGATTTTAAGGGTCAAGTTTGTGGGTCATCTTATCCATGGGGTCGTCTTATAGACGGTCATATACGGTAAGTCATTGACAATTCCTATGTGTGCCAAAGCTAAAAAGCCTCAATATGTTGTTTCATTATCCTTATATTTTGTAGGTAGTTTCACTTTTTGTCTAGTCATTTCTATGTGTGACAGAAATACACAAACATTTAACCTTAATATATTTTTTTCCTTTTTTTCCATATTTTGCTGGTAGACTTCCAGTATTTTCATGCAAATTATTATGAACTGATCAATGCTCATATCAATGTTTTTCTATGTGTACAATGCATATTTTATTTATGTGACCTGATATAATCCATAATTTTTATTTTGTGACAGCATTTTGCTCAGTCTTGCGATATATATTTTTGTACACATTGTTTTGTTGATCAATGTAGACTGGTTTGTTGGTTTTGTACAATCTTGCCTCAAATGACAATTAAAACTTATTATTATATTCAGGAGTTTTTAATTTCTTGTAGATGCACAGGGCAGCCCAGTGGTTAAAGCGTTCACTCGTCACGCCGAAGACCCGGGTTCAATTCCCCTCATGGGTACAATGTGTGAACCTCATTTCTGGTATTCCCCGCCATGATATTGCTGGTATATATCTAAAAGCTGCGTAAAACTAAACTCATTTGTAGATGCACTCTCAAGTCACTTTTATCACAGAAACCAACCATAAAAGCTGATATATTTGATTTAATGCTCACTATTATCACATAATTCAAAAAATGACAAATATACAGTATTGCAGTATTGTAAAAGAGTTCAAATGTTTACCTTGGAATTGCACAAATTGTAAAAAATATTTAATTCTTAATCAGTGTAACCGATTGCACAATCAATCATTGATCGGATGGGACAATCCGATTGTAACCGATAATCGATTATGAAATCACAACCGATTCCCACCACTACAGGAAACTGCATTAGTCTCATCTCAAACAGCATCAAATAGGAAATCTTTAATTTAAAATTGAAATATTTAGAAGACATATTACTCCGTGTTCACTGTGGAAAGATCTGGTACTCACTGAACTGTTCTTCTTCTTTTTCTTCTTCTTGCTGATTTTAATCTTCAAAGGAGCAATTGCACCCTTTTTCGATTTAGATTTCTTCGAACGAGATGGCTTCTCGTCCACTGATTCATCCAGTTCACCCTCCCCTGACATATCATCAGCATCATCACCTGCATCTACAACAAATTTCTCAAGTCATTAATCATATTAACTTTTACTGCCATTAAATTGTACAACCATTAACCCATTCAACACCTCAGGCCGCTTAAGCGGCCACAACGTTATGAGTCCCCAGACATCGGATGCCGATTAATCGGCCAGGCAGTAGTCACGTCAAAATGAGACATAATTATAGGAACCTACCTGACTTATGATTCATATATTAAATCTATCACATTTCACAATGTCTGAAAACACTTATTAAATTTCAATTTATCATATATTATCAACAGAATTAAAATTATAAACTATTTTTCGCAATGTTATTGAAAACAACGATTCTCGGATACATGCTTCGGCAGCGGGTCCACAATAACATTGTTAAAGAGCAAAATAACGATGTTTTGGGGAATTCATTAAATAAATTGAATAAACTAATGAATAAAATCAACAACAACATTCATAAAAGTTGTCAAATGTACATATAAAATTACTATTTCCATCTTTTTGTGCGATCATGTAATGTAATTCAAGTCACTGACAAGTGACATCTCGGCTCTCGTCACCTCAATCTTCACTCTCGGACACAACGTTTAATGCGAAAATATATACATGAAGCATTTTTGTCACAGGTCATAACCTAGCACGATACGTCCAATAAGTTCAATAATTTACGTATAGGTAGCGATTTCTTGCTTGATATGTTCAGAATAGCATTATTTTACCCAAAACTTTTGTCTAAATCTAAATGTTTTCGTTTACGAGGACGGTATCCATTGCTGTAATATGATTGGCTGCCTTAGGTCACGTGTCTGATTTTGACCAATCACGACCCTTATAGCAGACTGTAGCGAAAAAGCGTCATTAGAAACCAATCTTTATCCAATAAAATCGCTTCTTACAACTGTGAAAATACTCTTGGCAAGGGTACAGTGATATTGTTGATGTTCATCAAACGATTCGCCTCGCATGTTATTCATACAAAGCTTCGAAAATGGAGGTATTTTCCGTTGTTATGTCATGTTACCGAGCAGAAAGCCACAGATATCGGGAAAAAGGCGACCATACATATTATTTAAGAAATCTTTTTATAATAATTTTCTGACGACGTAAAAATGAAAATATAAAAGAAAAAGGCACGGGCATGTTATGACATGCCACAAATGGAAAAAATCGCCATAGTTTTTGCTTCTTTGGTGGTTTATCTGGACGTTATAAATGTAAGCTTGGATTTTCATTCAAAAATAACTTTATTTAAGTTGTAGTTGTATTATTTGAATATTATAAAAAGAAACTTCATATTTATCAACAGTAGGATAAGATCTTTTAAATGGTGTATGGGATGTAGTAGCAATAACGTTTTACAAGCTTATAATTTCCTTCATAAACATAGGCTTCATCTGTGACCTCAGAGTCTCTGGGAACTCGGTGTCATGGCAGTAAATGCCTCTGGTTGACTGGTGTTGAAAGAGTTAATATGTATACCATATGCAATTACCTTAAAAGATCATGAGGAACTGAAACCTGAATTTTCACAACAATAATTGTGTCTCCAGATAAGAGACTGGGACTCAACATTAATGAGCATAGTGGTAAGTCAGATGGTCCCTCTGCTTTGCTTGGAGTTGTTTCGTGAGCTTTTGCCGATATTTGTCTGGCAAATTCACGCCACTTAGCAGCAACAACATTGCCCATCTTTGTTGTGGACACTTTTGGATTTTCCTTCATCAACATAGGTCTCACATGTTTACTGAACAGTGCATAGTTTGTCAGAGTCTTGTAGTCCTCGTCTGTGTACTCGATGTCAACATCAACCATACCATAGGAATCGCAGATCTCAGAGGATGTCTTCTCCTTCTGCAAAGGTAGACAAGGGAATGACTTACAGAAGCACAAGGAAACATGGCAACCATCAGTAAGATACTAAGTCATGGACCAGGGTCCCGATCCACACAGCGTTGGAATGTTACAACCTGTTGTAACTCTATAGTTTATCACAGGCTTGTGTTACGACCTGTTGTAACTCTATAGTTTATCACAAGCTTGTGAATGCTGTAGCCTTAAGAACGTTTTGTGGATCAGGACCCAGAATAATCAGTTTTAAATAAAAAACCTGGGATTTGTCCTATCTTGGTATGTTAAAACTTGAGGTTACCTAAACTTGCACATTTGTTCAAAACTATATCTTATCTCTTCCTCTTTGATCACATGATAAGAATTGTGGTTCAAATTGCCTTTTCTTTTCCTTTCTTCTTTTTCTCCTTAGGAGTGACCTCAACAGGGGCATCTTCCTCCTCTTCTTCTGCGTCACTGGCCTGAAGACAGAACCTCAACTTGTCAAACATTCTTTATCAGCTCAGAGGAGTTACAACCGAACCAAGTCCCACTAAAGTAGAACATTGAATCAAGCCATACAATAGTTAACCTGTTCCTCGTCACTGTCTACCTGTCTATTCAATAGTTTACCTGTTCCTCATCACTGTCTACCTGTCTATTCAATAGTTTACCTGTTCCCCATCACTGTCTACCTGTCTATACAAATTAAAATAGTTTACCTGTTCCTCGTCACTGTCTACCTGTCTATTAGTTAACCTGTTCCCCGTCACTGTCTATTCAATAGTGTACCTGTTTCACGTCACTGTCTACCTGTCTCTATTCAATAGTTAACCTGTTCCTCGTCGCTGTCTACCTGTCTTTATTCAATAGTTTACCTGTTCCTCGTCACTGTCAACCTGTCTATTCAATAGTTTACCTGTTTCACGTCAGTTTCTACCTGTCTATTCACTGGTTTACCTGTTCAATGTCACTTTCAGCTTGTCTTTTTTTCTTCTTCTTAGATTTCTTCTTCTTCTCACTTCCATCTCTAGTTTTTCTCTTCTTTCCTTTCTTCTCTGTCACCTCTTCAGCAACCTCTTCCTCTTCTGGTAGACAAATCAGAAACAAAAATGTCAAATAATTCAGAGCAGAGCACAAAACTGAATCAGAAAACATGTCAACATGCTAAAAGTTAAACCAATGTTTTCATCAATAACTAATATAAGGTACTGGACCACTTTTCATTTAATCATAACTTACCCATTGTTTACCCTGTTTCAACAAGCAGGAACTAGCTCATCGGAAACATCAGTTTACTTAAATTTAAAATAACTTGTTTCTGAAAGAATGCCATGAATTCAAATAAGAAACCTGACTGAAATATCTATTATTTATTCATCATCAGAAATATATGAACACAGAAAGCCTTACAGTGCAGCATACCAGTCTTATGGAAGCATACAATATGCATTGTTTACATATAGATCAAAAGCAGCATTGAGATAATTACATTTACTTCATTAAGAACCCATCCTACCAAACTTCTGTACCTCATAAAGTGTATCATCAATGCTAGTTCTATCTCTACATTACAGCTACAGTGTCTGACACTGACTAAATCTGTCAGTGGTATGAAGAGCCAGCTCTTTGAATAACTTAATGGTCCTGTTGGATCTCTACCCCACACATCAGTCCTGGCACAAAATGGTGTAAAACAAGTAGCATGTCTTTGTGCAGGTGGAACAAGAACCAACCCTGAAGGAAACCATTGGTTTGTTTAAGTTCCTGACTTTCATTCTTCAATTACTGATTCATAAAGTATAGAAAAGTTTACTGTACTTCATCCAAAAGTAACACCAGACCTGCTTCTATTATGAATTTCACTGGTCATCAGAAAACATGTTAGTGGTGTCCACAAGACCAGTGTCTGACACTGCTGTGTGGGAGAGACACACTGATGGTACCAGTTGGACAGTTTTACTTGTTGAACAGAGGCCCAGATAGGCTGTGTATCCGGGTAAAATACGCATAGAAAATTTCCAATTACACATTGAAAAATAATTGTTGCGTACCAATTACGCACTGAAAATGTTAGATACGCAAAAAGTTTAAAACAAATGAGTACGGAATATGTTTATAAATATCGCTTTCGTAATGAAAAAGACATTGATTGCTATAAAGTTGTACTGTTAATATAGGACTAGTGTTGTACTGTCAGTATAGGATAAGTGATTTTTTAATGAAATCATTTCCATTATATTTAAGTTGGTTTTGATTAGGTATGATATAAGGCAGGACATACCTGCTTAGTAAACTTACTCAATGACGTAATACTTAGGTGAGTAAAATGACTGAAATACACACATATTTGAAAGCAGTGGGTAACGGAAAATGAAATACCCACTCAACATTCATAATACCCACTCCAAAAAAAATGCAGTGGGTACAGTACCCACATGAGAAAAATCTAATCTGGAGCTCTGAACATATAAGTATTGCAAGCCTTAACCTAACTGTAGTCATTAAATTTACAAAATTGTTTGCAATGTTCAAAATGAGCTTTACAGAATTCAACTAGCCAATCAATACATTTGCATTTCAGAGACTGGTCGACTTCAAACTGACTTCAATTACCAAAATCTTTACAAGCCTGGGCCCTGTTCCTCAAAGCGATCGTAGCGCTCCGACAGTCGTAAGTCTATGTTAAAGTATGGGAGTTACGATCATCTTAGTGCTACGATCGCTTTGAGTGGGTGAATTTAGTGTTACGCCGCTTTAGCAATATTCCAGCAATATCACGACAAGGGACACCAGAAATGAGATTCACACATTGTACCCATGTGGGGAATCGAACCGGGGTCTTCAGCGTGACGAGCAAACGCCGTAGGCTACCACTAGGCTACCCCACCGCCCACAGTCGCTTTGAGGAACGGGGCCCTGATCATCTACTTTGGCAGAATTTTCAGAAAATATTTGTCTTGGACAAGTACAAGCTGACCGGCTGGACCATAAGATGTTACTGGAAAATGACTTTGGAAAAAAGGATAAAATGACATGTTGACAGTATTTTCAATCATAAGATTGATTATGTCAGTCTATACAATTATTGTTCCCACTGTTTTTGTTTCACAAACATATTCAACATGTCTTCATCCTAAACACATTTCTCAATACATCAGTTTAGTCCTCAACACAACAGATGACCTATCTTGCACAGCAAAAACACACAAATGTCATGCAATACTGTAAAGCTGACAATATATAAGTATAATATGTGCAACAAGCATCAGATGCAGCTGTGTGCAAGTGACTCACTCAACAATGCTCAATAGTGCTGCTTCAAACTGTGCATGATGAAACTCGGAAACACTGCAGTTGTTTCACATTGCCCATGCTGTCATTACAACATGACTACACAGATGATATACTCATATTCTCCTAGCCCAAATATACAGCTTGTATATCGCAGCAATACATACTTGTACACGCATGGCAATACTTTTCAAATGTGTCAATATCTGGAAATATTTGTTTACTATGTTTGTGTGAAATATTGAATTTATTTAATTAAAGTAAGATATACAAGAGACACATAGATTTTGGTATCAGTTTAGAGACATTGATATGTGGTAATGTATCATAATATCATAATATAGACGAACTTTATGGATAAGAACTTATCAAAATGTTTGACTATGAAATATAGAAGTTGTTATCCATTAAGTTTGTCTACGTTGTACTCACCAACTTGTAAAATGCCAATCAAAGAAATCAATATATCAACTATTGCAAATGTACACACGTGATTGGAAGCAGGAAAAATACACATTACCTCAATCAGAACAAGCAATCATAATAACTGACAAATTCTGGCATAAACAGTTCCTTCTTTATACATAATCTTACAGTATACTGCACTACACTCCTTCATTACTTTACAGGGCCCTCAGATTTCATGTAAGGACTAGTGTTAGGAATTGGTTGAAATCTCATAATTGATGATTGCTTCACTACCAACAAACAATCATCGATAAAAATTGGTTAGCGTCAATTTTCAGATTTTCCTATCCAGGTTGTTATTGCAGATATGTATAACATGATGCACCTTGCTACTTTAGAATGATGTTGATATATCATGAACATAAACCTTCTGGGGTCTTCAAGAAATATTCAGTCACGACTTTTCAGTTAGTGAAGTGAGTTTTCTAAGAATTAAACAAGTTTCAGGCCCTGACAACTTTGAAGATATGTTCCATCGTCAAGTGTTTCAAAGACTAGAACAGCAGTTCCAAAATCGTTTGTGTTTGATTATGAGAAAATGTGATCAATTGCTTGGTCGTTTGGTCACTTCGACCAATCTTCGATTATTTCAAATAATCGGAACACCACTAGTAAGGACCCTTGAACAAAGTAATTGAGGGTCACCAGGACTCCTAGTTTAGTAAGGCAAGGTTAAACCCTGCACATTGTTTGAGTATCCGTTCAGCACCAACATTTTGTCAACAGTAAACAAGAAAGAGACAAGACATCCAGTACCACCGACTCATGGTTATCAGGATACATACTCTCAGAATTACTTTCTACAAAAATCTCCAGACATTTCCTGACACTTGGAAATCATGAAAGCAACACCAGTCCAGAGTCCATATTTTTGGTTTTATGAAGATTGTAACCCTAAATATTCTACTAGAACATTCAGATCGACATCAGGAAATCCCAGCAATAGAATGTTTGTCGGACCATATCCCAGTCCAAATCATTGCATGTGAATCAACAGAGAATGCTGGAAAATCTCACATATCATCACAAGATATTCCATCACTGGGTCATAAGCTTGGATCAATTAACACATACTAAATACTCTCTGTACTCAAAAGAAATCAAGTTCTATTTCTGTTCATTTTATTGTTCCTGCTTTCAGGGTTAATAACTGAGTAGAACATGTAAACCTGAGTGTTTTGAATGTTTGAACATTGCATTATTGTTGAGTAAATTAGCGCCTGAAAATTAGGAATCATGGCGTCTGAGGTAAGCAGGCCAAACTTTCCCCATATACATTTTTTAAAAAAGCCATCACATTTCATGTTTGAAAATTGTTAGTTATCAAAATCATTACAAAATAAGAGGAAGCAAACCGAAGCATTGTTGCCTTCACCGAGAGTACCTTACGGCCCTAGTGCTGCATCACAGTGTCACACATAAATATTGGTCATGCATACTCTCAAGCTAAGTTGTACACACTACAATACACAAGCTGGCAACAGAACACAGTATGTTCAGTGACACAGGAACAAAGGACACAATGTGAAAAAGAAATTACCAAGACTGGATTTTTTTTTTGCATTTTAAACACATCCCACACGACATTACAATGTTCCTATGTCACGGAACACATAAAAATTTCAATAGTTGAAGTACTATGTATGTGTCTGATCCAGGACAGCACAGATATCACATAGGATCTATATGTAGTGGTGTTGCGATGATAGGAAATCGATCGAAATAAGGATTAAAAATAACTATTGATTGCAAAAAAAAACATATTTTTGATTAATTGAAATTTTGTTGTTTCAGTATATCACTTGAACTAACCAGTAAATTTGACGAATATTCACAAACATGCGCTCAACAGCATAAAGCAATGCGCATTGTAAAATTAAACACTTTTATTGTTGAATTACAATTCCAGTGTCTTTCTTGCATGTGAGCACTTCATTGCATGACAGTAACATGTTGGTCAGACAATCCAATGATTTATACCGAGTGCATTGTCCTATGATGTCAAGAGTGCAATTCTTAATCAATGAAATCACAAGAATGCAACAAGCACCTGCTGCTGAGGGCCTGTCCCAGGAGAAAAGTCCTGAGGTAAACTTATTTGTGGACAAGATTGCAAAACAGTAATACTTCTATATTGTATTCTGACATTCTGGTAAAAGTTCAAAGCTGATTTATATCTAATTAGTTCCAAACAAGACAATATTTCAGAAAGTACTTCATGTCACTGACGAGAGCACTCAGCATGCTGATACCTTGCACAGGGGAAACACAGGACACTATTGCAATCAGATCACAAAATCACAAATAATTTGCAATGTTTTTCATGTCATGCGCAGTGACCACGGTTCTATCAGGTGTGTTTGATAATTTGGTACTGCAATCTGTTAAATTAAACTCAGAAATGGCAGAAGCTTAGTGATCTATTAACTGGTCATCCTGTATCTATCTACATCTTCACATAAATCGTAAACCTTCTCACAAACAATGCATATAGCATATAAAGAAAACCAGAATGCCAACCTCAGAATATAGGCCCCAGTATCTACACCATTTACATCAAACCTTAACATATTTATACACAGGTCTTAACATAAGTATACACAGGTTCAAAATCTTTAACTAGTGCAGGGTGGGCAATTTGTTGTACAACACTTTAATCAATTGAACTAATCAATAATAACCAAAGGAGTATCTATTCCACTTACCGTATCTATTTTAACTAAAATACAATCCAAGATCAGACACAGTTTCACTACTTAGCAATGCCAAGATATATCATGCAACTATGTAACATTAACTAAGCTTCATGCACAAACTACTTACGCATAGGCGTAAGATTTTCAGAATCGTCTCCAACTTGGGGCGAATAGTAGGAACCCCGAAAAGGAGGGAAGTTATCCCCCTCTGAAAATTTGTACACCACAATCACTATGTGTGATCATTGCCCAGCTGTGAGAATGGTGTCATCAATGTATTTTTTTAATGTTTCACATGAACAATTACACAATATTAGCTACCCACAGTTTATTTATTGAACGTTACTTACTTGTAAGTACAAATATTGGAAAGAATTCCGCCCGTAACCCCTGTATTGTTTAAAATCATATGCCTAAGAATATACGCCTATGGGTTTTTTTTATAAACAGCTATGCCTAACCCTAACATTTAACCCCAAACCTAACCCTAAACCCTCGAAATAATCCTAATAAATAGAATACATTTCAAGCGGGGGTTACGGGCGGAACTCTCACCCAAATATTAAACATTTTTAAAAGTAACATCGATGTAAGGAAACTCAATATTATCAATGTTAAATTCAAATATTTCGACGAAACATCAACATATCATCTAGGGGGGTTATAATTTCTCCTCTGATCGAAAATGCCCTGCCATTAACTGAAAATACTGTTTCTTTATTTGCTAAAAACACAAATATTTGATTTTCTGAATATAGGCGAGACAAAGTTGGCCTCACATGTGTTGGAGGTCAACGAATCAGGTCACATCCGAGCATGCGCAGACAGATTCACGCCAGATATTTATCCAGATATTTATCCCATCTTTGTGCTTTACACAAAAATCTCCAAAAAAGATGCTAACAAAAATCAGGAATTGTCTCAAATACACAACCAAACCATTAAAAGCTTATATGCATCGTATCTAACTCACAAGAAACGGGAAAATCCCTTTCTAAACCGGGAAACCTCGTATTTACAAAATGATATGCAAATGAACAAAGACGCGAACGGGGAATCCTCGATCGAAACATTTTGCCGGTAAAACTTAACGACAGCTTGTTAGACCACAAAATAAAGATGAATTAGTCCTTGAGTCATCTAACTTAACTATGCACATTAGAATTTGCTAGTATTTGCTAAGTCAAACAGGAAAAAGTGTACAGAAATTGAGGTTAATTACAAAAATTACAATCTTCACCTTCCCCCACGTCGTCAAAGTCCATGCTTTCTTCTCCCTCATCGTCTTTTCTGCCTCCCCCGGCCATGTCAGGGTTGTCACAAACTCCTCAACTTCACAATTACACAAAACTGCGGCAAATATAGGTTTTGTAAGTCCGTCTTGTATCGATCGTCATGGGTAGTTGACAAGGGGTAGTGCTCACTTCCCGACCCCCTGCGTCACATTAGGCGGCAAGGTCCTAATTGAACATGCGCAGTGTGACGTCAGTGATTGGGTTGATATATCCCATAATAGTATGGATTTAGTTAATACCAAGTCATGTGACTAAAAACATATATTTTGTAATGGTAGGAAAGTAACAACTTTTTTTTTTTAAATCGATGTTTATAACCTCGAGTTGAACTCATCCAGGATGTTTACGATAATTAAATATTTTATATACATAAAAAAATATTTTTTTCAGTCAGTGCTTGCAATGTCTAAGAATAGGTATGACATATCCTTTATATATTATTTTCAATTCATGACTTTCGGAACAATTTGGAATGTGGATGCTAAAAGGGGGAAAACACATTTACACCGTTCAGCCATCTAAAAAAAAAATATGATATGTGTGCCTAAATGCCTATTACATATATTTTAAGCGTCAAGGGGGTTTTGCACTGCTTTTCTGTTGGAAATGTTCATTTTTAGATACTTTCATGTAAATTGGAGAGGAGTCTTTCGGTTATATTTTAGAATAATCTTCAGATTGTTTCTTTCCAACTTAAGCAACCCATTGCTAACAAGCAACAGTGGCTAAGGAGGAATTATCTTTTATCTGGATGAATTTGTTCAAACATAAGAAAACCGTATTTTGACTTTAAGTTCCCAATATGAAAATGAGAGTGCGTGTGTGTTGGGTGAGCGGGGGGAGGGGTTGGGGAGTAAGGTTCAAGGTATTGCCAGGTAATCGTTATGTGTAAGCAATATTTGCAAGCAGAATTATTTATGTAAAACGGGCTTGTTTTGTTTTTAGGTTCGATTTGCTGCATAGATTTTAAATGGACAGTCAATTTCTTGTGTACTCCAGCCTTGATATTACTGTAAAATTAAAACCAGTCACATTCATATTGGTCAAAAGATGTTTTAACAGATGTAAAAAAACAAGGAAGCAAAATGTTAATTTAGAAGGACCTCGATACGCCAGGAAGTGCACTCTAAGGGAGTTTGTTGTTGTTTGCAACACCTTGAACAAGGCTATATCAAGTCCTGCTAGTTCACGTGTGAATACGCTCCGTTGTAGACTAAGGCTTAGTCTCTGAATATATATAATTTTGATAGTAACAAACAAACCCATTTATATTGAAAAGGAGCCCCAGGGAGACCAGAGATTCCTGAACCTGAGGAAATCTAGACTTGCTTTATTTAGGGCTTTAGCACTGCAGAGAGGGCTTGGCAGTAGGGAAATTAATGTGGTTCAGGGACTGTGAGACAGACTAGCTCCGTTGCTGCAAGCAGATTTCGTTTGCCAGTCACAGGTGTGCTGCTGTCTGACCATTGGCCATAGGAACCTGTGCGCAGGTTGTGGCACTGCCCTCACACTGATTCACCGCATAGAATAGTAGAATAGAATATCTCTCTCTCTCTCTCTCTCTCTCTCTCTCTCTCTCTCTCTCTCTCTCGATCGAGATCGAGTTGCTACCAAAACTAGTCTGCACTTATGTTCGATGGCATTAACCTAGTGGTTAAAACGTCGACCATAGGCGGATCCAGAAATTTTCAAGGGGGATGGGGGGTGAACCCCACCCTGGCTCTGCCATTGCAAAACATTAACTTCAATGTGGTCTTTAGTCATTTTTAAAAAAGGGGGGGTCGAACCCCCTGAACAAACACACACACACACACACACACCACCCCACCCCCTCTGGATCCGCCACTGTCGACCTTCTCGTCACGTTGAAGACCCGGGTTCTATTCCTCACACGGGGGCGGTGGGGTAGCACAGTGGTTAAAGCGTTGTTGGCTCGTCACGCCGAAGACCCGGGTTCGAATCTCCACATGGGTACAATTTGTGAAGCCCATTTCTGGTGTCCCCCGCTGTGATGTTGCTGGAATATTGCTAAAAGCGGTGTAAAACCAAATTCAGTCAGTCAGTCAGTCACTCGTCACGCTAAAGTTTGGGTTCGATTACCCACATGGGTACAATGTGTGAAGCCCATTTCTGGTGTCCCCGAGATATTGCTGGCATATTGCTAAAAGCGGCTAAAAATTAAACTCACTCACTCATTGTAATTCATCATTACGACTCCACGAATGTAATCCATGGAAAGACTATGCATTACTTGTAAACGAATATTGAATATTTCTGGTTGACCGGTCACTCTCATCATGGTCAAAAAAGGATTGACGTACGAAAACCGACGAGACGGACTTGGAATTGTGACGTTATGTTTGATGTAACGTCACTACCATGTCGCGTCACAAATTACACTTTGTGTCATCAATATCAATATATATATGATTCATATTGGCACATTCACACACTTTACCGTAGAAGGATATCTTTGTAACTTGTGAGCTGGAAGTGCTAAATATGATATAGAATACAGTCATTCTTTACATAGGACGCGAGCTGGGTGTACCAGAATGTAAGACCTGGGCCTAGATTTTCGAAGCTTTCTTAGAGCTGAGATAGTCGTAAGTGCCATACGTTAACGTTAACTTACGACTATATTAGCTCTAAGAGAGCTTCGAAAATCTAGGCCCTAGGCCCCGATCCACAAAACGTACGTAGCGCTACGACATTCGGAAGCCTATGATAAACTATAGAGTTACGACAGGTCGTAACGTTACGAACGCTTTGTGGATCAGGACCCTGAACGTGTAAACCCTTCGTCATTCAACTTGTAAAACTCCGTATACCCTGTTGGTGATACTTCTAACTAATATCGGGGTATTCGGGTAACCTATTGGTTAATCGTCCGCTCGTCACGCTGAAGACCCGGTTTCGATTAAATGTTTGAAGCTCATTTCTTATGTGCCCCGTCGTGATATTGCTGGAATATTGCTAAAAGCGGGATAAACCTAAACTCACTCATTCTAACTTACTTCATATTAGGCAGGTGACGTCTGCGCAACTACTAGTACTGCTCGTGTAAAATACATTTAAATGTTGCGTCCTGAGAGACAACCCTGTGACTGACATCATGAGCACCGAACTGCGCAAAAGGGACACGATGACATGCATCAGATGAGACATTGTCGGCCACCGGATCCGTTAACTGCCTCTTACGATAAGCATAGTTTGCTGAAGATCAATTCAAGTCCGGATCTTCACTGATCCTATCTCGTTTAGCGCACCAGGAAAATGTATGTCCACCCTACAGTGTACCAGGTATATGTCCACCCTATAGTGTACCAGCTATATATATGTATGTCCACCCTAAAGTGTACCAGGTATATGTCCACCCTACAGTGTACCAGGTATATGTCCACCCTACAGTGTACCAGGTATATATACATGTATGTCTACCCTACAGTGCACCAGGTATATGCCCACCCTACAGTGTACCAGGTATATGTCCACCCTATAGTGTACCAGCTATATATATGTATGTCCACCCTAAAGTGTACCAGGTATATGTCCACCCTACAGTGTACCAGGTATATGTCCACCCTACAGTGCACCAGGTATATATACATGTATCTCCACCCTACAGTGTACCAGGTATATATATGTATGTCAACCCTACAGTATACCAGGTATATATATGTATGTCAACCCTACAGTGTACCAGGTATATACATGTATCTCCACCCTACAGTGTACCAGGTATATACATGTATCTCCACCCTACAGTGTACCAGGTATATGTCCACCCTGCAGTGTACCAGGTATATACATGTATCTCCACCCTACAGTGTACCAGGTATATACATGTATCTCCACCCTACAGTGTACCAGGTATATACATGTATCTCCACCCTACAGTGTACCAGGTATATACATGTATCTCCACCCTACAGTGTACCAGGTATATGTCCACCCTGCAGTGTACCAGGTATATACATGTATCTCCACCCTACAGTGTACCAGGTATATATATGTATCTCCACCCTACAGTGCACCAGGTATATACATATATCCACCCTCCAGGTATATACATGTACCACCCTACAGTGTACCAGGTATATGTCCACCCTGCAGTGTACCAGGTATATACATGTATGTCCACCCTACAGTGTACCAGGTATATATATGTATGTCCACCCTACAGTGTACCAGGTATATGTCCACCCTACAGTGTACCAGGTATATACATGTATGTCAACCCTACAGTGTACCAGGTATATATATGTATGTCCACCCTACAGTGTACCAGGTATATGTCCACCCTACAGTGTACCATGTATATATATGTATGTATGTCCACCCCACTACAGTGTACCAGGTATATGTTCACCCTACAGTGCACCAGGTATATACATGTATATCCACCCTACAGTGCACCAGGTATATGTCCACCCTACAGTGCACCAGGTATATACATGTATGTCCACCCTACAGTGCACCAGGTATATGTCCACCCTACAGTGTACCAGGTATATATATGTATGTCCACCCTACAGTGCACCAGGTATATACATGTATGTCCACCCTACAGTGCACCAGGTATATACATGTATCTCCACCCTACAGTGTACCAGGTATATACATGTATCTCCACCCTACAGTGCACCAGGTATATACATGTATCTCCACCCTACAGTGCACCAGGTATATACATGTATCTCCACCCTACAGTGTACCAGGTATATACATATATGTCCACCCTACAGTGTACCAGGTATATGTCCACCCTACAGTGTACCAGGTATATACATGTATGTCCACCCTACAGTGTACCAGGTATATAGATGTATGTGAACCCTACGGTGTACCAGGTATATACGTGTATGTCCACCCTACAGTGTACCAGGTATATAGATGTATGTGAACCCTACGGTGTACCAGGTATATACGTGTATGTCCACCCTACAGTGTACCAGAGATATGTCCACCCTACAGTGCACCAGGTATATATATATGTATGTCCACCCTACAGTGCACCAGGTATATGCATGTATGTCCACCCTACAGTGTACCAGGTATATGTCCACCCTACAGTGTACCAGGTATATACATGTATGTCCACCCTACAGTGTATCAGGTATATGCATGTATGTCCACCCTACAGTGTATCAGGTATATACATATATGTTCACCCTACAGTGTACCAGGTATATGTCCACCCTACAGTGCACCAGGTATATACATGTATGTCCACCCTACAGTGCACCAGGTATATATATGTATGTCCACCCAACAGTGTACCAGGTATATGTCCACCCTACAGTGTACCAGGTATATACATGTATGTCCACCCTACAGTGTACCAGGTATATACATGTATGTCCACCCTACAGTGTACCAGGTATATATATGTATGTATGTCCACCCTACAGTGCACCAGGTATATACATGTATGTCCACCCTACAGTGTACCAGGTATATATATGTATGTATGTCCACCCTACAGTGCACCAGGTATATACATGTATGTCCACCCTACAGTGTACCAGGTATATATATGTATGTCCACCCTACAGTGTACCAGGTATATGTCCACCCTACAGTGCACCAGGTATATACATGTATGTCCACCCTACAGTGCACCAGGTATATACATGTATGTCCACCCTACAGTGTACCAGGTATATATATGTATGTATGTCCACCCTACAGTGCACCAGGTATATACATGTATGTCCACCCTACAGTGCACCAGGTATATACATGTATGTCCACCCTACAGTGCACCAGGTTATACATGTATGAACTGTTCTCTGTTCCAGATGAAATGCTGAAAACTGGAAACAGGCCAAAGCGAAGAAGGCCTTTACTAGATTGGTCCAACACATGTCATCCCACGGAGGTCCTCCCTTTGTCTGCTTTAAACATGCACATAATCTTGACACTGATGATGTCAAGCCCCAAAAGCCTGACAAATTACACACATTACAGTAATGATGATTGGTAATATGGTACATTAAACCTTGCTGTATGTGTCCGAAGATCAATGTTTAGCGGTCAAGTAAAGAGTCAGACACAAATGGGAAAGATTCTGACTTGCAATGGTTGCATGCAGACATAAAGATTAGTGAGTGAGTGAGTGAGTGTGGTTTTATGCTGCTTTTAGCAATATTCCAGCAATTTCACGGCTGGGGACACCAGAAATGGGCTTCACACATTGTACCCATGTGGGGAATCAAACCTGGCCCTTCGGTGTGATGAGCGGACACTTTAACCATTAGGTACTCCACTGCCCTCATAAATATTACGTTGAGCTTTAAAAAATAGGTTGAACTTGTGTATGTACATAGATAAATCGAGCCTCAGGAATCCTACAAGCCCATTTTTCGTTTACGTGTTGCAATACAGCATAGCTTACATTGCCAAGTCCTTGTTGTCACAGCTGAAATTCAGTTTGGTGGAACAGGATCCAAAGCATCTGCTGAACTGATCCAACCTATTCTAAATGCTAAGGAAATCTGACACATCTGTTGATGAATGGGTCATGGCGACCCAAACATCACAGTTCTCCAGCAGGAAGAATAACAGAAGCCTGTATTTGTAAATAAATGAATAAAATGTTTTATTTTTCACTTGAAACCATGTGTATGACATTTGATAAATTTCTGTTTCTAGAGCATCATGATGAAATCGCTGTCTGTGACCTTTTACTTGGAGCTGGTAGAAAACAGTGCTAGCAGACCAGCTGAGGCGCCAACGGAAACCACGTAATTCCTGGCAGGTTGTCAAGGAAACAAATCAGTGAAAATACACAGAAATGAAAAACATGATAAATGGCAGAGTCCCAATGCTGACTTTTGGTCAACTGGTTGCTGATAAAACAATACATGTTATTTAAGGATCTGTCACATGTTGATACAATATTAATTGGACAGAAGCCAGATTAATACAGGAAGAAGATGTGATGTACGATCTTGAAGGTTATCCACTGAGTGAGTGAGTGAGTTTAGCTTTACGCCACTTTTAGCAACATTCCAGGAATATCTTGGTGCGGGACACCAGAAATGGGCTTCACACATTGTGTCCATGTGGGGAATTGAACCCGAGTCTTCGGCATGACGAGTGAACGCCTTAACCACTAGGCTACCCCACTGCCCCTGTAAGCTATCCACTTTGTTAAAGTCAAAGTATGGGTGGCTACAGACCAAGGATCAGCATAGCTGAGAATCTGATCCTTGTATGCTGCCCATGTACATTACCACTGCAAGGCAAAGGAAAATAACTCATAACAGCCAGATGTGATATCTCATACCATTGATCCGACTGTACCAAAAGGTATTTTTCAAACTCAGGGGCATGAAACTGTGAATTTGGCAAGTCTCTGGTTATATATAAATATATGATCCGTGCTATCAAAACAATGCATGAGCAACTGTCATACAGCACCTCCCAACAATAGTGGTGGGACACATCTGCAGAAAGATTTAAGCATGTGTACTCACTATAACTACCTGAACACATTAGTGCAGATAATCTAGTGATTGATATTCTGAGCAATGCTCCAAGCTATTGGGGTAAGATGACATGCAATCCACCAAATCACCAGGCCTGACGATCCCATCTATTGCGCTGCCTCTTGAAATAATCAGGGCTGCTGGGGAGCAACTTTAACCTGGCATTTTCAGGGTGATCTAGATAACTCCAGGGTGCTCCATGAGATAAACAATAGGAATTGTTGATATAATTCCCAAATACACCTCCAGGAACAGTGACCTCAATTACAAGCACAACCTATCAAAGGGCACTAAAATAGAAGGAATTAGTTTGTTGTTTAACATCGCACTCAGCGATATTCTAGCTATATGGTCGCCATCTATAAATTGAGGCTGGACCAGAAAGCCAGTGATCAACAGCATGAGCATCGATCTACGTAATTGGGATACAGGGACATGCATCAACCAAGACAGCAAGTCTGACTACCCGATCTCGTTAGTTGCCTCTTACGACAAGGCCTAAAATGTTTTTGTTGTTGTTCCGATTACCCGACCTACCCTTGAATTTTGGTGCCGACCCAAGTTTTTTTAAGAGGTATGATTAAAATAAGCTTTCAGATACCATTGTTTTTGTCCTGGCACCAACAGACATTGGTCATTCTTATAGAGAAAGTCAACATGATGGCCGCAGGCTTGATTGAATAAACAATTACACATTGATAAATGTGTTATTTGTTCGTACTTTACTTCTAAAAACAAATGTGAAAAAAAAAAAGAATTCCTTACTACCGACCCTAAATTTTGAAGATGTGTAATCAGAACCACAACATTTTTTTTCTGTTTGGCCCAAGCATGGGTTGATGAAGACCAATTCTAACCCAGATCTCGATGGATCTATAAAGAAATAGTTTCCTTAAATAGACTTAATTTATTGCATAAACCTCTTTGCCGGTATACCTTTACTGAATATGCAGAAACCATCATACAAGTACTGAATGAGCCTGACTGCCTAAACCATGAGTCTCCCCAGGTGTCACGCAAAGGTAACACGAACCCCACGACTAAGTCGCCAACACTGAATGTTTGGTGAATTTGACACAATCAAGGATACAGATTTGGGTTGAAGTTTTTCAGGGCGTAGAATGACACCACTATCAGCAACACGAGGTAGAGGGCGTTGTTGTAGAAAATGGAAAAAGTTGTGGCTTCGTAGTCAGCAACTTCATTTTTCTTCCAGAGGATTCTGAAACAGTAATGAACTCACATTAGCAACATCGGAGAGAGATGAAATATATCGGGAGATACTTAACATACATTCAGGTACCTAAGTTAACAGTGTGATCTACATCATCGCAATTACCCAGGTTACAGCTTCATCAGATACATTAACGTCGTAACATACATCGAGAATATGATTTCTAACATCAACGTCAACATCCACATCACAACTGTCATTGAATACATTCATTACAGTCATTGCTTATATCAATGCTTCAGCCTACGTCAATGTCATCACCTCCTTCATGAACATGATCGTCAACATCAACGTCAACACCTGCATCATGACAGTCACCGTCACTATCATAACAGTCATCACCACCATCATCAATGTCTTCGCCAACATCATCAACGTCAACACCTCCATCATGACAGTCACCGTCAGTGTCACCACTACTGTCATCACCATCATCAATTGTCATCACCATCATCATCAACTGTCATCACCATCATCAATGTCTTCACAAACATCATCAACGTCAACACCTCCATCATGACAGTCACCGTCAGTGTCACCACTACTGTCATCACCACCATCAATTGTCATCACCACCATCAATTGTCATCACCATCATCAATTGTCATCACCACCATCAATTGTCATCACCATCATCAATGTCATCACCAACATCATCAACGTCAACACCTCCATCATGACAGTCACCGTCAGTGTCACCACTACTGTCATCACCATCATCATCAACTGTCATCACCATCATCATCAACTGTCATCACCATCATCAATGTCCTCACAAACATCATCAACATCAACACCTCCATCATGACAGTCACCGTCAGTGTCACCACTACTGTCATCACCATCATCAACTGTCATCACCATCAACTGTCATCACCATCATCAACTGTCATCACCATCATCAATGTCTTCACAAACATCATCAATGTCTTCACAAACATCATCAACGTCAACACCTCCATCATGACAGTCACCGTCAGTGTCACCACTACTGTCATCACCATCATCAACTGTCTTCACCATCATCATCAACTGTCATCACCATCATCAATGTCTTCACAAACATCATCAATGTCTTCACAAACATCATCAACATCAACACCTCCATCATGACAGTCACCGTCACCACTACTGTCATCACCACCATCAACTGTCATCACCACCATCAATTGTCATCACCAACATCATCAACGTCAACACCTCCATCATGACAGTCACCGTCAGTGTCACCACTACTGTCATCACCATCATCAATGTCATCACCATCATCATCAACTGTCATCACCATCATCAATGTCCTCACAAACATCATCAACGTCAACACCTCCATCATGACAGTCACCGTCAGTGTCACCACTACTGTCATCACCATCATCAACTGTCATCACCGTCATCAACTGTCATCACCATCATCAACTGTCATCACCATCATCAATGTCTTCACAAACATCATCAATGTCTTCACAAACATCATCAACGTCAACACCTCCATCATGACAGTCACCGTCAGTGTCACCACTACTGTCATCACCATCATCAACTGTCATCACCGTCATCAACTGTCATCACCATCATCAACTGTCATCACCATCATCAATGTCTTCACAAACATCATCAATGTCTTCACAAACATCATCAACGTCAACACCTCCATCATGACAGTCACCGTCAGTGTCACCACTACTGTCATCACCATCAACTGTCATCACCATCATCAATGTCTTCACAAACATCATCAATGTCTTCACAAACATCATCAACGTCAACACCTCCATCATGACAGTCACCGTCAGTGTCACCACTACTGTCATCACCATCATCAACTGTCATCACCATCAACTGTCATCACCATCATCAATGTCTTCACAAACATCATCAATGTCTTCACAAACAACATCAACGTCAACACCTGCATCATGACAGTCACCATCAGTGTCACCACTACTGTCATCACCATCATCAATTGTCATCACCATCATCATCAACTGTCATCACCATCATCAATGTCTTCGCCAGCATCATCAACGTCAACACCTCCATCATGACAGTCACCATCAGTGTCACCACTACTGTCATCACCATCATCATCACCATCATCAATGTCTTCGCCAACATCATCAACGTCAACACCAACATCCATCATGACAGTCACCATCAATGTCACCGCTACTGTCATCATCACCACCATCAACTGTCATCACCATCATCAATGTCTTCACAAACATCATCAATGTCTTCACAAACATCATCAACGTCAACACCTGCATCATGACTGTCACCATCAGTGTCACCACTACTGTCATCACCATCATCAACTGTCATCACCATCATCAACTGTCATCACCATCATCATCAATGTCTTCGCCAACACCATCAACTGTCATCACCACCATCATCAACTGTCATCACCACCATCATGACAGTCAGCGTCAAGTGTCACCACTACTGCTAAGACCTACATCAACTCTGTCATCACCACCATCATCAATGTCATCGCCAACATCATTGTCTGTAGCTCACCTCTCATCCTTCTCCTTCTTGGTCATCTTCTTGTCATCAGCCAACTTCTTCATCAGCTCCCGGGAGACAGCCTCCTCCCTCTTCAATGCAACTCTGAAACAACACCATTCTTTTACTGTTTTGGAAAAACATTTATCTTTAAATAAGATTCTTAAGATCCTAGGGCAGTATTTAAGACACAATACAAATCATTTTGATAGCTTCACTTAGCAAATAGATAGGGAACAAAAGATCGAATCAATTTGTTTTAATGCTAAATGAATTGGAAATTATCAGATTCTCGTAACCATGGCAAGAGTCAAAGTACCAAATTTTGCAATGAAAAGGATGGAATGGAAGATTTCACACTGCATTCAAGAATATTCCACCTACTTATAAATCTGCCTGTATGCGTATGTGTGGGCTACTTGTACAAGTCCTGACTCCAGATCTCACTGTTCTAGACAATCTGACACCATATTGCAGTTTAACATAGATGCTCCACTCACTTTACTGACTCTGAGACAACTGGTTCTAAATCACTTCACTGTCAACACCAGGCAGGGTAATATTATAACATCATCACTGTCTTTTAACTTTCAAACTTTCACAGATGCTCTGTCATTAGACCACATAGACTTCATGAATCATATCTTGAAGGTTAACGAGTGAGAAAGTTTAACACCGCAACATTCCCGCCACATGACAGAAGCACTAAACTGGCCCTGATAAACCGTTGTCTGAAAGCACTTCTTACACTTACCAAAATTATCTCTGGGCAACATTTCCAGAAGTATATATGGAATAACTGTACGTGTACATACAGCATGAAAACTTGGCTTGAATAGATGACTATAACCTGCCTTAAGTATGGGCACCTGTACGCAGGTATATCTGAGTGTACCACAATTATAAAAATCTTGGTATAACACTTTTTTTTTATTATTATAGGATATTTGTATAGCGCACATATCCAGGCAACTAGTGCATGCTCAAGGTGCTGGTATTGTTTTCCCTCAATCATTTGATGTCAATCTCAATGGCACATCGTATTATCAATCTCAACTCCCTGGGGAGTATACAAATCTTGCAGCCACTAGGCGCACCGAGTTATTGTGGCTTTCTCATCCTAACGAGGTACCCATTCACAGCTGGGTGGACTAGGACACATAGTCACAGTACTTTGTCCAAGTTCACTCACGTTGCAGTACCCTCAAGTAGGTGTTGGCACGTATTCATGTGGCCACCATCTGGTCATATACCGGATTCATGGGTTCTTTTAAGAGTACAGGGTTGTGTACTGTACACTAGTGGTTGTGACAACATTGACAGAGTCTGCACACAAAGTTGACTCCAAGGTTTTTACACCTGGTCACAGGTGGGCTCGTCCCCATCAACTCAACCTCGCTGGATCACTAGCCTGGCACCTTAGCCAGCTCACCCACCGCGCCCCTCTAAATGTGTCCAAAATGTCCTTCAACAACATGGCGGCCCCATGGCTGTATTAAGCCTCTGGTTTATTTCAATGTTATGTGTGGAGTGCTGCGGCAGCCGTCAGTGCAGGTTTACCTATTCCATTTTCAGTTAATGAAAGTCAAAGCATAGGAGCTTGAGAGAGGGGAAGGGTGTGGGGTTAAGTGGTACAATATGACATTTCTGGAAATCGTTCATTTGCAGTTCTTGAAGTCAGCTTCACAGTTGGAACCAGAAGAAACCGGGCAGTTTTCTCTTCCCACAAATTGAACATTTTTATGCAATCATACTGTGAAACAGCTTCTCTGCTGGATTTCTCCCCATGTAACCTAAAGTCACCTAAATGGTCTGTGTTTGTTCGTTGTTTAACGTCACACTCAATATTGCAGGTATATGGAAAATCATCATGTGTGGACTAGACAGTTCAGTGATCTACAGAATGAGCATCGAATGTACTTACTTGTGCTTTAAAACAAACTTGACATTTTTGTACGCAAAAGCTACAAAGTAGGTACTGACAAGAGTCATGGCTGCAAACAAGATCCCTGACTGATACAGATCCATCTGGTGTATCCTCCAGAACAGCCCTGGAAATACAAAACAGCATATATAGTTACTGTACATATCTATAGATTTCATGAGATCTACTCATGAGCTGATAGTAGTATGGAATAAGGTCAGATGTTCTCTCAGCAAAATGAAAAACCTGTTTGTTTCTGAGCACAGGCCTAGTTCGAAACAGAAAACTCTCTGCTCTCGTAAGGAGGATCTTCAGCCCATGCTTTATAAAATAGTTTCAAATATAAAATTCTTTCACCACTAAACTGCTTCCTAACAGATTAGGGCACAACTGTGTGTGCTCATGTACATGTAAGAAAGGCTCCACTATAAGCAAACCAGCAACAACGGCATGAAACAAAATACTGCAACAATAACAACATTGCACAAATAAGATGGAAATCAGAACTCTTCCTACAAAGCTTCCTCCCTAGGTCAATCATCATGTGGAATGGCATACCACAACCATCAGACTGTCACCAACCGTATCTGTGTTTTAGTCATCGCTCAGGGCTGAGCATGTCATGAGTGAACTGTACCCACTTTCTTTTTATCTATGTTTGAAAACACAAATATATGTTGCAAACATACATTCGCTTTTTATGAAGAAAGAAATCACAAAAAAATATTGAAATAGTTGTCTGTTTGTGCCACCCTGGCGGGCTGCGCAGCACACTCAAAGCAGGAACATTTACACCCCTCGTAGGGTCTGTTCCTTCACGGGAAGAGAGAGTACTGCAATTGACATGTTTTGTAAACATGACATGTTCTAATCATACAAATGCGATCCTTCTTTCCTCTGTCAAACAAACAATATAAACATCTCTTGTTTTTCAAATGATTTTGATTATATCTTGTTTCAAATTCAAATGAAAACCATCATGATCTGGTAGATAGACGTGAAGTAGTGATCGAAAATGGGACACACATTTATGCTCAACACTGTTTGCATATCCTTTGACAAATTAAAGATACAGAGTTTTAGGGTATGTTAAAATTAAACAAATTTTTCATCAGATTTGGATCTCTCAGTCAAGAAGGACATAGTAATCAAACAGAGGACGATCCACAACAGGAAGTCTGCAACCGGTGTAAACGTGGCACGTGCACGTTACCATTTATCGAAATCGGGGTAATACTTACACATAGGGATGGCAGAAACGATTAAAGCATTTCCATAGAACAAAGCCGATGATTTTGTTGATACATTTCTGCTGAAATCTTGAAGCAGAAGTTCCTCCTCACGCGAGAGCTTTGCTGTCTTTCCTCCTGCCATCTTGACAATATTTTGTGAAAGGTCGGTGCGACTCGTGTGACGCGTCACTAAAGGGAAATAATCACTACCATTGGGTGTCATCCCGCTAAAATATTTATTTCTGAATGCCCTCTGGCCAAAGTGTCATTAGCTGGCCTCTGTAAGGCAATCCACACGTGACAAATGTTTATGACCGCAATCTTATCCTTAACGAAAGCAGGTAAACTGTAATAAACAATGATCCCTGAAATAGCGGTATAAACCAAACATGCAAATCGACGTTGAATATATATTATCAGAAAACGCAAATTCCATTCGGTCGGTTTATTTCTGTATTAAAACATTTTGTTTAATCAGAAACCCATGAAAAGAAAAGCGATATGCTAGCGATAACAGCTGTTATATGTGTATAATAGAAAGATTATTCTGATAGCTGGTAAAATTCATTGTTTTATAATATGTAATGTAACTTTTATCCAACTCATTTCAATACATCAAATAATTTTTGTGATAAAGAACGTACATTTCAAAACATTAGATATTAAAACCGGCGATAGTTTTGTTGAATTCCGATGTAGTGATAATTTAAAAACAACATACACTTTGCCGCCAGATAATATTTTCGCTTGACGTTTAAATTTTTGTTTTATCAGATACAGATGTATATTGCTTTCTAATTGCGTTGAATAATTTTGGAGTTTTTGATGTATAATTATATTAGAAGACGTACTTATTACTTATCAAGAACACAATGCGAATGAGTTGTAACAGAAGAAGGATTGTTGGGTGTGAAACGTCCAAAGGCAGCTTTAAGCTTGCCAGAGGCGCCGATTGAAACCCCCATTCAGATTTAGCCCTATAAAATATGTCATACCCAATAAACCCTATCCTTCCACCAGGTGAGTATTTGCTGTTGATTTATTGCATACCCAGTCACGTGATCCTTCCCTGGGGGTGTGGGTGTGGGGGTGTGTGACCCAACAATAAGACTTGTCACTTGGCCGGTAGGAAGTGAAGATGGTACCCCGAATCAGTGTCAGAGGTTTCTGTGTTATATCAAACGCTTGATAGAGTTCTGTCCGGAGGGGAATATTGAACAAATAATAAACTAGACCAACGATAATTAAAGGTTAAAACAAAAATAGCAGGGCTCAAAGAAAAGGTTGAAATGGACAAAAAATATGTTTTTCTGTTTGATATTTTATATCTCACCTCAACGCATTTCCATCATTAGAAGTTGCTGCAAATATTTCACAACACATACCGATTCCATTCCTTCCATCTTGCCCCTGCGCATCTCATACAATACTTGCGTACGTACGTCAGTTTCGTACCATACGTCACACGTATCACACATTCATCAAAGTATCCACGCCAATGACTGCACGGTCGAGATCCCACAGTGCGACTTGAGTGGAATACTGTACGCAGTATATGCTACACGTTCCCTCACTACGACTTCCAGTATTAAGCCTAATACTACTACGTCTGTTGCTACTATACCACAGACTGACGCTTATAATCTCTGAATATATCACTTTGATAGTAACAATTAAACCCATTTACATTGAAAAGGAGCCCCAGTGAGATGGGTCACTCGGAACCTGTGATGTGGAAATCTAGACTTGCTTCATTTAGGGCTTTAGCATTTCAGGAAGGGCTAGGCAGTAGGGAAAATAATGTGGTTCAGGGACTGAGACTACAGCTTTAGCACTGCTGCTGGTACATCTACTACCGAGGGGGGTCGGGGTAGTCTGGTGCTAAAGCGTTCGCTCGCCTACTGCTACACTCGTAACTCGTGAGATGACTAAAGTACTGTCGGAAATAGACCAACAAAAACCCCTGTTTTTAGGCTGTTACTCTGTATCCCTAAAATTTACACAACAGCAAATCGCATATGTCGAAATAACTCACATCAGCCAAACTGGGCGTTCAGTGGGATGCGTAATAGGATATCCAGAAAAGCATGTTTACTCGTAAAATCGCGCAAAACGAAGAAAAAATACGAATACCTGCTGAAAACAACAGATCAGACTACAGATGGCAATTAGGTTGCTCAGCCAGGTATGACCACGGACCGTAGACTCACCTTGCATGAAATGCACGTGCTGCCTACAGGCACAAGGGGGCATCTCAAAGGTATTTTATGCTTTTTCTTGTGCGCTGAAATATAGGTGGCATGACCACCCGAATATCGACAGGACTGGATATTATTTGTAAATTGTTATGACATGCCGTTTACTTCCTCAGTTTATTTCCCCTATAGGATTATCATTTTTATCTTAGCTGATATATCTATCCCCCAGCCAGACCTCAACCACTGTCTACGACACCGTCCTAGTTTTGCTTTTGAGACGACTCCTCCTACCTGTTTGTTTTTATAGGTGAGGTGAGGTGAAATTGGCCTTAACGTCGTGCTTGAGAAAATTTCGTTGATATGACAACGTGCATGCGTGTGTATGTGTATGTGCGGCTGCTTGTACTAGCCCAGACTTAAGCTGGTTTTATAGTGCTAGCCCACTGAGATACCATGCTGCAGTGTAGCATGAATACCCCACTCAGACACATTATGCTGACTCCGAGCCGACCAGTCCTTGTTGTACCCATTAATGCCGAACGCCAGGCAGAGACCAACAAGTACCATATTTTAACGTCTTTTGGTATGACACCGCTCTCTGGACTCCCTTTTCACATTATGAAATTTTGACAACACTGGACAAGCGAGAATGCTGTCAAGGTCCCAATAAGGCTGGAGTGTGATCACAAAAAAAGTGCATGTGTGTGTGTGAGAGAGAGAGAGAGAGAGAGAGAGAGAGAGAGCATGTATGTGTCTGTAGTGTGAATGTTGTGTTGTATTGTGTAGTGTTTATGATGTGTGTTTCTTGTGGTATGAGGGGTGGTGGGGTAGCCTAGTGGTTAAAGCGTTCGCTCATCATGCCGAAGACCTGGGTTCGATTCCCCACATGGGTACAATGAGTGAAGCCCATTTCTGGTGTCCCCCCATGATATTGCTAAAAGCAGCGCTAAACCATGCTCACTCATTCTTGCCAGGTCATGCAGTCAGCTTGGTGGACAGTGAAATCTGTAGGCAGTCACCTAGGCCTGGCTCGATTAACTAGTTGATAGAATGTCATGGTGATCCTCCCGTGTGTCTCGTTGCTCATAATATCAATCACAGGATTGTCTCATCCACACCTCATGATTACAAGCTTCAAGTCACATACCTGTAATATTGCTCACAGTGGGTTGGTGGTAAGTGTTCAGTTAAGCCATACTGTGATTGTATCCTGATTGGTGGTGCTAACATTTTGGAATAAGTGTTGGATTTTATGGTTTATGGTTGAGATTTATCATCCCAAACTGTGCTCCACTGGAGATATTACTTGTGTGAGATCAAATGATATCTCCTAGGAGATATCATTTTGACAACAGATTTTGTACAATGCCCTGACAATGCTATGATGTCGTGAACTTGATGATGTCACAATGCTATGACATCGATGCACTGCAAGTCTAATGGCAGTACCATGAGAGATGAACATTTTTCATTGAAAACTATTTGAGAGTGATTTTTTTATGATAAATAGAATCTTATCCTCGTGTCTCCTGATATCAAATATATCAACACTCGTTGATAAAAGTAAACATTTAGCAAATTAAGCATTTGTAACTTTATCAACTTGTGTTCATATAATTTATATCAGTAGACACTTGGGTGATATTCTCTATATATGTGTCACCTTGACTCTTCCATTGTAAGGGTCGTAGGGTAGCATAGTGGTTAAAACGTTTGCTTGTCACGCGAATACCCAGGTTTTATTCCCCACAAAGGTACAATGTGTGAAGTTCATTTTTGGTGTCCCCGCCATGATATAGCTTATAGCTGTGTAAAACTAAAACTTGCTCACTCTTTCATTGTATATGTGAATGATCCGTGACGATCCAGGTTAGAATTAGTCTTCAGTAACCCAGGCTTGTCTTAAGAGGCGACTGACGGGATCGGGTGGTCAGGCTCGCTGACTTGGTTGACAAATATCATCGTATCCCAATTGGGTAGATTGATGCTCATGATGTTGATCACAGGATTGTCTGGTCCAGACTTGATTATTTACTGTCTGCCTCTATATAGCTGGAATATTTCTGAGTGTGGCGTTAAACAACCAACCAACCAAGTATATGTGAAGCGGCCATAAAAGTTCCGAAACCTGTGCTTGGATTTGAACCACTGACCTGATCCAAAGTCAGTCGCCTTGTCCACATGACCAAAAGGTAAGTTAGTCATCCGTGGGATGACACCACTCCCTGCTACATATAGGTGTATCCAAACCTCGGAGGTTTGAAAATAGAGTGAAGCAAATCAACAAGAAATGAAAACAAAAAAGTCAGAGTTATCGTCATACGATCCATTTTGTATTTTATTAAAAATGCACAAAAGACAATTTTACACAAAGCTTTGCTCTGCCATTGGTATGTTCTAAAAATACAGAGATAAATACATCTGTGCCCATAAGGACGACAATTCTAGCAGTAGAAATTATGCATCAAACACTAGGATGAAAGTCAATTACCTCACCCACATACTGGAGTTACCTGCCCTTTGGTTGCCTCAGGATTAGATGTACTGATCACCAGCTTGGTGGTTGAAATCCATTAGGGGCAGATAACTCCAGTTGCATTCAATGACTTGACCTTGACATTAGCAACATACATAAAGAGTTACGATAACTGCTACATTCATACCTAATAATAGTTGCATATTACAGTTAGTAGTTAGGCTAAACATGAAAATTGCTTCACAAATTGCACTTGAAAATTCTGAATATAAATCACAACATTTCAAAGTTATAAGTAACAGATAATCTAAAATGGTTTTCATAAAACCATGATTTCTAAAGAGTAGTGTAAAATAGTTATAATCAGCCCTTGGAGCCAAACACAAAGACACAACATTTATAGCTGCATTGAATCAGTAGACAACCATAGAATCATAGTTGAACGACATTATCAACCATACTCCATAACACATGCAGAAGAAGGGCCTACCTGTCTGTTAGTTTAGCCCTGAACTAGGATGTGTAAGATTGACAACTGGCTTTGCTTGAACTAATAGAGGGAGGGAGACAAAAATGAAAGAAGTCAATTACTAGTAATATATAATTGAATCAACCGTCCCTACACTACTGCTCATAAATCACTTCCTCACATCTGGCCTTAAGATCTACTACAAAAATGAGAGTCTGTATTAACTTTAAACCTGGTTAAGATTCACGCAGCAAATTTATTTTCTGTAGTATGAGGCATCTTGCAGCGGATGCTTGTTAAACAGGTTAATTCATGGTGAACCGTATATTTTTTTCATAAGTGTCTCACAATTAAAAAAATTAATTTCTTATGCATTCCACTTCTAAATGCCTTTCGATGACAATGGACTTGAAAAGTAATTTCATCAAGTTTGTAGTTTCTTACCCTCAATTGTAGTACTTCAGTTCCCATTTTAGATTTACATTAGTTTTCAGCATAAAAATTTTGATTGATTTATTTTCTGATACAACCAGGATTTGTTGGAGGAAATTGATCCACTTAATGCCATCCTAAACACCCCAACTTTTCACAGAACCAGGGCTTCAACATTTTATAATATTCACAGACAGAATAAATAACTGTAATCAAGCAGAAATTCAAACTTTGTGTGCAAAAGAATAATTCTTACTATAGTGACAGTTTGAATGATGTGAGGACAATAATAGCTCAAAACAGACAAAATAATGGTCTATTTCTGATATAAGTGTGACTACTCTTGCAGTATCCATTAATCTGTGATCATTATGAATTTTTAGATACATGTAAAATATCCTTTCTGAATTCTTTTTATATTAGGTTACACACTGTTTATACTGCTTGACTATCTAGTAGAGCGTCGATGTGTGAACCAGAACAAGATATGAAGTTCAGCTCGGTATTGCATTAATCATGTTTATAGATCCACTGCAAGTTGGATTCATATCATAGAGATTTCTAAAAGTGGGGTAAGATGAATTTACTAAGTGTATTATTCATAGCATACTATGTTAGGTACTGAAATTGTTGCTGATCTTAAAGATTACCGCCAGCTATGTGTCTTTTCATTCCATTTGGTTTTCTGATCACATAAATTGGACAATTGTGAAAAAAACATCATTGTGAAATTGCACATTTTCCCCACATAATTGTTTCTGGCAATCTTATATATTAATGATATATTAATCTTAAAAAATAATCACAAAACAAAATATTGCCTAATGACCAAAAACATCTATGGAAGTGTTCATTAGTAATTTAAAAAATACATGTGAGTAACATGACCTGTTGGGGTAGACATATCTTTTTGATAGATTCTTCCCGTCCCAAAGCATATAAAACTATCACCGCAACATGTAAGCTCTACTTAAAACAAGAAACCAAGTTTGACAAGAGCTACAGAGAATACTTCTTGGTTACAACTAGGAGAGATGTTTCAATGTCGGTTCTGACATCATACCAAACACGTTAGGACAGTGTTGACGCGTACACCATTACCAGCTGTGATAAAGTTGTTCATTATAGTTGTCCATAAATACCTCTAAAAAACTAGAAAAAAAATAAACCTAGGAGTTTTATGTCATTAATGCCAGTCTTGAATCTCATTTAAACCTGCACACTCTGATACGTCATCTGTATGTGAAGATCTGATGATATCTTTCTGTGAATCCTGACTGACCTTCAACGACCAAGTGACGGTTGCATGGTTCTCTAAACGATTGGACAATTTGTCAGTTTTCTTCATTTGATTCCGAAATTTTGATTTGAATGAAAGAAAATCACACAGTTGGATATAGGATATAGACGGTTTGGAGCTGGGAGACATTGAGGGAGTAAAAGATATCCATAACACTATAAAGGTGTGACCTTTATTATTCACATTTGGAAATCACCAATCAAGTTTCTTTTCAAGATACAGAAATCAGATGCGTTTTGAATGCTTTGCTCATTAGTAATGAGAATTAGGAAACGTTGGAGGTGATCACTTCATGTGGTCGCCTACTGGGGCTTTATCATATCTTCACGCGGAGATTTATCATATTGATCCAAATTTCAATCCTTTTCAAAGCTTTCATTTAATGTTCATTTGGAATACTACTTATTGCTTCTAAAGCACTGTAAAATGTAACCTGATCAATCAACTCTTTCAAACTATTTAAAAAATCCTATTACATTACAAATTTGTTAATTGCTTTTGCAATTTGAAACTATCAATCAAGGTTTATGTGTTAAAAGTGTGACGATGCTTTTAGGTTTTAATCGGGGGTAGCCAAGTGGATAAAGTACTCCTTCATTACACCAAAGAACTTGGTTCATTTCCCCAGTTGGATATAGGTTAGCTCATTTATGGTGTCACTTGCTGAAATATTGCTGAAATACTGCTAACAGCAGCAGAAAACCATCTCACGTTTAATGTTAAGTTTATTAAAGACATACAGAATGGTTTAACTCTGCAACTGACAAATCTATACTTTGTGTTCAGTTGACAGTTTTGTTTTGTAATAATTTCCATGGACAGTCTCAGAATCTGACAGAAAATCTTGAGTTCTTACGAGAATGTGAAAACCTAGAAACAATCAAGACGAACGTACATTTGAAGCCATGATCATCTTTTTTTGTCCAGCCATGTACCTGTGATGAGTGAATGGTTAGATACTACTGGTTATCCTAACGAACCAATATCGCTTTCTCAATGTTTTGTACATTAAAAATACACTTGTTTATCTTTCTTTAATAGATACAATTCTTTTGTTCAACAATGGGAATGCCACCTACGGGTTGATCTGCCCCCTCACAGTCTTGTGCTTCAGTGTGCTGAATCATGACAAGCAAAATAATGGCTGACATAAAGTGTTGGACCAAGTTCCCTCTGACCCAAACAAGACATTCTACCCAATACACAAAATAATGGAGAAATATTTATCCCATGTTAATCATCTTAACAAATCCATAATATGGTTTTGTAAACATCAGTAATGATAAATCAAATAACCCACAAGCATAAATCTTAAAAATTGTTTGCAATTTAAATTCTGTGAATTATGATATATATACACTTGCGTAACCTTGATTTGTGGATATAAGGGAAGTGCAGCGAAAATCATATTTTAAATGCATGATTTCATTTTGCGTACTCACTGATTATTTCATTAATTGATTCAGCAAATTGAAAATGCCTAATATTCCACTTGTGAATGAATCGTTTGTTTACTTAAGCCATTTCCAGTCATCACCCATTGTGTACCCACAAAATGTGACGTCACGTTTCGTGGATTATGTAGTCGGTTACTTTTTATCACTATGTAAGGCATCCCATTGCAGTAAGTATTAACACCTAGGAAAGCAGATGACAAGATGTGAGAAGGTTGGCACTAACAGAATTTTTTTAACTTTAAAAAAAAATACAAGTTGGTATTGGTGGCATTAGTGATCTTGGGCTATTTATCTCAGTGCTGGACAATTAGATATAGTGTACTTACGTGTAATGCAGACATTCGGGACATTTGCGACGTCATACAAGACTTAATTTACGAGATAGCATGATAATTACTGTGATCCACGAATCAAGGTCATCCACGAATTTAGGTTACAGTTCTGTATATAAATATTTTAAAAAATCTTGATTAAGATTTCTTCACAAAACATCTTGCCAACTGCTCCGCAGCTTACACACACTATGGAGGGCAGATGATATGACGATGTATGTCACTCGAGGAGATGACGTATTCAGACTACACAATCTGTGATGTGGAAGTGTCTGCTTAGATTACTTACTGTACTATAACACTGTACCTTGTTACACATACTGTACTATAACACTGTACCTTGTTACACTTACTGTACTATAACACTGTACCTTGTTACACATACTGTACTATAACACTGTACCTTGTTACACATACTGTACTATAACACTGTACCTTGTTACACATACTGTACTATAACACTGTACCTTGTTACACATACTGTACTATAACACTGTACCTTGTTACACATACTGTACTATAACACTGTACCTTGTTACACATACTGTACTATAACACTGTACCTTGTTACACATACTGTACTATAACACTGTACCTTGTTACACATACTGTACTATAACACTGTACCTTGTTACACAAAGCAATTGTAGCACTATGATACCGAAGTTGAACACACATAAAATAGCTACCATATAGTTTGACACAGGCTTTAGACAGTCGTTGCGCTACAGATGGCATAACTTCCATATAGTTTAACATAGGCTTAGTGAGTGAGTGCGTTTAGTTTTACGCCGCTCTTATCAATATTCCAGCTATATCGGGTCAGTCTGTAAATAATCGAGTCTCGACCAGACAATCCAGTGGTCAACAGCATGAGCATCAATCTACGTAATTAGGATGCAATGACATGTATCAAGTAAGTCAGCGAGTCTGACCACCCGATCTGTTGCCAATGGGTTTAACATAGGTACGCTTATGACAGTTGCAGCACAAAGATGGGTTTAACATAGTTTAACACGGGCCTAAGTGAGTCACAGGACAGTGATGGGTTTAACATAGTTTAACACGGGCCTAAGTGAGTCACAGGACAGTGATGGGTTTAACATAGTTTAACACGGGCCTAAGTGAGTCACAGGACAGTGATGGGTTTAACATAGTTTAACACGGGCCTAAGTGAGTCACAGGACAGTGATGGGTTTAACATAGTTTAACACGGGCCTAAGTGAGTGGACAGTGACAGTTTAACAGGGCCTAAGAGTTTTAACATAGTTTAACACGGGCCTAAGTGAGTCACAGGACAGTGATGGGTTTAACATAGTTTAACACGGGCCTAAGTGAGTCACAGGACAGTGATGGGTTTAACATAGTTTAACACGGGCCTAAGTGAGTCACAGGACAGTGATGGGTTTAACATAGTTTAACACGGGCCTAAGTGAGTCACAGGACAGTGATGGGTTTAACATAGTTTAACACGGGCCTAAGTGAGTCACAGGACAGTGATGGGTTTAACATAGTTTAACACGGGCCTAAGTGAGTCACAGGACAGTGATGGGTTTAACATAGTTTAACACGGGCCTAAGTGAGTCACAGGACAGTGATGGGTTTAACATAGTTTAACACGGGCCTAAGTGAGTCACAGGACAGTGATGGGTTTAACATAGTTTAACACGGGCCTAAGTGAGTCACAGGACAGTGATGGGTTTAACATAGTTTCACACGGGCCTAAGTGAGTCACAGGACAGTGATGGGTTTAACATAGTTTGATATGGGCTTAAGACAGCCATTGCACTATGATGGCTTAAACATAGTTTTACATGGGCATAAAAGAGTAACAGGACTATGATAGGTATAACAAAGTTAAACATTGGCTGAAGGGAGCTGTTGCACTATGATGGGTTAAACACAATTTAACAAGGGCTTAAGACCGTTGCAACTCTATGATTTACATAGTTGCCATAGTTTAACATTAGACCTTCAGCCTTACATCAAACATAACTTTCACAGTTTAACACAGGCTTAACACAGTCGTAGCACTACGATGGACATTATAGCCATAGTTAAACATTAGACTTAAGTCGAACACAACTTCAACAGTTTAACACTGGCTTTAGACAGCACTACAATGGAGATGACTGCTGTAGTTTAACATAAGACTTAAGACGTTCACAACACTAGGATGGATGTAACTACCATAATATAAGATTCAACCTTACACAACCACTGCACTACAACTGCTTTGTGAAACCATGGATGTTACAGTTCCATAATGTTTATTTAAAGCCACGCTGTGCAATATTACAGTAACATGACAGTGATAATAAAATTATCAAGTCTGGACCAGACAATCCAGTGATTGAAATCACGAGCGTCAATCGACTCACCATGACATACTATCAAAACCCAAGTCTGACCAGCTGATCAATCAAGTCAACTATTACATCAAGCATAGGTTGCTGAGCCATCGAATCTTACCCAGGTCACAGTGACACAAGGCTCCCAGTCAGGTCGCAGTGACACAAGGCTCCCAGTCAGGTCGCAGTGACACAAGGCTCTCAGTCAGGTCGCAGTCAGGCACAAGGCTCTCAGTCATGTCAACATTAGACTCATTGATGTCCAGAAACCTACATAGTACCTACATTGCTTTAGTTCAAATCGGCAAAATATAAACTCAATAATTATATAATAATATAACATATATCAGTTTACGATATAAAATATGAATCTGAACAAGCAAAAAAGCTTGGAACTGCACATTAAAAAAAGACTGTAAAGAAAGGCATGTTAACAAAAAGCCTAGTTTTTAACATTTTAGGGGCATGTAAAACTTTCAATGAACCATCAACCTAAGCAGTAGTTTGCTGAAAATAAGCAAAATATGCGTTAAGACAACTGACAACATAACGCAGGTGACATTTCACAGCGTAATAAATATACATATAAGGAGGCAGAGCCTGGTACGAAGTGAACAGTAGGAAACTGACACGAGGGATACATCACTATACATATGTACAACATGGAGAAAACAACAACACAGGGAAAACCATTAAATACACAGTTTTTCTTCACAAATATCAACAAAAAAGACAAACTACCACCACACGTTGTATTTGAGATATATATATGTTAACAAAGATAATGATAAATGGACTATCAGCATTTCCACAAGGCAACGCTATACGTTGGGTTGCCAATATGTTGAAACTAAGGCTAATTAACGGGTGTAGGTTGAGCATACATGCAAAACACGAGACTAAATACCCTGAATATATCTTAATGACTGCCATAAGGACGTCCCTCTGTACATGCTAATATTAGACAGCTGCAATTATGTATACAATTTTTCATAAGATACATTTTTCTGGAAAGAAAAAATACAGGAAGTGTCATTTATAATATAATTTATGAAATATAGGACTACAATGAATTAATTGACCATATTTCTCGACAGACAAAATTCAGGAAGTGTTGTTTTATATTCAATAAAATTGACAAATGTGGTTTTAAGATATAGCGTACTTAATTACATGTAATTGTTAGATTTTCATCCAAAATTATAACAAACGTGAATCAATATGCAATATTTTTATGTGTGTCTTTATGTATATTTTTTCAACAACCTGATTGTTGGATCTGTGTACATAAACAGGCAAGGGAAATGATTTCTGTGAAACTTGCAGGTTTCGTAGGAATACATTGTGCAGGTCTTCATGGACAGAGAATGAAACATACACTGTGCCTTTTATTTATCAGCTGGTTTACAGAGGTTTTTGGCCTGAACATCAGTGCAGGTGTTTCATAAAATAAATAATAAATTCAACTTTAGATCAGCACTGTTTCTAACAGCGAACAAGTTTAACATGGCAAGATATCGAAAGATCGACTGGGGCTCAATTCTTTTGGGTCTGAACAAAACTTTATAGGCTTGTTATTTCATCATACCTACCGATATTCTCCAGTTTTCTTTATTCACATATGAAGAAGTAGTGTCCAACTAAGTTTTGTCTTAGTCCATTTTTTCTGCTGCGTAGTCTTGGAAACCAACTGACAAAAATATAAGGTGATTTTTTTTCTGACAGCAAATATTATAGGACAAAACAATAATGCGAGCTGGGATGTCTGGTAATGACGAGGATGAGGATGAAAATCTAATATCAATTATCTGGCCTGTATAAAGTACTTCTATATCATTCTGGATATTGATGTAGTCAAACACTGTTGCATTGGACTCATTCTACAGTTGTGTTGAACTTTGGATAAGGTGAAGTATATCCATATGTGGCTTCAACCTCATACAACAGTGTCTGAATGTGAAGTATATCCATATGTGGCTTCAACCTCATACAACAGTGTCTGAATGTGAAGTATATCCATATGTGGCTTCAACCTCATACAACAGTGTCTGAATGTGTTTAGATATCCAGGTATTAGATTTAAAGCAAGTCCACTGCATGAAATTATACTGGAACCTTTCATCTCAAAATAGACAACAAAATCTAAAACACATCACACAGTGTACGTTTTTTGGTGATAATTTTCATACACTAAAATTACACTCTTTACAAAATAATCTATGAATCTGCAAAAAGTTGAAACATCATCGATGAATACAAAGTGAACAGGAAGATGTAGCTTGGGATGAACTTTTAGTTGACGGTGAGATCTCCAAAGTCCCTTCACAGCTTCAGTGACAAATTGTGTTGTTTCAAGTGATAAACAATTCCAGAAATATTTACATTAGTCTGTTTTACAGTTTCCAAAAGAAAAGGATAAATGTAAATACCGTACAGTAGAAGGCATGTTTTTTTTTTAAACATAATATAAGAAAAATATATATAATGTAAGTGAATATTATTGTCACACATGTCAGTGTGAGCTTTCATATCAAATGGTATTATATGTCATAGTTGATATTTTACATCAGATAAAAGCACCAGTAAGGGCATAATAATGTCATACAAACAAACAAACAAACAAACATGTGTTAAATTCAAATTTAGCTTTTTAAAAAAAGCTGACTAAATGTCCTCTTTGACCATGTCAAGCCAATTTAATTGGCTGAACTCAAAATAAAGCCAATTTGATTGGCTCCTTAACAAGCACAGTCAGCCAATCTTATTGACATGGATGAAACAGCCAATTTGATTGGCTGAAACACCCCAGCAACCAATTGTATTGGCTAAGATGGACCATCAGGATATTGTTTGGCTGATTCACTGTATCACAGACTCAAGTCTCATCAAACATGACAGTGTTGTTGCCTCCAGTAATTCTGCTTCTGATGAGATGAATTGACAATGGGTTTGTTATATTTTCACCAGTTTGCATCACAGAAGAGTCAGCAGGAAGAGGCTGCCTCAGCTACCTTCACAGGTTGAAATATGCTACCTTTCAGTTAAATAAGGCTCTTGTTTAGTAACAGGTTATAGATCTGACACTTGAGTGACAAGACTTGACATATAGGACCGGTCAACAGGCATGTTCTCTCATTAATGAATCTGATTCACAACATAAGAGGTTAGTGTTCTAACTGCAACAACTGTAAGGTTTACTTTCTTCAAAGATATTTGCATTTATTTCATTATTAAATTAAATCACACATTCAGCTTGTGAAAACATATTTACTTGAGCTTGATGCACTTAAAGTGGAGCAAGAGACCCTCAAGCAGAGTTCAGTGCTAAGCACTTAATTGACACTGGGAGTAGACAAGGTTCGGTTTTGATCCCTACCATTTTCAGATCTGAGAACATGCTGTGCTGAGCAACATTTAATGTAAACTCACACACAACAGGAAAATGGAAGTTTATAGGCAGGTCTACTGTTGCCCATTTAAAGATGCATCAAACCAAATATTTGAGATTAGTTGTCAAGAAGTATACTTGGGATTATTATTTGAAGTCTGTGTCATCACATCTTGTCCTTTGGGGAAGATATGAGAGTGAACATCACTCAATATTGTACACAATATATTTCCTTTCATGTTAACCTTTACAACTCTTGTCTAAATTCTATTTTGTATGGAATCAAACTGAGGGGGAAAATGAAAACATACTGAGATTGAATTTTCTGTAAAAGTAAATTGTTCAATGTAGATGGGGTAAGAAATGAATTTGCAACCACATGATCCCTACTGTATTTGAAACGTTGTAAATTTGTGACCTAAAAGGCAAATATATAACAGATAAGATGTCTAAGACAGCCATCAGGTGTTGTATATTTTTAAAAAGATTTGACTTTTTCACATTTTTTGTATACATCGTAAAAAATACATTATTAATTGAAAATCCCACATATGATAAAATCAATGGGGAAGTGTTGTTTCTTTTGCCCTTCAGTTTATATTCATGTGACATTTCATTTTCATAATTAATTCAAATACTACAATTTTGCAACGAAGAATAAATCTCAGAACTAATTTTTCATCGCAAGGACGAGAATCAACTCAGTCATACCCTCCCCTCCGAACAGAGGCTTGTCAAAGGTATATACTTTCCGCAAAAATACAGCAATCAAATACATGATCGTAAAATACACAAAACATCATCGCTGCTGGTACACCAATGTCCATCTGACACACAGACAGGACTTACTGAAATATAACTTGTCAACACAACACGAACAAACTCACCAGGGTTGCGTTCAAAACTGAAAGGCCACAGCAGTGGTTTGAGCCTAGACAGCTAGTCTGACCTACTGATGGATGTCTTGCGTGGGCTCACAAGGGCACAGTCTTTATTAACAGTGCACATGAGTTTGATGATTCTGGAATCTATTTATATTTTTGACTGCTGAATACTGACTGACTGACTGAGTTTGGTTTTACGCCGCTTTTAGCAATATTCCAGCAACATCACGGCGGGGATCACCAGATATGGGCTTCACACATTGTACCCATGTGGGGATTCAAACCCGGGTCTTCGGCGTGACGAGCCAACGCTTTAACCACTACGCTACCTCACCGCCCGACTGCTGAATAAGAACATATATAATACTTATTTTCATGCCACTCAAATTTAAATTCACTTTATCTATGGGCGCTTCGAGCATGCATTATGCGTGGAGAAATGCGCATTACAAATGGACTATTATTATTATATAAGGCAAAAAGAGTAGCTTGAAAGTGAAATAGTTTCTTTGTGATAATTTTCTCAAGGGGAATTCTCTTTCAACAGTTTATGAGAATAAATTTGATCCATCATTCACTGCCAATATTTGTCTGGAGAGAACAAATTCCCTGTGACACATTTGAAAATTAAGAATAAATTCAAATATTTTATTCAGAGTTAGCTCCCTTTGAAAATGGCTACTGCACGTTTGTGTGATAAATTTGAAGAGTTTTACAAATTTTCTTTCATTTCTTTGATTTTTGTTCTCTCTGTGATGTAGTCGGTAATCTCTGTTTACCATATGTGAATTTGAAAGAACAAATTTTCATTATGTCAAAGACACTCTTACATCAACGTGCATGCGTGATTATCTTTTTCACCGATATAATAAAATGTTTTTGCTCAGTGCAAGTGTGAAGGAGTACAGAAAGCAACATGGATGCCAGAAGGACAAATACAGTTTGGGATAATTTGTACCTGAATACAAACACTTCGCAAACAAGCCCACACACTGTGTAAGGCTCTACACCAGCTCAGCCAGACACGACCTAGTATCTGTAGACCATTGTTAATGTCCAAAGAGAAACATCAATCTGATCATAACAGTGAGTGAGGGAGTGAGTGAGTTGGGTTTTACGCTGCTTGTAGCAATTCCAGCAATTTCATGGCAGGGAGCACCAGAAATGGCCCTTCACACCCTTGTACCCATGTAGGGACATGAACCCAGGCCTTCGGTGTGACAATCGAACTTGACAACCACTGGGCTACCGAACCCCTTCTGAACATAATACATCAATGTCAATTTGTTATTATGAGTACTGCCTTCATGAAACTATATTGCCAAACTGAGAAACATGAACCATTTTGTCAGAACAATATAAGAGAGTGAGTGAGTGAATATGGTTTTATGCCGCTTTTAGCAATATTCCAGCAACATCACAGTGGGGGGACACCAGAAATGGGCTTCACACATTGTAACCATGTGGGGTACGGTGTGACAGAACAATTTGAACTAACAATACCCAATGGAATATTTACACAACAAGAACAATACAACAAAGCGTCGTTGATCACGTGATGCAGTTAAGGTCTTCGGAATATATCTTAACAACTTTATAAACAACATTTTCATTTTAATAATGCTTGTTGACTTTCCACGGCGAGTTTGCACTTCTTGTTTTGAACGCAATCCTGGTTTAAAATCTACAGAATTATCAATAAATATGACTATAAATGCAAAACATTGTCAGCAAGCTCATGAAGAGACTAGCGTCACTGTAAGCTGCATCGGAGTAAATAACTAGATATTCCTGTACATAACAATAATCATTATACTTCTGCCATATTCACTGCCATTGGCCCCTACATGTTAGAACTGTGGTCAGATAAAAGTGAAAATATTGAAAACAACAAAACATTTATGTACGTGGAAGGTTTCTGGATAACTTGAACATAGAGGCTTTTCATGTGTTGAAAGAAGGCTCAGCTTAGGATGAACAGGGTAGGAGGGTAGGTAGGAAGTAGGTAGATGGGGTAGGGACAGAATTAGAGGGTAGATAGGGTTAGGGGTGAACAGGTCAATGGGTAAGAGGGTAGACCATAAGGTATAGACAGGAGTAGGGAAAGAGTCGGGGGGGTAGAAAAGGACAGGGGTAGATAGGGTTTGGGATAGATACGGTTAGTGGGTAGACATGGGCAGGGGTAGGGATAATGAGATAGGGATAGATAAGGTTAGGGGTTGGTAAGGTAAGTGGATAGACAGGGGCAGGGGCAGATACGGTTAGTGGGTTGACAGGAGTATGGGTAGGGATAGAGAGTTAGTGAGTAGAAAGGGGCAGGGATAAGTAGGGTAAGGTGGTAGACAAGGTTAGGGGTAGGTGGTAGACAGGAATCCTGGGTAGATAGAGGTATGGGCAGGGAAAAGAGAAAAAAGTTTAAACACTTAAAAATATTGTTCAAAATAATATTGACACAAATGTGTGCTGTCGAGTTAAATTTAAACAGTAATTTCTGGTTAATATCTGTCTATGATTAAGTGAGTAAGTTAAAATACTTGCTGCCCAAAATGTATATATAGTTACATTGAGAAACATGGATCTATCGGGTGATTGTGTAGCATAATAATCAGATTGTTACATAAACACAGAACATAATCATACCACTTGTGAATAAACATATTTCTTGATTCAGCAAGATATTCCATGGATGCATTAACATGACGCCATTACTCAAGTCTCAATGGTGCAACCTCAAAATGATTGAAACAGACACAGATGAACTTACTCTATACTAACACGACACCTGATTAACGAGCACCCGGCACCACAAAAACCACCCATCGTTGCTTCAAGCAAAAGCTTTGTATAATATGCATTTGTGCACTGGGAAGCTTCCAAGCTAAAATAAAACATAAATATTGGTGCATATAATGCACTAGCGAGACCTTACATTGTCCCAAGAAACACCCCATGTAGGCTGATATCAAGTTATGAAATTTAATATCAAAGATTAAAAACATACGTCAGACATCGACATCCAACTTTACATAACACTTCCCCAGCGATACAAACATTTACTAGTTACTAGTTGAACTCAACAATAGATCTATTTCAAAATATGGGCTTGTAAAATGGGGGATTGACATAAAATGTGAATCCAGTTTGAAGATGAAAAAAATATTACGTTCTCTGCTATGCAGAGACACAAAACGTTTAATTCCATTAAATGGAAGAATGACATGCATTATGATTTTGTTAAATAGATTTTCTTGCTTGAAGCTATCAAAAAATCAGTATGAACATAAATAGCAAGTTATAATTAATTGGCAAGATAAACAACATTTTTTCAATGGACATGTTTTATAAAGCAGAGTCCATTTAAGTGTGAAGTCTGCCAAAACATGACAAGTAGTTTGAAAAATATAATCACATATATTGAATGAAATAGCATTCAGATAACACCGGAATTATTTTACCCTGTAGAAAGCAAAAAAAGTGACTATTCATGCAAAACAATGCAAGATTTTGATAAGAACACCGCAATAAAAAATTAAAAAACCCGATTACTACAATAAGTTGTCTGGTAACAGTAATTTTAAAATCCAGATATATTTTATGATGAAATGGCACATATCTATTCTTTGACCACTGAGAAAGCTACATACAAGCACGCACCACGTTTTTCTACCCTTATGATATATATATATACATCTTAACATCTGACCCTTACAGGGTAATCCCAGGTTAAACAAATAAATAAATATTTACAGTAAATGCATGAAAACGACACATCAAACAGATGATTTCATGGTGTATTAGATACACAAATCTTACAATATCAAATTGCCCACAGTCAGGTCTGGGCAAATGTTCGCTGAATCACCAAAATTCAAGATTCCATAACAGACATAATCTATTAATGTCACTTTTTTGACATTTCAGAAAAAAATATATAAAATTTATAAATGTACTTTTCAAGTACATATACTGAAAAAAGAAACAAAAAAATAGTCTCATTACAATATCCTTGGTAAGGGCCAGTCCGCTTTGCTTTTGGCTCCAAACCTGGATATGTATTTGAATTTAATTCAAGCTATAATTTCAAATCAAACATTCCAATCATTAGGTGTAGAGACTTTGCATCTGTAGAAAATTACAGCTATGAAAAAAATATAAAAAATTACAACGGAACATTTTGACATTAAATTCTTACACAATTTCTTCATAGTCTAGTGTGTAATAATAGCCTGAATGTCTCTAATTGGGTTATTTTTAATCACATATCTATACAAAGGTTGTTTTAAAAATGTCTCCTCTCCAAGAAAACATATTTTAGACTTAACAGAAACAAATCACCAACATAACAAGACAGTTCTCAAACAAAATCAAACAATAACAATCGGCTTGAGAATTCTAGGGGCCAGTGTGGGGAGAGTTATCTCCCCTGGACTGTGCAACAAGATTTGGTTTCTCAACAATCTCCATAGCTCAGGAGTGTACAAATTGACTTTCTCAATAGTTAATTCTGTAATAATACCAGTTTGGCACATAGTTTGAAAATAAAAAGTGTTTTTCGATCGCCTCACAAAATAAATTGATATATAATACATATTTCATCAGCAAGTTTCATTCAATGAATCAAAAAACGGTAATTAAATCTAAAACTAATTCCAGTATCTATGATCAGACTTCGCATCCCTGAAGGAAGTATTCATTTATAATGGTGGCACAGATGTTAAATTGGGGGACCATTATCTGTACAGGAGAAAAAAACTCTTGCAGACTTTTAATAAAACCGAATGTTTGGTTCTCAACCATTGCGTCCATAGTTCATACAGCTTCTCAGATAGAACCTAGGGCAGCCATGGCGTAGATATATTGCAGGAATTTACTTCCCCGTAGCCACAGACCCCACAGCATTTAGTTCATTGACATAATAATAATTTTGAAAATGACTTGCTCAGGAATTATAAATACACTTGTAGACCCAAAAAACATTGAAATGTTTTGAACTGGTACATATATTTACTATGGCCCCAAGTTGTGTTGGGATAGTCATGTACATGAAACAAGCTCCAAGATGGATGCCAGTTAGCACTGGCTGAGGTGTTACTAGATTGCATCATGCTGAGGGGCTTCCTAATCCAAAACCTTAGTCAGGGGCAGGTAACCCCAGTTGATTACAGAAAGACTACCATATTGTCAGAGGTCTCACTGGACAGAACACCCTATACGCTTATCACTTAAACAGACTTGACACAATTCTAATGACGAGATATTATACAAGTTTTTGTTGTGATAGATCAGAGGCTGTGACTTTGGAAGGAATGAACCTGGACACCATCACTGAGAGGATTAACTGCTGGCCACTGCCACACAGCTGCAGACTAAAACTGACCAATGGAAGGTCAGGTTGAGATTTGTAGTTTTGCTTCAATAAAATAATTGTCACTTTCCTTAAATTTCATTCACAGTGTCACCTCGACCTGTTTTTGATTGTTACTTTGGAAACGAATAAACACAGGTCTTAGTTCCTTCAGGGATCTGATCTGGGCGATGAAAATGTTTACATGGCAAGAAAAAAATATTTGAAGTCAACATCTTTGAAAAGATTCGATTATGTAGTTCCATCTATGTTTCAAATATAGAGAATCACTACCAGTCTGTTGCTGGCCCAGCATTCAGCTTCCATCAGTCTGGAACAGAATCATATAATTATAATAATAATCATAATATAGGAAGCGACAAAGATCCGATTTGGACCTGCATAATTTCTGAAATTAGTAAAACTCTTGAAAGGTGTCATGAAAGATATTGGATATCTTTGAATGAATGAGAACTGGACTTCATTCATGTCACCATGAGGATTGTATTGGAGGAAGGATAACAATATATGGATGAACAACTTCTCTTTTACAGTGAGAGTGACATTTCGGTGCAGGTTCTAACACCGTTATCAAGCAAGTGATGAAATGTTGCTCTTACTGTAATAAAGAGTGAGTGAGTGAGTGAGTGTAGTTTTACGCCACCTGTGGCAATATTCCAGCAATATCATGGCGGGGGACACCAGAAATGGGCTTCACACATTGTACCCATGTGGGGAATCGAACCCGGGTCTTCAGTGTGACGAGTGAACGCTTTAACTACGAGGCTACCCCACCGGCCCCCTGTAATAAAGAAGTTGTTCATGCAAATATTGTTTTCCTTCCTTGCAACTCGAATTTGTAAATACCTCTCAAAGAAGTTAAAACGAGGTTTGCTTTCCTGTCACTTAATGAGATGTTGGGACTAAATGATGTCTAGTGGTTCCTGGGAACATATTATGTTTATTATGAACTTACTTCATGGACTTTCTGGTAGAAGAATAGACTATTAACATGAAAAAATCAGTTAAATATGTACAAACATTTTGGGACAGATATCTACTGGTGTGGTGAGCAATTTGAAACAGAAAATATATTTTTCAAAATATATTTAGAATATAGAATATTTATCAAATAGGTCACATTTAATGTTCTGCATATAGATTCTGCAGCTATTCTGACCACTATTTCTAGTATCTACAGTTTTTCTTTCTGCTTACTCATACTGACCTTGACCTTGACCTTGGCCTATAGTCAGTTTCCCAGTGGAGAGAAGGACATGGAATCGTGGATCCTCTGTGGGGTGGTTGGCAAGGTCATGTGACTTGATGTCGGCAGAGACAACATGGGGGGCATGCGTGGCGACAGTGGCATCTGACTGTGGTAGGGTCTGCCCGTGTGCGTTGACACCGGCAGGCTCATTGGGTCCATGGGCAGGGAGATGTTGTTGACGTGAGCTGGATACGGGTTGCGGTCGGTCGGCAGGGTCATGTGTGGGTAGGGGCTGGACAGGGATCGATTAAGATCATGAACAGACTGGGAAAAAAGGCGGTCTGAATGATGGGAGATAGGTGAATGAGATGCTGATGGCGTTAACGGTGATGAATATGTCACTTCTGATTTGGGGGATGTCGTACAAACAGAGCTTTGGTATGAACTTGATGAAACAGAGGACTCCTGGATCCTCATGCCTTGACTGACGAGGTTCAGCCCACGGCTGCGTTCCAAGCCCAGCGATTGCAAGTTTCGACGGTCAAGCCCCAGGTGTGAACTGCTGCGGTTTAATAAATGAGCACTTGTTCTGTCCATGATTTGTGAGAGGGTGCCGCCTCGGTCCAACCCAATGTTGTGATTCAGATTCAAGCCCTGTCCTGGCGGCCTGTTGACAGAGGCGCTCACCACCTCCCCGGTGTCATCGAGTTCGATGAAACTCACGGATCCAGACCCCGACATGAGCTTTTCACTTCCGGGACTGTGTTTCTCAAGGCTTCGGGGTCCGTCGGATCCAGGACTCTGGACCATGCGATCATGACGTAGAGCATCTGCATGTCCAAGGCCCCCTAGACCGAGGAGCGGCGAATGTGGCGGTCCATCTAGGCGGGACCGCTCCTGAAGGCCGAGGGCAAGTGGGAAGGATCCCAGGCCTCTATCATGGTTTTGGTCGTGGGTAGGCACCATTGTTGGAGCGTTGTATAAATTTTCCGGTTTTGATTTCTTCTTTCGTTGTTTGAGGTTTGAATTAAGGTCGTCCGGACTCTCAATAGGCTTAATGTGTATATGCATCTGAAACAAAAGAAGTAAAAAACTCATTATACTTAACTCACGGACAACAGAGAACAGAGTTTTTACATCAATATCACAGGAACCTGAAATGACCAGGGTGCCGTTGTACAAAACCTTAGTATTAAGACTGTTGTAAGTCTCTGTTAAGGTATGGGCATTTGTAACACAAAGTATCTGAAATCCACCAACTGGGCTTATGTAGCAACTGGCCACATGAACATGCAAACAACAGCAGCCCTCTGAAAATAATAGCATAAAAAGTCCATTGCATGATTGTAGGATTTTGACAGTCATAAGCATGTGTTGAAGAATCACTACCAGAGAGTGCTGATGCCAGATGTTTGCAAAACTTGAACATATCCTCCCTCTCTAGTGGCACACGTCACAACACTGGTGGCACACATCACAACACTGGTGGCACACATCACAACACTGGTGGCACACGTCACAACACTGGTGGCACACGTCACAACACTGGTGGCACACATCACAACACTGGTGGCACACATCACAACACTGGTGGCACACATCACAACACTGGTGGCACACGTCACAACACTGGTGGCACACGTCACAACACTGGTGGCACACGTCACAACACTGGTGGCACACATCACAACACTGGTGGCACACGTCACAACACTGGTGGCACACGTCACAACACTGGTGGCACACGTCACAACACTGGTGGCACATCGCCACAACACTGGTGGCACACGCCACAACACTGGTGGCACACGTCCACAACACTGGTGGCACGTCACAACACTGGTGGCACAACACTGGTGGCACACATCACAACACTGGTGGCACACATCACAACACTGGTGGCACACATCACAACACTGGTGGCACATCCCACATCACAACACTGGTGGCACACATCACAACACTGGTGGCACACATCACAACACTGGTGGCACACATCACAACACTGGTGGCACACATCACAACACTGGTGGCACACATCACAACACTGGTGGTACACATCACAACACTGGTGGTACACATCACAACACTGGTGGCACACATCACAACACTGGTGGCACACATCACAACACTGGTGGCACACATCACAACACTGGTGGCACACATCACAACACTGGTGGCACACATCACAACACTGGTGGCACACATCACAACACTGGTGGCACACATCACAAATACATGCAAAGGCAAGTCAATGGTTTACCCAAAGAAAACATTTACATGTAAAAGTCAGCATAGGGAATTGTTTCGGACATTATTTTGGTCACTGATATTTCAGCTTATGAAATCTCCTCCTCATGTCTACTATGAAACTTTCTGAAAACATCACCAAGGCCTGAAGCAACTTCTGAGGCTCTTTGAAATCTTTATAGACAATCCATGCTTGACTTTGACTCAAAAGTTGTTAAACGTAGCTAACAATGCCTGGGGCTGCTGGAATATTGCTTGACATCAAGGGAAGGTTCACTACTGGAAAGTTGACGTCTTGCTTTCTGTCATACAGACTTTTGTGAACCCTAATGCAGAGTTATAAACATGAAACAGATGCTCTAACGGTCCCTTTTGTTCCACTGGATAAATCAGTTGCCAGGACTCAGTTCCTGATGAGTAGTGAACAAACCCAGATTATAGACATACCCAAACCAGAATTTAAACCAGAGACCATATAATGATTTTATTTTTATAATATGGTCTCTGGTGAAACCTAGTGACCAAATCTCCTTGATTTTGTCAATCTGAGCAGAACCTCTGACCCATATGTATGAAGAAAACCATTAGTAATGAGAGGGCCCAAATACAACTCATGTAATGAGAGGGCCCAACTACAATCCATGTAATAAGAGGGCCCAACTACAAGCCACGTGATGAGAAAGCCCAACTGGAACCCACGTAATGAGAGGGCCCAAATACAACTCATGTAATGAGAGGGCCCAACTACAATCCATGTAATAAGAGGGCCCAACTACAAGCCACGTAATGAGAGAGCCCAACTGGAACCCACGTGATGAGAGGGCCCAACACATGTAAGCAGAAAGCCCAACTGGAACCCACGTAATGAGAGGGCCCAACTGGAACCCACATAATGAGAGAGCCCAACTGGAACCCACGTAATGAGAGGGCCCAACACATGTAAGCAGAAGGCCCAACTGGAACCCACGTAATGAGAGGGCCCAACTGGAACCCACATAATGAGAGAGCCCAACTGGAACCCACGTAATGAGAGGGCCCAACACATGTAAGCAGAAGGCCCAACTGGAACCCACATAATGAGAGGGCCCAACTGGAACCCACATAATGAGAGGGCCCAACTGGAACCCACGTAATGAGAGGGCCCAACTGGAACCCACGTAATGAGAGGGCCCAACTGGAACCGATGTAAGGAAAGGGCTCAATTGGAACCCATGTAAGCAGCAGGCCCAACTGGAGCCCACGTGAGGAGAGGGCCCAACTGGAACTCACGTAATGAGGGGGCCCAACTGGAACCCATGTGAGGAGAGGGCCCAACTGGAATCCACGTAATTAGAGGGACCAACTGGAACCCACCTAAGGAGAGGGCCCCATTACTCTCATAATGAGAGGGCCAAACTACAACTCACGTAAGGAGAGGGCCCAACTGGAACCCACGTATGGAGAGGGCCCAACTGGAACCCACGCAAGGAGAGGGCCCAACTGGAACCCACGTAATTAGAGGGCCCAATTGGAATCCACGTACGGAGAGGGCCCAACTGGAACCCATGTGAGGAGAGGGCCCAACTGGAACCCACAGAGATTGCCTGAATGTCTTATTCCCCCATGTCACTAAGACATCTTAACAAGGAACACAAGACTATCGTTTCAGATAAACATGCTCTCTATTGATCAAGACGCACATGCATGGCACAGAGAAGACTACTACATATGATCTTCCATGTCCGCATCATCGTCTCAGTACACTACCTTCATTGTTAAACATGAAAAGGTGAGGTTATTGCTTCTTCTTTAATAAAGACTAATGGAAGTTTCAATATCCAATAGATTTATTAACCTACAACTGCCTCAACTTTAATGTCTCAGATAAAATGTGCTTCATTTAATTACTGATCCATATGGGCTTTTCTCTCAGTGGATGAGATTAGATTTTAAAAATCTATATCTATTTTTTTTTTATTGCCAATATTTTTTTTATTGTTACTGGTACTGAATGACTTGGTTTAATACCATATTGAACAATATTTCATGGCATGTTGATTAATGAGGGAGAAAAGGCAGAGTGAGTGAGTGAGTGAGTGAGTGAGTGAGTGAGTGAGTGAGTGAGTGAGTGAGTGACTTTGGTGTTTTGCCGCTTTTAGCAATATTCCAGCAATATGACGTCCGGGGACACCAGAAATGGGCTTCACACACTGTATCCATGTGGGGAATCGAACCCGGGTCCTCGGTGTGATGAGCGAACGCTTTAACCACTGGGCTACCCCACCGCCCCAGAACAAGGTAGAAGTGATGCAGGGCCCGTTCCTCTAAGCGATCGTAACCCTAAGATGATCATAACTCCCATACTTTAACATAGACTTACGACAGTCATAGCGCTACGATTGCTTTGAGAAAGGGGCCCCAGTCATGACAATTTATCAGTTTTGCAAAGCAGATCCTGGCATGACTAAGGGAAGCAACTCTACAGAGCAAATTGCTCCACATTAGACCACTAGAAGTCAAGTATAGTATGATATGACTTTGGCAAAATTTAAGCAATTTTTTTGTTTACATATGTATACTTTTTAAGAAAGAAATTACTGGTCAGTGGATGGAAGAAGCTTGTTTTGCAATTTAATTATTGGGATATTTAATGCAAATTGTGTTTGGTAAACAAGTTTGTATTTGTCTTATTAGAATAGTTATTTTAAGAGGTCTCCCCCCTACAAATATTCGTTCTCAAAACATATGTTTCATACAAAGGCAAATAGGCATGACTGACTGACTGAGTTTGGTTTTACGCCGTTTTTAGCAATATTCCAGCAATATCACGGCAGGGGACACCAGAAATGGGCTTCACTCATTGTACCCATGTGGGGATTCGAACCCGGGTCTTCGGCGTGACAAATAGGCATGAAACTATGGTCCAACTTATTCAGCTGTTGTTCTGTTACTATACATAATTATTGCAAACATAACCAATGTTTGTTTTCATTATATTCTCATCAGCAATTGTATAAAATTGTCAAAAAGATTTCAGTTGAAAAAGTAGTTGTCCATTTTATTTTTTTGTTCAAATCTGATTGAAAACTAATGCTACCGGATGCTTTTTCAAATTGAATCTTTGAAACTTAATGACACATTATCTACAATTACCACAAACTACTCATGGAAAATGTAGTTCCAATGGTGTTGCACGGAAACATAATCTCTTTAAAGTATGCACAAAACAGCTGCAAAATAGATGACAACATTAGGGTCTTAAAGATTTTAGATATTGCAAAAAATATAAAACCATTAAAATTTTCAAATTCTGAGCAATGAAAACCTGATTTTAGTGCAGTGCAAAATTTACAGCTGGAAACCATTCACACAACTTTCATCGGCATTCTCCTTGTTACCAGTGCATCTGGTGGTACAACAATGTCTTTATAACTTATACACTGGCCATATAACTTATACACTGGCCAAGAAATGTGTGGAAGTGTCATGGGGTACTGAGGCTCACTAGATAGAGTGAGTGAGTGAGTGGGAGAGAGAGAGAGAGGAAAGAGAGAGGTGGGTGGGTGGGGGAGAGAAAATGAGTGAGTGAGTGTATTGAGTTTAAAACATTGCTGTGAGCAGTATGCCAGTTATACCACAGCCAGCAGTTTAATGTGGAAAGAAAACCTGAGATGAAGCAGGTCTTACACCTTAACCTCTTTGATAAAACCACAAGCGCCAACATGGCGCTGACAAACATAAAAGCATCACCAGGAGAAAAACATGATTTGAACCATCAACTGGAAGTTTCTTGGGACACAACTGAGCTAATGGAAGCAGAGTTACGTGATTGTAAGATCAAG